GCCGCCCGCATTGCCGTCGCCTGCCTCAGCATAATTTGTGCTTCCCGACGCTTTGTTAAGCAGCGGTGGACTGCCCAAATCTCCGCCGCCGCCGCTGCTGTTGTTGGCTGGGCAGACCGTGGCCAGCGGCGGGTGAAGAGGTTGCCGTTGGCTGCGTGTGTTGGGGCGGGGGGGGGGCGCTGGGTTCACTGGGGGCGATGCAACCACTGGAGGTGGCGGTGTGGCGGGCTGTGTAGAGCCGCCGACGGGGTCGCCGCTGCCAGGACGGGCGGGGCCAGCGCCGAAGGAGGTGCCCGCCCGTTGAGACGCCAGGCCGCGGAGGTCATCATCGAAGGTGACGTCGCTGCTAACAGTCACCTTACCGTCGACGAGGACGCGGTGGGCGGCCGTGCCGCGCTCCGGTCCTAGGTAGGTTCCCGCCTCTGCGCGGGGACCGAGCTTAACCTGCTGGCTGGTTGGGACGCGGACGTATGCCAGGCAGCCGAATGTGTGCAGGTGACTGACGTCGGGGGTGACGACATGATAAGTTGCCCACGGCGTAGCCTCCCGGCCCTGAGAGGGGGAAACATTGCGCAGGAGGTTGGCGTATAGCACAGCTTCCGACCAAAAGCTGTCCGGGAGCGCGGCATCGTACAGCATAGCCTGCACACGGTCGAGGAGCGTGCGATTGAGCCGCTCCGCTGCACCGTTCTGCTCCGGAGTGTACGGCGCCGAGTGGGTATGCGCAGTGCCGCGCTGGTGTAGCCACTGTGCCAGCTGCTCGGCGACAAACTCGCCACCGTTATCACTATGAAGGGTGCGGACCCGTGCACCGTTCGGGTTGCGAGCCTCCAGCTGTGTCACCATGTCCTGCAGCGCTTCGCCCACTTGGTTCTTGCTAACCAGTGTGCGAACGGCAGACAGACCGGAGGCACCGTCCAGCAGCGTTAGCAAGTAGCGAGCCCCTCCTCGGCCCGTGGTCGGCATGGGCCCGCACAGGTCAGAGTGTACGACCTCCAGGACATGCTGAGGCCGGTTACCGCGGCTGACGTGAGCTGTAGCTGTAGTCTTCGCTGTGACACAGGCTTCGCAGACACCCTCTGCCGCCTGACGCAGCGCCGCGGGAGTGACCCGTGGTCCATGTACCAGATGCTTGGTGATAAGCTGCTCCAACGCCCGGTAACCAAGGTGGCCGAACTGGCGGTGCAGGCGCTGTGCTGCTGCGAGTTCGGCGGCTGAGCACTCAAGGGCGCCCAGCTGCCCTTGGCCGTTGCTGGCGCCGTTCGACTGGTCTCCGCCGGTGTCACTGCTGCCGGCGCCGTTCGGCTGGTCCCCGCCGGCGTCACTGCTGCTGGCGCCGGCGGCAAATCTGCTAGCGCTGGTACCTCCGCCGGCTCTGTCTTCCGCAGCGCCGAGCGCACTGACGGCGCGTTTGGTCGGCGCCGCATGCACGGGGCACGGGGCACGGGGCACGATGCACGGGGCTCATAACCTGTTGGTGAGACGCTATCTCACAGGGACCTAGCAGACACGACTAAGGAGACATTAGCCGTTACACGTATTCGGGAAATCCGCGACCTACCACCGAAAGCCCCTTTGCCTAGGCGTAAACGTGTGAATCTGAGGTACTGTTACCGATAAACAACAGAGACTTATAAAGGCTTGGAAAGCCTATCCCAAAGGACGAGAGCTATCAGTACGCTAGAACCTAACAGCCGTTTTGACGGGCCTCCCGAGACAGGTCCAAAGCTGTCACTCAGTCTAACATGCGACCTCAGACAGGCCACAGCTGTCACTCACGACAGCCTGACAAGTTACCCAAACAGGCCACAGGGCGACACGGCAACCCTTCGCATCAACACGCCCCCTCGTGTCGCACTAGGGGCCTTACTACAAATTGCTAGCACCGACGAGCTAGCTCGGCCACCAAGTCCGCGGTCCAGGCCGACTGCTCACCACTCAACAAACACAAACGCAGCTCGCCAGCCTTCAGCCTGATGGCTATGCGGTCTGGTGCTGCTGCACAAACACACAGAGAAAACAGTGCCGTACAGCACCATACGCACTGCCTACGGCGCCCCTTCGGGCATTAACCTGCCCATTCGGGCGCCTGCTCACGCACCCTCAGCACCCCCCTAAAGCCTAGCTCAAAACAATTCCTCAAAGCCCTCAGCACTCCTCCTCTGGCGGTCTAAGTGACGCCCAGCGCTGTGCGGCAGCGCACGAACTTGACCTCGCCCAGTGCCTCACTGCGTCGTGCCCCGTGCTGCGTGCATCGTGCTGGGGGGTTGGGAGGAGCACTTTCATGTCACCAGCTTTTCATTACCAGGTTATCAGCCAGTGTTGGTCCAACCTCGTCAATGCCGCCGCCAGGCCGGCGGCAAACTTTATTCCAGCTCACGTCATTAGTTTTTTTACTAACTTTTCGCCGCCTCTACACCAGCCTTTGCTTCTTTACGGCTTCGCTCTACTGCTTTTCTTCCGCGCGTATTTTAGTCTAGGCGGCTAGGTAGGTAGGTAGGTAGGTAGGTTTCCGCGTCGTCATCATTACATCAGCCCGAGGTCGCCGCCTTTAAAACCGCCTACTGGTCAGTTCTGCTTCTTGTACACTCTTTCCTTGGCAGCAGTATCACTCGTTCGTGGTTCGTCTTTTCCCCCTCATCCGGCCCCCCAGGTGGCACGTCGTGGCCAAGTGGCCCGGTTGCGTCAAGTACCCCGCCACCCATTTGCGGCCCTCAGTCCTGGCCCCCGGGTACGTGTACGTGGCAGGACTGGACTACGAGTGTGCGGCCGGCCGCTGGGACGGCAGCTGCGGCTCCTCCACGGGTAATGCCAACAGTGGATCCGGGGGACACGGCAGGGCCATGGGCCCGGTACAGCTCCTGAAGGCCGGCTGGGGGCAGCAGCAACAGCAGCAGCCGGATGGCGCTGTGGCGGCGGGGCCGATGGCGATGGACGAAGGGCCGGAAGGCGGCATCAGCAGACGAGGAGGTGAGGAGGGGAAAGAAGATGCGGTGGGGAAATAGGGGCTGCCCTTTGCTGTGTGTGTATGCGTGTGTGTGTTTTAATGCGTTTTGGAGCCGGGGGCGGGAGCTGGCGTAAGGCGCACGGGAATACTGGTGCAGAAGTGCTGTGGGTGCGCTGGATGTGGTGGCGCGTGTTTCCATCCAGAACGTTTTTGCATGCACGCTTCTCCATAACACCTCTCTTAAGCACGTAAGAGCCAACAGTTCTTTAGGTTCACGCTTCGCGCATCATTCTCTCCTCCTCCCTTTCATTTTCTGCGTACAGGTCTTTTGTTTCGGGGAAGTTCCAAGTGGTTGGGCCTGGCGACCTGCAGTCTGCCGCTCTTGGGGGCTGAGGGTGCTGCCCGGCGGGAGGTGGCGGCAGCACTGACTTTGTCCGGCCACTTACATGTGCTGCTGACGTCTGCGTCGGTACTGGCTTCCCCTGAGGCTGTTACCGCTTGAATTTCTAACGATTGCGGCTTATATCTGCCGTAGACGTGTTGTCGACGCCTTTATGTTGCGGCCCACCATGGCCCACCGACTGTAACGATATGTTTTGTCATTATGCGGCTTTGACATGCGCAACCCATACCTGCTGAGATGCGCAAAAGCTTCGAGAATCATCTCAAATAATATCACCAAGACTAACGTTATGCATTGGAAGTTCCAACGGCAACAGAACCAACTAGCATAATGGACTTGCAACCACATGACCACAAACATAGAGTTGCTCGACGTTCAACGTGAGGATAACTTTGTGCTGATCGTAATACGGAAATTGCAGACCAAACCCCAGCAATGTTGTGTGGCCATGGCCAAAAGTCCGTTGCGCTGTAGGACCTCTTCAATAGGCAAGGTGCCCGACATATTGTTTGCGTACAACAACTACGAATGTATATGTCTCAGCTTCCTGCGACGTTTTCGTCTTCATCCTGTTCAACCTTAAGCTGTCCAATCGGTAACGTCTTGCATAAACATCCTTAATAATTGGAATAATAGCAAATCTCCTAAAACAGCCAAGTGAACATTTTTGCCGTCGTACCAGGGCTTAAAAGGGTCAACCTGCAAGGAAAGTGGACTGCGATCAATTCCGTACGATTCTGGGGCCTTTTGGGGTCTCAAGACGACCTCATAAGGTCGCCCGAACATTGACCGGATGTAACCCAGGTTCGGTCAGTTCACACGGTTTCACTATCACAGTAACAATGGCCGCTATTGCGAAGTCCGCTGTGCGCAGCTCCGTGCGCCCCACTGTGGCCAGCCGGGTAAGTTGGGTTCGCCACTGCCCTATTTCCTAAGATCCGTCTGTATCTTATGTTGTGTAATTTGTTGCACTATTTACCGATGCATCGGACGAGGCCTTCTACGCCAATCTTATTTTTTTGCTGCTTTCGGAGAAATGACGACCTTTCACTTTCATTCTCGCAGGCTGCCCGCGTTGTGCCTCGCGCTGCCATTGAGTGGTATGGCCCTGACCGGCCGAAGTTCCTGGGTGAGTCTTCTTTGATATGGAGCACTATGGGTTGACGATGTGGCGTTCAGTAGGCCCTTCAGGCAACACATCCCCCAAGATCACCCAGCATTAAGATGCTTGACATCTGTCACTAGACCCATAGGAAAAAGGTGGTCTTGGAGTCTTCTTGGGAAATGTCTTTCACTGCATGGCGCTGTCTTTTAACTTATCCTCCAGGCCCGTTCTCTGAGGGCGATGTTCCGTCTTACCTCACCGGCGAGTTCCCTGGCGACTACGGCTGGGACACTGCTGGTCTGTCCGCTGACCCGGAGACCTTCAAGCGCTACCGTGAGCTGGAGCTCATCCATGCTCGCTGGGCTATGCTTGGCGCTCTGGGCTGCGTGACCCCCGAGCTGCTGTCCAAGTACGCTGGCGTTTCGTTCGGCGAGGCTGTCTGGTTCAAGGCTGGTGCTCAGATCTTCGCTGAGGGCGGCCTGAACTACCTGGGCAACGAGAACCTGGTTCACGCTCAGTCCATTATTGCCACCCTGGCTTTCCAGGTAAATATCAAAATTCAAAGATTGCGTTCACGTGATTGCGGTCTTCATTAGGACTATGTATAATGGATGGCTCGGAAGCTGTGCATCGATTGCCCTAAAGTAGCGCGTATTGTATGTTACGGATGAGCTATTTTTTATGCATGCGAGAATGACGTCGAAATCATCAGCCCGTTTCCTTGTTAAAGATTTGGTGACAACCTCGCTTTTCCTTCCTATATTAGGTCGTGGTGATGGGCCTGGCTGAGGCCTACCGTGCCAACGGCGGCCCGCTGGGTGAGGGCCTGGACCCCCTGCACCCCGGTGGCGCTTTCGATCCGCTGGGCCTGGCTGACGACCCGGACACCTTCGCTGAGCTCAAGGTCAAGGAGATCAAGAACGGCCGCCTGGCCATGTTCTCCATGTTCGGCTTCTTCGTGCAGGCCATCGTGACCGGCAAGGGCCCGATTGAGAACCTGTCTGACCACCTGGCTAACCCCAGCGCCGTCAACGCCTTCGCCTACGCCACCAAGTTCACTCCTTCCGCGTAAATGGTATCCCATCGTCTGTTGATTCGGGAAGTTGTATAAAGGTCGGCAGTCATTTGCGGATGAGCTGTCTGCTCGGATTAACTCTTGAGCATGAGGGTTTTGTATCATATGGCGTGTGCTGGTATAGCTCTGGACCAATATCCAATAGTTTTGGTCTTGTGCTTTTAGTGACTGGATGTATTTTTGGCGGTTAACAATTTCATTGCAAACCAACTTAAAATCCAATCATTTCTGTAAACAAAATAAGCTTGTCTCGTGATGTCAAGTTCCTTGAAATCTGGTTTTGGCACTGTTCATAACCTGACCTAATTGGCAACTGTTGACCAACGGCTATCTCAATACAGTACGCTAGTGCAAAATACTTCATTCCTGTTGACAGCCAAAGTATATTTCCTACCAATTTCTTATCCCCTTATGAACTGCTGAATACTCGGACAAATACTACAAAGTTGCAACGATATTACCTTAAACTTCTCTTTAGTACGCGGGGAATAAGACAGAATTTTGTGCTATCGTCCCACTTGAGCAGAAATCTCGTCTTCCGCCATAATTACTAACGATGTTATCTCCGACATTTGGGCCCGTTTAACTGCATTTGCGGCGCGGGATTACTTGCCAAAACGTTGGGAACACGTGCCTCACAAAACCACAAAACCTTTCTTACACGTCAACAAGGCAGACATGGTTGTTTGCCGCTTACCGATGTACCATAACGAGGGCTTTAGGGTTTTAGGCTCACGTCATTATTAGGCTCACGTCGGAGCCTAATAATTTTTGTATGAGCGTACTAACTGAGGCCTTGTGAATGCGATTGTTACAGTGGACCCCGAACGGGTCGAGTGCAGCGTCCCTCGGAACGCCTCCCGCACAACACCGTGGGCCTTATTCAAAAAGAACTCGACCACGCCGTACTAACTTCACTGGACAGAAGGCCGCAGTTAGTACACTCATACAGAAAATATGAGGCTCTGACGTGAGCACTCAGACCTCGTCATTGTACATCGGTAAGCGGCAAACAGCCATGTCTGCGTTGTTGACATTTAAGAAAGGTTTTGTGGTGTGAGGAACGTGTTCCCAGCGTTTTGGCAAGTAATCCCGTGGTGCAAAAGCAGTTAGACGGGCCCAAAAGTCAGAGATAACATCGTAAGTCATGCGGTTAAGCGTTGACGTAGATACGGCCATGTTGGCCTGAAGACCTTCCCTAAACAACAAAGGCGACCGAGATTGAGTGAGCTGATGGCCGCGAGGCATACAACCTCCCACACACACCCATAAACCGAGGTCGGTGGAATGCCCAACCACAAGTTAGCCCGGTTAAAAAGGTCTGGAAACTCTAGTTCGTTCGCCTTGTGACCAGTGAAGTTAGTACGGCCTGGCCGAGTTCCTAGGGGCGCTGCACTCGACCCGTTCGGGGTCCACTGTAACAATCGCATTCACCATCACAGAACATTAGAAACGTAAAAGTCAGCTATCACAAAACTTCGTTGTCCAAGACAGTTTGAGTTAGCACTGGCTACGTGGTCAACTCTATTGAAGCGTAATAACATATCGGTATCAACGCATATCTATTGCAGGAGAACCACATCGCTCCATCTCTCGGAAAGAGACTATCGTCGCAAGCTCCGCAGATGTCTATCGCGAAGCGAACCATTCTACAAAGTAAGATCCGTAATACAGTTAAATAGGCTTTAGGTTCCGAATATGCATCGTGACAGCCAACACAACGCACATCCGTGTGAGCACAAAAAGGGCCATAAATGTTTTAACCTTCGCGATAATAAATTGGTGATATGTTCATCTACTTGGATAAATGAAGTAAACAAGAAGTCCTATATGAATCGTAACAAGGACAATAACTGTTTCAGCATCAAAGAATACTCCGAGGACAAAACCAAAGTATTACAACTTAAAAGTATGTTACACCTGTGATACATTCATCGCTTAGGAAAGGGAAGCCGTAACCCTTAGCAAAGGCAGCTCGTACAAATCTCTGGACGTACAATCAGTCCGATTCCCAGGCCTTATGAGGTCCTATGGCAAGGTCAAAAGCCAAAGTCGCATCGTAAATCGTTACACAGTTGCTCCCTTCTGTGTCCATACATTTCATTCAGTAAAGATGGCCGCTATTGCGAAGTCCGCTGTGCGCAGCTCTGTGCGCCCGACTGTTGCCAGCCGGGTGAGTCGAGATGCCTTTGGAACGTAGCATCTTCATTAGTCTTCCAAATATGAAGCTACTTTAGTCAATCTTAGTAACCCGATGTTCATATCCGAGAACTCGGGGTCGCTTCAGTAATCCTACAGCTCTCGGAGTGCCTCGACTTTAACTGGGGATCTGATCTCTTTGACCCGTTCAGGCTGCCCGCGTGGTGCAACGTGCCGCTATCGAGTGGTATGGCCCTGACCGCCCGAAGTTCCTGGGTAAGTTTTCGCACAACCGATGGTGCAGCGCATCAATTTATGATAGAAGTTTCTTCGTTCCATAGTGACAAATTAATAGCTTATGCTTTTCCTTATGTAATATCCTGGTGTTCCTTTGTTATCCTCATGTATTCCAAAGATTTGTTGTTGGTCATAACCGACCCGATCCACTCTGATGTAGAGATATTATGACTTGGATATGCGCCTTATTACCTGTACTTGTTTGACTCGGTGCAGGCCCGTTCTCTGAGGGCGATGTTCCGTCTTACCTCACCGGCGAGTTCCCTGGCGACTACGGCTGGGACACTGCTGGTCTGTCCGCCGACCCGGAGACCTTCAAGCGCTACCGTGAGCTGGAGCTCATCCATGCTCGTTGGGCTATGCTTGGCGCTCTGGGCTGTGTGACCCCCGAGCTGCTGTCCAAGTACGCTGGCGTTTCGTTCGGCGAGGCTGTCTGGTTCAAGGCTGGTGCTCAGATCTTCGCTGAGGGCGGCCTGAACTACCTGGGCAACGAGAACCTGGTTCACGCTCAGTCCATTATTGCCACCCTGGCTTTCCAGGTGAATATGTTTCTTTTAATCACTCTACCGTTTCATGAGCATGAAGAGTTTGATGTATAAGTAGCGAATAATATGCGCAGCATCGATTTGCTCCGTTATGCTTTCGGGTTTTGCGTACATTGTCTAAGAAAATGATGGAAGCATGGATTAAGGTCAGATTTGGGTAATAACTTTATTTGTCTTTTCCCTGCTGCTTTTCTACAGGTCGTGGTGATGGGCCTGGCTGAGGCCTACCGTGCCAACGGCGGCCCGCTGGGTGAGGGCCTGGACCCCCTGCACCCCGGTGGCGCCTTCGACCCGCTGGGCCTGGCTGACGACCCGGACACCTTCGCTGAGCTCAAGGTCAAGGAGATCAAGAACGGCCGCCTGGCCATGTTCTCCATGTTCGGCTTCTTCGTGCAGGCCATCGTGACCGGCAAGGGCCCGATTGAGAACCTGTCTGACCACCTGGCTAACCCCAGCGCCGTCAACGCCTTCGCCTACGCCACCAAGTTCACTCCTTCCGCGTAAACTAAGTCAGCTTTTTGCTTGGGCTGGTGTATATTAGCGTTGGAGCTGCTATCGTCGGTGTATGCCTGCGAATTAACGTGCGACGGAGTTGGTATAGGAGGTCGGATTTTGCCGTGTTACAAATTGAGAAGAGTAATATGTAAGGGAGACTAATTATCTAAGTATATTTGCCAGTATCATGAAAATCAGTTGCACGCTAGATCTTTCCCCACGAACGGGTGGGCAAGTCAACGAATATCTACCACTTCTACCACCGCCCGGAACCAACCGCCGCCGCCAACAGGTAGAACAATGGAACGTGCACATGTGCCTATGAAAGATTAAGTCCGTCATTTTTAGCCATTGTGCAGAAAAGTCTAAACTGACAATATATATAACTGCAAGCTATATGCCCTTGTAGACGTTGCTGGTAAGAAGTAATGATGCGCAACTATTCAAATGATGATGGGTAACCTGAGTCAACATCTGGTGCATACGTAGATCTCGACTTAACAGGTAATGCATCAGTAATCAGAAGGACGATTGCTACGCTGTTCGATGGAATCAATTGTTCTTAACGATTGTTGAGAAGATCGTTTTAACCTCACGACCGGTATTCCATCGAACACCATCCACAACAGAGGTTGGCAAATCGGTTTCTCCAGCTGCGGGGGGGGGCATAATTTCGGTCAGTACACCTGAAACAACTCCAAAGAAAAACACAGAGTTCTACGAGACGCAATAGAGGCTGCAAATTACGTCTTTTGGTCAAATTTTGGTCATTAGGGACTCGCAGCCGGGGCCTTAAGCCGAATTTTCGCTGCGGGTATTGTGGTACGGACCCGCAGTACCCGCCTTATTTGCCGACCTCTGATCCACAAACCTTTCAAATTACCCCCGGTTGAATTCGTTCGAGTATAACAAAGAATATTTACATGCATTCTTACACTGTAATCATTAAGATTAAAAACGCGCAATTTTGGATCTTTCCTTCTCGCTTCCTCTTCAACTATGCGTACCGCCCAAAACGCCTCTGCACGCTCCTCCTGTCATTCACAATCAACTCATGCTACTCGCCCAGCCTGACTCATCACCAAGCCTTTACGCGTAGCCAGCGGGAGGCTCCCACTGCGTTACACCGGTGGCCCCATTGTAATAGTACGGGCGACCCTCGGCTGTGTAATGCACCTGCCAGGCCCCAGGCGCCGGCGGGGCGACCTACGCATGTGAAGGAAGGGAACCAAAACAGTCGACATATTATCACCCTGGCTTCTGCTCGGGCGCGCTTAACACTGCAATCGAGCGTTGGCTTGACGCGACCTCCAATCTATTATGTAGCGGCATAACCATTCCAAGTAAACAACCTAACATCACGAAAAAGCAGTCAAAAGCCAAGACACTCTTACCTGCTGGGGCTGCTGCTGCTGGGCAGGCATGGCGGGTTGCTGGAAGTAGGTGGGATAGGCTGGTTGTTGCGGGGGAACCTGGTCAATGAGGGACACAGCTGCTTGCTGCTGCTGCGAATATCCGTACTGCTGTGCACCATACGCGCTGGCGCCATTGGGTGGCGCTTGCTGCTGCACAGGCATCGACACCGGAGCATAGGAGTGCCGCTGCTGCTGCTGCCCGTAACTGGACTGGGACGAAACACCGCCGCCTCCACCTCCGTAGTTCAGATCCAGATCGCTGGTTAGGGCTTGCGCACCGGCAATGCCAGCCATTCCTGCGTGCGGTAACGTCGGTACCCATGACATGAGTAGTGCTGATCCAGGGCCCCCACGGAAAGTCCTCAAGAGTCCCGAGCGACCCAACGACCCAATGTTGTGACCCGAAAACTGCAGCAAGCAGGCGGCGGCACAAGTACTGCAGCGAGCAAGCAGCGAACTAGCGCTCACTGTGGCCCAGATTACCACAGTGAAGGAGAAAGAAACTGGGGACTCCGCGGCACACGAATGCTTTCGACCTTCCTGAGTACCGAGTACCCCGAGTCCTTCCCAAATTTCAACCTTCCTGAGTACCGAGTACCGAATCGATGCAACAAGCATGGGGTCAAAACGGATGGAGGGCCTCGAGACGAAATATCCGAAACATCAATCATCAGGGCCGATGGAACCCTGCCTTGGCCTGCACGCCGGAGAAACCGTCTCCTCCTCGCCAAGTTCTTCCGATTCGAATGGGACGGGCTCCGTCGCCCTCCGGTTTAATGCTTGATACCTTTGCTTGGTTCTCTCTGCAAAGTTCACGCCCCCTGTACTCCTTCCTTTCCGCACCTTCCACCGTTCACAGTACCCATTTCCCGACACCTACCCGCACACACGTCCAGCACCCCGTATTCCCCCCGTCGCCCTTCCTCTGTACGCGGCTTGCGCGGCAAGGCTGTCACAATACCTTGTATTGGCGTGTAGCCACTGCTGTATTGCCTGTTGAGCACAGCGTATGGTGACGTGTCCCGGTATGTGTCCCGATAGCCCCCGCTGCCGCCCCCGCCACCACCACCACCGCCGCCGCTGCTGCTGGGCACGTCGTCGTACCCCACCACGTTAACGAGCGTGTTCCCAAGGTTTCTGTTATACCCGGCACCGCCGCTGCCGCCGACGCCACCAGTGCCCCCGCTGCTCTCAAAGTTCTTTTCCAGCTGTCGGAGCCACTCGGAGGGGTTCTTGGGCTGCTGCGCCTTAGCCTGGGGGGCAGGCGGTTCATCCTCAACGCCCGCGATGTGCTTGCAAATCTTCTGCATGGCGCCCTCCATCGCAGAGACCCACTCAACCACCTCAGTTTCACTGCCTGCGATGTAGCAGACGGTTCCGCCGCTAGTTGTTTTAAGCTGGATGGTGTTAGCGCGGCCGGGGAGGACCTTGACATCCTGGACTTTGCTAAGATCAACCACGCCACGTGGCTTGGTGGCCTCGGTAACCTTGTCGTTATAAAAGCGGAAGAGGTAGCCCTGCTTCAACACAAACCAGCGGTTCCGCCAGTTCTTCAGGTGGTCGCCTTGCGACTGTAGCCAGCCAGCCTTATCCGGGCTACGCCAGTACTCAACCTCGTCAGCGGATGGAAGCTGGGGGAAGTTGTAAATCGGAGGAAGGAGATTGCGCGCGGTTTAGGGGCAGATGTGAGGGGCAAACATGGGTACGAGCGGAAAGGAGCTGCGCACCCATCAATTCTCAGCGGGTGCTTCAGGGACTTTCAACGCTGTCTTGATGGAAGTGCTGCTGATTTAACAGCGACTGCTGCGCCATGTGGCTTGGGGTTGGCCCGAGACATACCGCTCCGCTCAAACGGAAACCCCTCCGCAATCCACCCACCTGCGTCTTTTTTTTGCCACCCCCAACCACCAGCGCGTGCAGATTATTGGCCGTCTCCTGCGCAGTTTCTGTTTGCCTGCTTTGCAGAAGCTCCGCGAGCCTGCAGCAAGGCTCCAGTTGAGGTTTGGACGGAACGCCAGCACGCCACTGCCATAGGGACATGGCATCGACTCACTGCATGCAGCAGCAGGTCAACGTATCCAGCGCACTCCGGACAGTATTGTCATCTGCGGAAAGGGTTGTTTGCCGTTCCTCCACATCCACAGGAGTCCTTGTATATATTATTAAGCTACCACCGCGGGACTGCCATCGACTAATGTGACTGAGGTCGTAAGCGCGCATCGTCCGGTTGTCGGAGGCATTCAATAACTTCAAGCCGTCCAGGCCTATCTGGACAACAACACGCTCGTTTTGTCCTTCATGACTGACTAGATTCATGCGAAACTTTTCGCTTGTTCCCTTAAAGTCCGAAGCCATTTTGACGTTCGATTTCAGGTACACCGAGCTTAGGTATACAAAGGAAGAATGCTTACTTCGTTTTTTATGACACTTCGTCTGATGAAAATCCTCGTTCCTGAGAGGCTGATTTCTAACTCAAGACCCTGGAGGTAGGTACGTCTCGTCATGCACGTTCCGGAGAGGCGTATTTCCCCAAAGCTTACCCTTTGCAACACGTTTGTTAGGATGCTTTACATGGTGCTATAAACATCATCATGGAAATCTGCGCAAGCCTGGTATAGCCCCTGCCGCGCTATTGGTTCAGGAAGAAACAGTCTATTAAGGTCATATGAGGTATAAAAATTATGTCGAGATGAAAAAACGCTCCGTGCGTTCGCCAAAAACAGCATCCCAGGCACTCGGCACCTGCAGACCTACGGGACGCTCCATAAGGACAACCTGCCACGACCGCACCCAACGCCACAAGCTGAAGCCCTTATACCCATGCGCTGCCACCACCAAATCCCGGCTATGTGGTAAGCTCATCATTGCCAGTGCCTCTATGGACAACAACAGGCGGGTTCAAGTCGTCATAGCCACCGAAGCAACAAAAGCTGCCGCACTAAAGCAGCCTGACTCCGAAGCGCCAAGAAGGTATGTACACACTTCATGGCGCACACGCAGCACTCATCCTCGATTCCAGTTGTCGTCAAACCAACTCTTACTGTCCGGAAAATGCAGAGCGCGCAATGTACCAGCAAACACAAGATCGCTCTCCAACAGTAAAGCTAGTGAGCACAAACGCCAACCATTCCTGGCCCCCTTTGTATCCCCTGATCCGGGTTTCGGAGCTTCTAAGGCCAGGCCACGATATCCGCAGTTTCAAGCGTACAAGCCAACACACACACGCGTCGCAGTTGCATGGTATCACACATTGTCGGTCACATCGGAAGCCCTTAATGATGCACACATACACAGTAAACAAAGAACTCGGCGAGTGGCAACCGCGCTACCCGCCCAAGTGCAGGAGTCACGCAAACATACATACGCACAGGCACGCATACTCTTCGCTACGACGGCCCGGCGCTTGCGAAGGTCAGCGCCCCGACGACGACGACGACCTCTCGACCCGTAACAGAAACCAGCCAGCTAGGACCCCCAGGCAGCCTAAGTTTCAGAGGCTTAACCAGCCAGCGCCGCTGTGCTCGGCTAAGGCCCCTTCAGCCTTGTTCGCACTGTCCGCCAGTGCTCCCCCCTTCCCTCCCCTTTCCCTGCCTTCTCTCCTGTCCGTACAGGTCTGAATTGGGATAGGCCCCTGCCAAGCAGCGCACCCTCCTGGCGCCGGGGCCTAGATCAGTGTCGCCGACTTCCGGGCCCAACTCGACATTGGCGGTGGTTGCCGCGATGTTGGTGTCCAGGGCGATACGTCGACAGCCGCCATCCCAGCTACCCGTGACACGTCCTTGCAGTCCGCCCACCACCACCCGCCGCAACCACCGATCAATAACAAACAATCCGTTGGAACAATCCGTTCCACTGGCGGCCCCGTACAAGGCCGGACACAGTGCAGGTGGAACCCTCGCGACATTCGGTTTCAGCAGCACCCGTTCGTGACACAACTCTACAGTCATACCTACAATCTCTGCAATTCGAGAAATATACATACATAAGAGTACAGCATTAAGAGAGAGTCCAGGGGAACTGTCCCGTCGCCCACCACTGCGAGAGTGAACAGCGCAGTCAACCATGTAAACGCGTTTGGCTCGGCGGTTTTTCACACACCAACACACTGACTGATAGTTGGGACGTATAGCCCCCACTGCCGCATATCAGCAGACACGTGCTTCACGGCACGGACCAACGCACGGGGCAGCGTACCCAGGAACGAGGTTTGGGTTACGAACAGCTGAGGGCCCTGATGCCGAATTACGGAGCAGCGGGCACCGCAGACATCGCCCGGCATCGCGGACACCACGGCCCCCTGCGTCCATATATCACGTACCATTCGCATGTTGCACATTGCCACCACCCCCACTGCCCTACCCGGACCGCCCGCTGACCAAGAGCCCCAACGAACGCGCCAGCGGCCCCAGCGCCTTTACCCACTGACCTGGGTCCGACCTCGTACAGTGCTGCGTAGAGGCAATGCCGCCTCGTTGATCCTACCCCCCCCCCTCTCCCCTTCCCCAACTCCAGTCGCATCAGATGTTAAGTAGCTGGCCCAGCAACCCCGCTTGCTCCGTAACCTCCGGGTCCGCCCGGCGAGCCTCCTCGTCCATATCTTGGAACAGGGTACGGAACTGGTGCAGGTGGAGCTTGGCATTGTCGTATTGCTTTTGGTTGTACAGCAGGATGGCTGCGTACGGAAGGACGAACGAGAGAGGAAAACGAGAGCGAGGGCCGTTAGTGAGGGTTCGAACCTGTGCACGAGATTTAGGTCCCGCACCCGCAGAGCTTTTCCCTTTAGCTCCCCTCCCCCTCCCTTCCCTGCTCCTCTCACCCCTTCCCTTGCTTACCCTCAAATCCCCTTCCATTCCTCAGCCTCCATCTGTGTCAATCACCTCCCTCCCCCTTCGCCCCGCTTCCCTTTCCCCCCTCCCACCCCACCGTAATTGAGGTGGAAAACGGGCTCCCCCGGTTGTCCCGCCATCTGAATGGCCTTCTCGTAAGCCGCACACGCGTTCTCAAAGTCGTCCAGTCGCGCCAACGTGACTGCCAGGTACATGTACGAGTGCGCAAAATCGGGCTTGAGGTTGACTGACGCGGAGAAGTAGTGGAAGGCGGAGGCGTACTGGCCCGTGTGCAGGTGCACCAGGCCCAGGTTGTACGAGATGATCCACTCGAACGGACCCAGGTACAGGGCCTTTTTCAGACAGGCGATGGCGGCGATATAGCGCTGGGAGGGGCCCCCGGGTGGGCGTGCGAACACGAATAGGGAAGGGGCAGCGGCAGGGAAGGGAAGGGGATGGAGATGGGAGGAAGGTAGGAGTCGAGGGGGGAGGGGAAGAAAGCGCCGGATGTGGCATGTGATGGGGGTGTATTCTTTCCCAGGTGTGTTCTCCCCATTAGCCCTGGCCCGCCCCTCACGTGCCATGACACCATGCGGCAGTCCCGGGTTCTCCTGCCTCCCCTCTCTTGCTACTCCTTGGCATGGCCTGCTTTGCCTTTCGTCGATCATTTTGCAATACACAGCATCCCTCGTTGCGGCCCATCCTGCCTTCCGCGCGCCCACCCACTCCTCCAGCTAGCCACCCACCTGCTTTCCAAAGAAGCACATTCCTATGTTGTTCCACAGCTGGGGGCTGTTGGGGGTCTGCACCGCCGCCACGCGGTACTTCACCAGCGCCACATCCATGTCGGAGTGGTCCTTTGTAAACAGGTTTGGGGAAGAAAGGAAGGAGAGGGAAGGGGAGGAGGGAGGGACGTATAAAACTTCCAGGGGGAAGAGTGGGGCGCATTGGAGGAAAGATAGGAAAGAAGCCGTACACCTTGTATAAGAGCAAGGGGGTGCGAGGGTGAAGGTCGAAGGCCCCACAGCCCCGCCTACGTAGGCTGCACATCCAAGCTTACTGACCACTCTTCCCATCCTCACAACCCCTACCTGTATGATGGACCCAGCCGCCAGGATGGTCCTAGGGTTGCGGGGGTCATGAGTGAGGGATGTGCTCAGGTAGTCGAACGCCCGGTTGTTGTCGCAGGTCCTGGGCGGGCCGGGGAGGGGAGAAGGCGGGCCGCACGTGCGAGGCAGACGAGGGAGGGGAATGGAAAGGGTAACCCTAAGCCGGTGTGGCCGTATTGCAGGGAGCGAAAAGACGTGTCGTGGGACGTGCTGTGTAGGCCTGCAAGCTGTTGCATGAAAGGCAGGGCCGGAAAGCTCGGCCGCCCCGCAGCGGTGGTTGGTGTCTTCCTCACCGCACCGGGAGGACGACACCCACCCGGCGGCCCCAACACCATGTGGTGGGAGATTTGGTGGTGATGAGGATAAACTTCTTGTTTTACGATATGGCCGATTGCATCGGGGCATCGCCCCTCCGTTCGCCCGGGTACGTTAGCTCCATTTTCCCCTCCGTCTCCGCCCAGGCCACCTAGGCTTCCCCTGGTCCTCACCTCTTGCACGCACATACGGTCTATTTACGTCATTTTCACAACGTTCGCACAACTACAGTCTAGATTCGGTAGCTGCACTGATTATTTACACCCCGCTGCTGCGAGACACTGTTATCAAATGTCAAACAGATGACGGTTACCTGCACACATCCCCGAAGCCGGTAATTCCCCTCCCCTGGTGGGAGGAACGTTTCCGGAACACCGAACAGTTGCTTCCTTGCGTTGGGCTTTCGGCGCTTACTGCCTAGCGATTTGCATGTACCCTTCCCCTCTCCGCCCGAGCGCTCGCACCCCCTTCCGGTCCTGGTCTCTCCCTCCTGATGGTTCCTCCTGGTCAGCTCCCTTCCCCCCCCCTCATACCTGAGGAACAGCAGCCCCAGCGTGGTGAGCACCTCCGGGTTCTCAGGGGAGTGCTCCAGAGCCTCCATGTATACATTGATGGCCTGGTTGGGAAATGAGGTTGGAGCGAGGGAGAAAAGGGGGAGGGGAATGATAAGGCAAGGCGGGGTAGTAGCATGAGTAGGAAAGGGAGAGGCTCGCCAATCCAGATGCGACCGGAGGGCAACACAGTTCCCCAGTAGTCTTCGTGGACGCACCTGCGTGAAGTCGTCCATCATGCTGTACACCTTGCCCAGCTGCAGAAAGGTGGAGTCATGGGGCTGGATGTCAATGGCGATGCGGAATGATTCGATGGCCCTGAGAACGGCAGGTAGAGAAGGAGGGAGCGGCGCAGGGAGGACGTGTTCAATTTAAAAACTGAGCCGCGATGTACGTATGTACGTATGTGTATTAAAGGGTTCATGGGTTGGGATCATCCCGGGAAGAACGGAGTGAACGGTATTGTACACACACACACACCACTTCGTCTCATAAACGTACCTGTCATATTGTTTTAAGTACATGTAGCATAGCCCTTTGTTGTGCATGATCTCCCAGTCGGGTGCCCCAAACTTCTGGGCCTCCTCGTACACGTCCACAGCGGCCTTATGCTTGCCTAGCAGGTACAGAGAGCGACCCACCTGGGGGCGGGGGGTTGTGAGGGGGGTTGTGAGGGGAGTTGTGAGGGGGGTTGTGAGGGGATAGGTGGGTGGGGATGGGAAGAAGTGGGGAGCAATGTGCGATGCGATGAGGCGGTAATCACGAGGAGGAAGCAACAGCAGCTGCTGCTGTCTGTTGTCCAGAGAGCCAGGGAGGGCCGGCCATGACAAACCACCTGCCCAGTCCGGCCCTGCTCAACCCGACATTCCCTTGCCTCGTTATCTCCCCCGTATCTCCCCCCTCCCCTGTGCCCAAGGTTTCCTTGACACTGTTTCCTTCCTCTCCCTCCTCGCTCACGTCCCTGTCCCCCCCATCCTATCCTACCCCGCCCGGGCCCCGCGTAGTGTCCTGGCGCACCTGCTTGAGGTTGGCCGTGTTGTGCGGGTTGATGGCGGTGGCCTGCTGGAACAGCTGCAAGGACTCCTGAATTTTGCCTGCAAGGATGTGCGCCAGGGTACGCATGTGCATGTGTACGTCTGGTCCTCAACTTTTATCCCATCCTGATCCGCCCCACTACCCGCGTCCAACCGCACGGGTCAGCTGCAGGTTCAACCATCAGCTTTGAGATTATCCTCTCCGGCCTTATGAACATGAACCACACCTCAACCAGTTCAGGCCCCTCCCTGGCCCTGGGGGCTACTACCAATTCCTTACTCCCAAAGGCCCCAGGTGTACAGACAAACCAACCCAGCAGATTTTTCCTCTCCGAGCAATAGGCGGCTAGCGGTACTAGCCAACTGTGCTGGTACTAACCACCAGCTGGTGCCGGTGGGTTGTAAGTGGCCGCGACGTGGGCACTGGGTTCTCGCTTCCGCGACCCAAGCAAACAGGTAGTGCAATGAAACTGTCTTCGATCCCCCAAGAAGAAGAAAATCCAAAGGGCTAGGTGTCTATGTGCGCCGATTGGCTCACCTGGACACGGTGGCCTGCCTGCCATACGGTACCCCTTCGCGACCCACCTCTATGTCGCATGATGAGAGCTTTGATGTAGATTGCGTATTCACAGAGGCCATCTGTATCCTCTAGTATTTTGTCTATTTGCTTTAGGCACTCCTCGAACTCCTGTAAGGGTGCTCGGATTGTTGGCCGCCTAGCTTTGAAGGTCTAGCGAAGCTAAGGGAGCTTATGTGACCAACCTGTCGAGTATATAATAGGTGTAATGCATAGTTGCGCTTGTCGCGCTGCTGTGCAAGCGATGACATGAAGAACACAAACCTCCCGCACGAACGTCCTTAAACTGAGTAATTAAATGGTTGTTAAGTAGCTAAAATTCGAGTACAGGGATGACGATTACAATTCCGGCCTGGTCAACTAAGCGAGTGTTCTGATTAGTACGTAGATAAGGAAGTAATTTGTATGTTATCGAGTTTAAGAATAGATGTATAATGCATATATGTTTGTATAGCGAACAGAAATCCATCTTAGACTCTTCGGACGGGCTTGGCACAACGACTTCCGTCCAACTGACGTCATGCGCTGCGTGCTCAGTGCGCATGCTTTTCACTAAATCCGTCTTCATATTTGTATGTAGCAACAATAACTTTAAGGGAGCTTGACCCATAGGCCGTGCAGAACTGCAAACTGGTCAACAAAACGCCCCGTCACAAGCTGCACATCCGGCGCGCATTGGAGCTCCTCTCAGCAAAAAATCACCAACACCTGACCTTAAACTTATAAAACACTGTCCAGCACTACACGACTTTCGGATAGCAATGATAGTCTTGGACCCTCGGGTCAACGCGACGTCCGCATTGGGTCCGGATCCTATGCCAACCGCGCCTGCACCGTTCATGCTACTACAAGACTTGCATTGGATTTGTCGCATAGAGATCTGCACCCTTCTGCTCTGGCTCTGCACCATCTGGACGCACCAAGCGGTGCTACCGCGGACCCCGGGTTGGCGGCGGATGGCTGTCGCCACACCCGCGGTTGCGGCCCTCATAGCCTCTCCCTTCCTCTTCCACCCTATCAATGAGCCCATCCTATCCATGATGGTGACCTTCATGAGTGTGCGAATGCCCCTCACCAAGCTCCTGGCGGCGTGCTACGCCCGGGGGCCCTTAGTAGCGCTACCGCCGCCGCGCAACAAGCCGGTCACGGCGAAGGTGGCCAAATGGCTGAGACAGTCGCAGCTCCTCCGACGATGGTGGCCTAAAACTCCAATGAGATCGTCGCGTGCCGCCGCAACATCAGCAGAAGCAGCGGCAACAGCTGGCTGCGGGATAAATGGACATTCCGACGACGACAAGGCCAACAAAACCGTTCCTATGGCTGCCGAGGTACCTGATCTTGCGCTTGTCACATTCTTCATGCTGAGCCCTGTCGTACCTCGGCCCTGCCGTACGGATGCCCGCTATGGTGGAGGCGGTGACAACACCTGCCCTCTGCGTCGTGAACACAGCAGCACATACAGTGCGCGTGGCGACTGCCGCCGCCTGCTTCGTGAGCTCGCTGGCAAGTGGCTTGCCTTCGCTTCTGCCTGCGCACTTGCGGTGATGTACGGCAGGACAGCGCCGCTGGCGCTGCATGCCGCGCTGGCATACGGCATGCTAGCGATTATGGGCGGCATGATGGACCTGACGGCTCTGTATTGCACCACGATATGGGGAGTGGACCTCGTGCCTCCCTTCCACAACCCTTTCCAGGCGACATCGCTGTCAGGTGGGCCGTGTGCGCGCAGGTGCAATTGCACGAGCTCGACCGAGGGCTGAAGCGCATTGCATCGCGTCCCGTAGCGCGGCGCGGCGCACTATGATGAATTGCATGGGAGTTCTGCCGTGTTCCGAACCCCACCGTACTGTGCCGTACCGCGCGCAGATTTTTGGGCTCGTCGCTGGAACGTTACGCAGAGCCGTGTGCTGAAGGGTTTACTGTACGACCCCATAGTGGAAGGGCGGCTCGTACCGAGCGGTAATGCCGCCGTCATTGGGAATGCCCGCTGTGGCGGTGGCGGTGGCGGCGGCTGCGGGGGTGCTGTCGGCAATGTGGTCGTCGTGGACAGCTGCTCTGGCGGTGACGCCGCCCTACCGGGTGAAGTTGCTTCACAGCACCCGCACCTCCGCCAGCGCCGCCACTCCTCGGCCTCCGCCGCACCGCAACAGCAGCAGCAGCAGCAGCAGCACGACATGTCCTTGCGCGCCCCGACCCTCGTCCCCATCACCGCCGCAGCCGCAGCCCCACCGGCCCGCAGCGTGAACCCGGCCGACGGTGCCAGCACAGCCTCACGCGTGACTGACAACGGCAATATCAACGGTGACGATCCCGACGCCACCTTTAGCGGCAGCTTTGCCGCCGGTGCCGACAATGACAGCGATGGCGATCGTGCCCTGGCAAGCTGTAGAGGAGCGACTGCGTCCACCGATGGCGGGGCGGCAGCGGGTGACTGGGCTCCCGGACGCGACGTCGAAGGCAGCGATCCCGACGGTCAGAGGGCGCCCGCTCCCCGCGTCATGGCCGCCCTGGCTAGTGTGGATGCAGGCAAACGCTGGACACGGCGAGGCGCAGCCACCGCAGCTGCAGTAGTGCGCGGTCACGGCAAAGGCAGCGAGGGCGACGGTGGCGAGAGTGCTGCATCGTGCAGCTTCTTCGGTGGCGCTGCCGACATGGCCGCGATGTCGGCCACGGTAGCCGCGGCTGCCGGGGCCGCGAGGGCGGTCCTGAGCAATACACGGACACGGCGGGCAGTGGCCCTTCTGGCAGTGTTTATCTTTAGCGGCATCGAGCACGAGGTGCGGTTCCCTGCGCTGTCGGGGGGGGGGGAAGGTGCCCTGAAGTATACGGCATGAAGCGAGGAGGGCTCCAGGACAGTACGGACAGAGTACGGATAGGGGTTTATTCTTAGTACCTTGGCTTGAGTGTGCTCTTTTCGAACCTTTAGTTTCCATTTAAAAGCCTTGAACTGATCTTTAGACGGCGCAATCCAGCAATCCATACCACCCGACACATTACAAAACGCTTTCCTCCGTAAAGCTGCAGAAGACATCCCGCGAAAGGGAATCACCCGCTAGCCTCAGCGTGCACCCGCTTTCCGTTGCTTTACCGCTTCCTCCCGACCTCCCGACCTCACTGGCCCACCCCGGACCCGCACATGAACATCAAGATCTTCCACTGGTATGTTCAACGCTTTTTCAGCGGTCAATGGCTCACTTTCTTTGCCGTACACGGTGTACTGCTGGTGGCGGAGGAGGCGCTGCGCCAGGCTGCTGCTCGCGGCGGTACGGCGGCGGCGCGGGCGCCACGACCGGCCCCCGACAAGGCCGCCGAGGGCATCGTCACTGCCGTTGGGACAGGCATGTGGCGTACGGCGGCTTCGCTGGCTGCCGCAGCGGCCCGCCTGCCGCCCTGGGTTTCGCGGCTGCTTACCTTGGCGGTTTTGGAGCTGACTGCGACCTGGTGGTTCTTCGATGTGCTGCTGGAGCCGGGGATAGTGGCACGGACCGTGGGGTCGTTAAAGGGAATGATGCTGCTCATCATCCCGGCGGCCGAGCGCTGAGGGAGGCTCGAGGCATCGTCCGGAGACGTACATACCGGGCGGCGGAGGGAGCTCTTGCGGGGCAGGGGGGGGGTTAGCGATACACCCCGCGCATTGAGGGTTCGTTTGGGCCGTGCTGGCGGGGTACGGCCCAGATAGGGTAAGGGGAGGTAAGGGGAGGGAGGGAGCCACCGGCAGGTATGGGATGTTAAACAAGACACCCCACATGGCAGGTAGGGACGTGGGAGAGGACCGCGGCACGGGAGGGGGAGGAGCGCATGTGTGACAATTGCGGCGGTGGGGGCCCGGCGGTGTGGCTTGACAAACGAACTGAGGGTTCCGAACTTGCCACCTACTTTGCTTTGCGGCGCGTGACTGTGTCGTGGTGAGGAGCAACTGCTGAAGCCATCGCCCCATGTTTTATATAGATATCATGTGTGTGTACGTCTATATATATGTGTGCGTGTATGTACGTCTATACAACTGAGCCGCGAGGAGAAGAAACCAGCGGCAAAGGCGGCGCGGCAGGTTGAGATCCAGCGTACACAAACGGCGTCAATGCTAATGTTGACGAGGCTGGCATTACAACGGCATTACAAGACTACATCAGGTCTCAGTTCTTGACAAGTAGGATGGTACAGCAGCTAGCCGTACCCAGATGACGTGGGACAGGGTGGGGATGCTTGTATGTAACCACGTATGTAAATTTGTATGTAGGTAGGTACTGGCGATATGAATCATTTTCCACGTGGGCTTAGACCCCCCTTTGAAACGGACAGGAGATTAAGTATTCCAGCTCCGAGCCGCACGTCGAGGGTTGGCATGCTCCTGTTTTCGCGCCTCCAAAGTTGGTGTACGGGTCCAAACCGATGGCTGCCCTGTTGCGTTGACAATATGACGATAGCCTTGTCACGATGGGCATATCCGAAGTGGAAGGCCAATATGTATGGGCTTGTATGGGAGGCCGGATATGCCACAAACACAACGTGCGACAAATTTGTACTACACATGAAATGCAGGTCTGCAAGAACGAAGCTTCATGCATGAAACGTTGTAGATGCATGCGACCCCCCGGGAATTGACAACGTGCGAGGCCTTGTATCGTTGTACGACATATCAGTCACCACGGTGTCGCGATTTCTTAGTCATCCTCAGCGCGATGGCTCGAAGCTCGGCGGCCGCATACACACCACGTAGCCCCCCTCGCCCATATAAAAGCACTCCGCACATTTCAGCCCGGAACGTATGTGCCACCACGAGGCGCCTCGCGCGAGTTGCCACATCTCCGCTTACAGAAGGGACGACCGGCCCGCCCCGCTTGTTGCAATCCCCCCCCCCAAAGCGGTTTACTGCCCCGGGGACCGCGTGGGCGGGCAACGGGGACCCTATACACACACGCGGCTCGCAGTACAGGTGCCCTAATACACCTTGACCCCGGGATTTACGACTTCACACATACACACACATACACATCTGTACAACACACTCTCAAACTCACTGCAGCCCCATGTTGCCCAGGCGACATGGAGCAAAATGAACTCTTAACTCCCACCAGCACAGTCCATATTCCCTTCACTTCTGATTACGAGCCACATCATCCATCCATAATTTGCATTAAGGCATGAGCAGCGTTCCTTCCTTCCACATGCACTCCAGAAACACTCGCCCTCTTTCCTTTCCCCTTTTTCACATTCCCCCCCACCTCTCTTCTTCAGCAGCTTCAGCCTGACGTCTTAACGTTTGTCTTGAGCAGTTAGCTCCATTCACACCTCCCCCTCGAGTGCAGACACACAGAACACGACCCACGTTGTTACAGCACACGCAACAATCAGACCTGCATAAGATGAATAGCCCAGCTGCGGAGCACGCGCCTCCTGTCCTCTTCCCTAACCCGAACGGAGAGAGAGGATCCGAGGCGCAAGAGGGACGACTGCGTTCGTCACAACGCAAACCCCCATACACACGCCCCCTGGGTCCACCCTGGAGCCATCACGCTGGCCGAAATCCGTTATCGCCCCACCTGAACAGAACCACCTCCTCGCCCCAGGTGCCGTCGTCACGGCGGTGCCGCTCCCGAACCTCCGAGCTGCCGTCATGCCACACCACTATGACCGTCTGGCTGCGGGTGCCGTACAAACCCCACTGGCGGGTCGGGGGTAAGGGCAGGCGGCGGGCGGGCGGGAGGGGAGGTGGGTTGGTGGCGGGGTGCACGCGGTTAGTCCACCTGGCAAGGACGGGGAGTGTGCGGCAGCTTGGGGGCCAGCGGAGGGATGGAGGGGGAAAGGAGTCGGCAGTTAAGCGGTACGACAAGGCCAAATGGGAATACGGAACACAGTCGTACATACAATGACATGCAGATGCGATGTAGGCAAAGGGACAGGCAGATCGAAGATAGGGAGCGCCAATTGTTCCGACGTTGCCAAAAATAAAAATACGCAAAAATTAAGGTGCGGCTCAGATCGTTGAACACACGCACGATACACCGTCGACAATCTGTCTTATATCAACATAAAGACACCGACAGCCCAAGACGCTGATAGATATCGCACGGAACGCAATCCCTTCCGCGCAACCCACCGCGCAACTTCACGCACCTACGGGCCGGTTAGGGCGGCGGCGCAGGACCGGTCATACCGCAAGCAAGCACTCCCGAGCCGCAGCCGCCCCACCCTCCCTCACAAACCCTAAAACCCTAGCTCCCGAACCACCCCCGCCCCCCACCCTTCCAAGGCCCCACCGGCGACTGTACGGCGGCCACGAACCGCCCGCTGGTGATGTGCTCAAGCCCCTCCCGCATCCCATCCAGGTCGTACGTCTCGATGGAAGCGGCGCTGTCGCTGTCGCCGCGCCCACACGCAGGGTTCGCCGCTGCCACCGCCGCTCCGGTTCTTTTTGCCTCCTCACCCTTGTCTTGAGGGACGGACTCATTACCGCGTGCTCGAGCGGTTGTCGTCAAGTGCTCGACGGCGTCATCTCCTGCATGCTGTCGCCCTGTCGGGATATCGGCAGCCGCCCCTGCCGCGTTCTCATCACTGCCGCTGGCCGGCCCGGTTCCGGTCGCAGATGTCTTCAGCGGCACCAACCGCTTGCTGTCTCCGAGGAGCTCCCCAAAGATGCGGTCGTACGGTACGGGCTCACCTGAATGCCCCCACGCATTGGGACAGGAACACACAGCGGTGGACAGCGGGGTGGACCGGGGCTGGGGCTCTGGAGCTTGGCGCCCCAGGGGGCAGTGCCGTCTCAACCGCCCGGCGCCGCAGTCTCAGCAGTAAGGCTTCAACAGCCCAGTTCCCTCCCCCCCATCGGGCTGCCAGCCTGGCAATGCTTGTAACCACTTGCTGCTGCTGCTGTTGCTGTTGCTGCTGGTGAGCAGTAGCCGCTCACAGCCTCGCACTGGTCCGTCGCTTTCCCTCTCCCTCCCTCTCTCTCTCTCGTCCAGGTCCCTCTCAACCCATGGCCTGTCGCCATAATGCATTCTTCTCCCCCTTCTTTCCATGCCCTACCATAACCCCGAAATACTAGATTACAGCATTGGCTCATGAAAGCAATAAAGTAAGGCCCAGGTCGTTAGTCAGCTCATTTACTTTACTACAGCTGGTCCCCTCCACTACAGAGATCCTGTGCCCTGTGCAGCAAAGCTAAGGCCCAGGTCGTCCCAGTCCCAGGCTCGTGACCAGCCAGCCGGAGTCCGTGCGTCCGTCCGTCAGTCAGTCCGTCAGCCAAAGCCCTGGTCCCGCCGCACCTTGGGTCACTCTCGGCAGCAGCTCCTGCAGCGCCCGGATACCAGATGTCACTTTAGGCCACTCCATCAGCCGCCCGTTGCTCAAGCCTGCATGTATGCATGAGCACACATGTGCACGCACATATGTACGCCACAAGAAGGATCAGGAAGGATTGAGGGTAAAGGAGGAGTTGGCTCTGGTTTGGACTATGCCCGTGAGCAAAACCGGGGAGGTTGCCCTGGGAGCCGACTTTGAGCCGGGGACCGTGGGACACCTGTCGACAACGCCGGTTTGCAGGAGCGGCCGGCTGCACACACATATGGGGTTTACCGCCCCCGCCCCGACTCGTACCGTAAATCCGCCCAGGCTCCAAAAGCTCCACCGCCGGGGCCGCGACCGCACCACAGCTGCTACTGCCGCCGCCGCCGCCACTGCTGCTGGTTGCTACGCCGCTATCGGGGCTGTTGTTGATGTAGGCGAACGCGCCGACCTGCGAGTCCCCCCCGGTGAGGAGGTGTCCAACTACGAGATTGAAGCCCTGGTAGTGGTCGCCGGGCACTGACTGGCAGTGCGCAGGGGGGAAAGGGTAAGCAGTACGAGGGGAGTGTTAGATACCGGAAAGTTGTACGGCGGTTTCGGTGCTGCGTACGACGTGCTGAGGAAAGGCCAGGTAACTCGGGAACCCCATCCCAGTCTCAAGCCAGGCCGGGAGACCACCCGAGAGAAAGCTAGAGGCTGGATCTCTTCCAGCAGCAGCAGAATGCGCAGCAGTACATGTGCACAGAACAGGATTACCTGTCAATACGATGGCGACAGCGTGCGGTTCGGGTAAAACGGCAAGAATACCACCCAAATTCAGCTTCTCCAATCTCTCCTCCCTATGCCTTTTGTTCCCATGCTCCACTGCTGCGGCCGCAAAGCAAGCCTCAGAGGGCTGAGGCATAGCGGAAGGCTTACAACTGAAACAACACGTCGACCCGGCCGCGCCGCAGCCTGCCCTGGCCCTGAAACCCCCCTGATGGATTGCAACAGGGGAAAAGCTTCTTAATTGCACGATCTAGCACAGCTGCAGTAAGGCTCCGAAACCATCATTCTCACTATCACCAGCACAACAGGTAGTATCGGCATGCATGGCCAAACCCGCCGGTCCCGTCCTGGTCCCGCTTCCCTGGTCCCGCACCTGCATGTACTCCTGTGGCGATGCGCTTCCGGTCAGGAAGTTGGTCACAAGCTCGCCGCGGCTGGCACAGGAGGCTGAGCTGTTATGACTGGTGGGTTCAATCGGATCCAGGCTACGGAGATTCGTGAGGAAGGCCAGACGACCTGAGCGAACGTTGATGCCTAACCAGGTCCCCCCGCTGCCCATGTCGCGGCCGCCGAGGATGAAGCTGCCATCCTCCCAGAGGTGCAGAGACTTCGTGGGCCTAGTTGCAATTTAGTGCGTTAGGAGGGTTTGGCCGAAAATTGGGGTTACGTTATGTTGGGAAGCTGTGTGCGGAATGGTGCTACGGTCCCCGGGACGGAGCCGCGAGGTGTGAAGGCTTCGGCCAGCAAGTTGCATGGGGGCGTGGGAACGATGCATACATACCTCCTGAAAAACTCGTCTCGATTGAAGGCAAGTAGCAGCCGGGGCTGAGGAGGGTCACATCCGAAAACTAGGAACGCTAGACACATTGGCCGACGTGCAGTTAAATTACGGATATTTATTTCACAGCAATTCTTTCCATTCAATGCAATGTTTCCGTTGCAGATATTTATCTTAACCGTTGTCCTGGTCAGTGCGCAGCTTGGATTTTAGTTTTGTGCGGAGGGCGTCCTTTGGAGCGCTGCACTTGGCCCAATCGGGATCAACTGCGACAACTGCAATTTGGATTTTAGTTGTATGATGAGCATGCAACGACGAATGCAACAGTAGTCGCGCTGAAGGCACTAGAGGCAGAGTGTCACGATACCTTTGGATGATGGCGAATGCGACATTTGATCCCTTCATACATGACCTACATCATCCTAGGGGTCGGAAGTGGGTTCGACGGTACTACCGTGTCATTCTGCCTATAGCTGTCGAGCAGTTCAACCTTGCCTGGTGTCTGTCCCACGGAAAACCTGCGTTGACCCGCTTTAACTGATACTGTAAAAAGGATATACTGTAAAAAGGAAATCGTGGGGAACGGGACGATGCTCCTTTGTTGTTGCCCACACACCGGCCCAGAGGTAGTAGATGAAGCGCGCATTCGCATCAGCACGGGCCTACCTAATAGCTAGGAGAATTAGACGGCGCTGTCAGTGTGCAGGCCTTCGACCTAGAGCGCGATTGCGTTCCTGAACGGATAAAATCTTGCCGAGAGTCCGAAGCGATAGAAACGCAGTGCTTTCCATGAACAATCAACACGCGGCTTGGACAGCTTATCAGAGTATCGTACTCGCCTGTTACATATATAAAAAAACATGCCAGCCCGATCTGGTCAGGAGGCGCCAGCAGAGGCATCGCATTCCGGTCCCTCCCACAAATCAAACACCCGGCCATCATTCCTTGCATGCACAACCCTCGAGCGTTCAGGCCTATGCTGCTACCGGTGGCTTAACGGCCATCCTTGTGCAAGCATAAATGTTGAAGCCATGGGAAACGTGTTGGCCAACCAAAACAGGTGACGGACCCGGCCAAAGACGTTAAGCACCTCAACCTGCTCTCGAAGGCACCACCTCGACAACACCATCCATACAGATGCGGACAACATGCCGTCCTAAAATTGTACAATACCTGCCAAACAGAAGAGCGCGCGTGTCTAAAATGGCCCATCGTTACGAGTTGGCAGGCCGCGCTTAAAAATAGGTTCATCGTCCTCGTTGCCGAAGGAAATTCCGTAACCCCTGCTGGCGCCATAGGCGTTTAGGTAGGTCTCCCCACCAGCGCCATGGCTGCCGTGACTACCCTTGTTGTAGCTACCGCCGCCACCCCCATACACTCGGCCAGAGGGAATATTGCGGCCGACAATCGCCACCCCGTGGCCTGTGGTGGAGCGGCCTGCGAAGAACGGATCCGACGAAGCATCCAGAAGCGAATTGCCCACATCCATGGACGTCGGCGGCGGCTTGCTACGACCACCCTTGCCAACCGTCTGCCACTGATCCTCGTCGCTGGCGCCGCTCGTAACGCTACCGGCAATGCCTCCTGTGCGGGCAACGGCGCCGAGACTGGAGCCGCTATTCGCGTAGGCCACGTTGCTGGTGGTGAGGCGGTCAGGCTCCGTCACACCACGCTCGCGCAGAACCTCCTCGCGGGGCCTGGCGGCCCCGAAAATGGATGAGCGCGTCCCATTAGGTGCGCTTGAATTGCCACCCCCGAGTACAGGGGCGGCAATAGGGGATCCGCTGGCAGCTGCCGGTCCATCACCAGCAGCCGCTGCAGAGTTTCCAGGCGGCGACGGGACCGGCTTCGTGCGCGGCTGTAAGTTAAGCCGTGGCCTGCCAGACGCCGTGCTGATCGCACCTGGCGGTGGAGGCGGCGACTCCTCGCGGCGCGGCGGCTGATAAGGCGCATGGACCTCTCCCGTATCATCCGTACGTCCCCGCGCGCGCCATGCCTCCGCTGCATCTGCCGCGCCTGTCGGCGCGAGGCTAGCACGCCAGCCATTGCCCGCATCGCCCAAAAGGGCACTGTTGCCAGGCGCACCATTGCGCCATGTCTCTGTGGGCAAGCCAGAGGCATTGCGGCGATCCGACTCACCGTAACCGCGCCGCGGCTCTGGGTCATTGGAATGGCCCCCAATGCCATTGGACGACACACCGCGAGGCGATGTGCTGTATGCACCCGAGCCGTTTGCGGAGCCGTTGGAATAGGTCACGGGCCGGGTCAAGCTGCTTCGGGGCCGCTCGTCCGCAATGCGGAGGCTCTCCGACAGGCTGCTGCTGCCTGCGAGGCGTGCAACGTGATAGAGCAATGTGCACAGCAACACCGGAAAGCGTTATGATAACATGCAAACAGCGAAGATTAGTGGGGAAAACAACAGGGAAATGCCGCTACGACAGAGAGCTCCGTGACCACCGTGTGCGCGATGACGACCCTTGCCTTTCAAAGTTGTTTTTAAAACAACAGCATAATTAGTTCACAAGAAGACATGGATTCACTGCACACAACACGACCATACCGGACAGCTCACCATTAATAAGACTCGACTTCGCGGCCGTCATGCGGGCCAGCGCCTGCTGCGCCAGGCGTTCCGCCCACTCGTTCTTCACCGGCTCCGAAGCTGTCACCTCAGCAACGGAATCCAAAGGGACAGATACGTTTGTGGCACGGACCGCCGGCTCCGCGTCAACGGACAGGGCAGCAACTTGCAGTTCGAGGCCAGCCGCCACCGCCACAGGCTTAGCCGTCTCTTCAAATGGACTCCGCTCCTCTTGGCTCAGCAGTTGCAGGCTTTGCGGGCCCACATACCCCACCGCGGGAAAAGGCATCTGAAGCTGTTGCTGGTTGAGCTGCGACTGCTGATCCTCGGTTACGAAGTCCTCGTGACGGCCGTCGCACAGACCGGCCTGCGTAGAGGGCATACCTGCCGGCTGCATGGGAGGAGGTGCATTACCGAAGCTCGGTCCCGATGGAGGGGCCAGCATCTGCCCGTATGCATCAATGCCAGGACTAAAAAACGTAGGCGGCAGCGGCCCCGGACCGCCCATGGGACCACCAGGAGCGTTGAATGGATCTGACATAAAGGCGTGTGTGCCAGGCCCCGACGATACCAGGTGCTGCTGCAGCAACTGCTGCTGGAATTGGTAGGCTGGGTCGAACTGTTGTTGCTGAAGAAAGTGCTGCTGCTGATACTCTGAGAGAGGGGGATACTGGTGCTGCGGCAGCATGTGGTGCAGCAGCTGTTGCTGCTGCGAGAAATCGAGCAAAGGCTGACCCTCTTGGAATGGTGGTGGAGGATACTGCTGCAGTTGAGGTTGCTGCGGCTGCACCATAGGAGCTTGCGATTGCTGTGGAAGCGAGGGAAGGTGAGCTGTGGCGTGCGCCAATGTGTCCGCCGGCGGTTGCGTGACTTGCAGGGGGCCCTGCACAGGTGTAGCCAGAGGCGGCTGATAGGACAGATGCGAGGCGTATGGAGCCGGGGGCTGTTCCACGACCTGTTGAGATGCTGCGGCTGGACGCTCCAACGCTGGTGCGGGCTGCTGACCATGGGATTGCTGCAGCTGGCGAGGTGGACGCGGAGGCCGTTGATGCTTAGCAGCTCCCTCACCGTCAAACTGCGCTCCAGCCGATCCGGCAGCACCCGCTGCCTGCAGGGACGCACACACAACATACAGATGTTAAATACTATGCTCAGGTCATTGAGACTGCCCTCAAGACATCAGATATCAATAGTCCTACTAAAGCAACAGCCGACAACTCGGGCCCTCTTTCTAATCACACTCCCGGACATTTCCTTGGAAACAGACGGAACATGATCATATCATTAAAGGTTCAACAACTGAAGCGCTTCTCGAGTGTCCAAAGCTCTCACCTCGAGATCGCCGACGCCTTCCCCCCCTCCATCCGAACGTCCACCATTCCGACGGCGACCGCCACGGCCCCTGGCGCCACCACGGCTACCTTCGAACCCGTCCCTCTTGCCGCCATCGGTGTCCTGGTGCCTCGGCTTAGGGTTCTGCCCCGGCTGTTCCTGCGATTGCCTCGGCTCCCTGGTCCTGCGCGGCTGCGGTCCATTAGGTGCTGCCTCAGAGTTTTCCCTGGCAATGCCCTCGGAAACACCGTTTTGGGAAGGGGGGCGGGATGCCCTGGGAAGCCTCTGCCGAGGCTTCCTCTCCTGTTGTGCTTCCACCACATTGGTGCCAGGCTGAGAGCCAGACGCCATGCGCTGAAGCTCGACGGCCGGTCCGCTGCCTTCGCCAGCAACCGTCTGCTGACCGACGCGGCCTCGCCGTCCCCTGGGCCTGCCGTACCGCTGTCCGCCACGCTCCGCATCCTCGTGCTCGACGGCGGCGCTGGTGCCGTTGGTAGCGGCCGTGATGGTTGCATTTGAAGTAGCGTTGGCATTCGCATTAACTGTCTCCTGCGTCGGGCCGCGCGGCCTGCGATCCCCTCGCGGGCGTCCGTGCCTCTCTTGCTGTCGCCCCGGCACTCCGCCGTTTGAGGTAGCGTAAGCAGCAGAATCTTCAGCTCCTGCTGGCGCGCCTTCGGGCCCTGTGCCGCCGCCCCGGCCTCGGCCATCGCGGCGCCGTGTCTCCCTCGGACGTCCTCCATGGGCACCATCGGCGCTTCCATTTGCGCCGCCACTGACGATGTCAACAGCGGAAGCACCTCCGTTGGAATAGGAGACGCCAAAAGCGCCTGCGTCGCGGCCTCGACCGCCGCCAGCAAGAGGCTGCAGTGACGGCTCAGTGACATGCTGCTTGCCATCACCACTGGCCACGGTCGCCCCGCCGGGCTTGCCTCCAGCGGATGAGTTGACACCATTGTATGTCTCGGGCCTGACTGCGTTCCCATTAACAGGTCCATGCTTGCCACCCGTCTGACCGTTGGCGTTGTTGCGTCCATTGTGCTGTGGATTGGCTAGACCATTTGAAGCATTGAGCAGCTTGCTCCTTCCGTTCTCCACATGCCCATTAGCAGCGCCATGGCTGGCGGACTGGTTGTAACCGCCGTTCCCGCTCTTTGCTACGTCCTGAACATGGACTGGCCTGGAAAAGGCAATATACATACTTTCAGAGGCAACTCAGCTGGAGTCCATTGGATGCCGCGAAACCTTGTCGCTGCACCTTTGGACCCAAAACTGCGGGACATGGGACTTTCCGTCCGCGGCCCAAAGGACAGTGTAGCCACAAGCAACAAGACTAATGAAATATGAATCAAGCGTGTCGTGTTAACGATTAGCGATACCACCAGGTCATATAGTAATGCAGAATTCCAGGTCGAAGCGGGCTCGGATCTAATCCCCCCGGACCCACCTTTCGCCCTTGCGCTGCTGCTGCTGCTGGGGCTCCACCGAACTTGTTTTTGATGTAGCGTCATGGATAATCTTCTGGCCGTTTTTCAGGACGGGTTTCTGAATCATCGACACCTGAGCGAAGGAAGAATGGGCGGCAAGGCTTCAAGTTCACTCGGGCCGACGCAAAGCTGACAGCTGAACATGCAGGCGGCCTAAAAGTGAAGCCGCAGCATTACAGGTCAACCGTCCGCCGAACTTTGAACGGGCAGTGGGCGGCAAGGAACGCAAAGCTCATATAGCGCATAAACATCTCGCACCTTGGAATATGCAGCAGTGTTTCTTATGTTGTGCAAACTGAAACCTCTGATAGACGCGGTCTTTTGTTTCAAGGGCTCTGCCCTGCTGTCAGGCCCCCTGGACCATTGGGCTGAGCAACGAAATCCTTTCCCTCGCCATTACACTTATCACCCTTCGCACAATGTAACGAGAATTTTTGGCAGTTTAATATCAAAGGTATCTTTAACTTTCTTTCTTTTGGAATAGAAGATTTCAAGGAAAGTGGGAGCGACATTCCGCTTTCGTTAGCTGGAGGTTTATTTGAGAGCTTGACTGTGTTGCTGGATGGGGAGCAGAGACCGTTCACGGTCTCGGGACAGGCGGCGCTCAAGGTAACTGCTTGACAGGGGATTGGGTCTTCTCGATATCATAGCGCTCCAGCGATGCTGCAAGGCCGTTATACGCGTCTGCTGATGGCTCATAGAAACATGGTTGCGTGTGCAGGTCACGAGAGCGGTCGCGAAGATGGGACCGGGACCGTAGGTCACGTTCCAGGTCACGAGACCGGCGACGCAGGTAATAGCTTATTGGATTTGCCATACAGATTTGGTTATGGTCAGAACTACGGGTCGCTGTGAAACAGCTTCGGCTATGGCCAATCTTTGCCGCGTCTTCGTTCCTGGGGTGCAGCCGGAGCAGGAGCAAAAGTCGCAGCCGGAGTCGTGACCGGGCGAAGTCTTTAGCTTACGATGCAAGCATTAGCGCTGTTCAGGTGCGTATGGAGGTGACGGCTTGTGCGTGCCTGGCTGCCTGCACTTATCAGGATGCATGCTTTGGGGTTTATCCTAGTCATTTAGCGGCCTCCTGGCCAACCGAACGTGGCTGCGTTTGGCATACGGGAAACCCTGTTTGGGAAGCCCTGTTCGGCGTGTCAAGTAGTCACATAGGTGTCCCTTCCATGCCCGTGCCTTCAGGCAATGGCAGCCTTGCAACAGCAGCAACAGCTCCAGCGGCAACTTCTCGCGCAACAGCTGCTATTGCAGCAGCAGGCTGCTGCGGCAGCGGCGGCCTTGGCGCCACCGGTGCAGCAACAGAACACGAGCACAGCAAATGCAGATAGAAAGGCCCGCGAAATCTACGGTAAGGGATGTTGTCCTGCTTCACGAAGGTTCCCATCGCTTACACACGCCACGTATTGGCTACTGGGGTGTCGGGAGAAGACCTTTCTCTCTTCCAAACCGTGCAGTGGGCAACCTTGCCATTGGAGTTGTGACTTCGGACATGTTGCGCGAACTGTTCAACACAATCTTGGCCAACCAGGTCCCAGACCCCGCGAACGCACCGCCGGTGGTCAACGTGAACTTGGACTCGGCAGGTAGGAACGGGACTAGTGTTGGGTTGTAACGGGCATGGCGATCATGTGGCGACATGTTTCAGACACGCTGGTCGTATTGAGCAGGTCGGCTGTGGTTACAGACCTGTCAATTCCGTTTTTAAGGTCAACACCTCAACCAAACCATGGTCCGTCAATTTTTCGCATCTGTTTCAGCGTACATCCGTTCGAAAGCCTTGAAGCCGCCCGTCCGTCCGTCCTCTTGTGATCTTCATGGCCTTCGAATTTCGTTCGAACCTCCCGACCACGCTCAACCTTAATAGGTCGCTTTGCCTTCGTGGAGTTCCGCACGCGAGAGCTCACGGATGCCGCAATCCAGCTGGATAAGCTGGAGTTATGTGGTCGGCAAATGAACATTGGCCGGCCCAAGGGTTATGTGGTGAGTAGGATGGTTAGTTAGAACGAGCCTCAGGGAAGGATGTCCGACGAAGATGAGCCGGCATTTGATAGTACGGGTCATGCGGCAAGGGGCTCGTCCTTACCGCGCCTCCTGGGATGTCGCGCTTGCCTTTTGTAGTTGGCCGGGCCTATGGAGGTACTGATGTCTTTGCAGTCTGGGCAAATAATTGGCAAGTGTGTGTGCTTAACCGCTGATATTAATGCCATCCATGACCTTGCTTGCAGGCTATGCAAATGCAACAGCAAACAGCATTAGCTCAGGTTAGTGTATCGGGTATCCATGCTATGGTGTTTCTGGTGGCGCTTCACATTGTTGTTGACATAGTGCGTAAGGGTGCTTTTGTCTTCGATGTAATGGATAGCGTTGGTATCTTCGTTTCGTCTGTGGGCTGTCCATTGAGGTCCAATATCATGAACCGCATGGACAGGATACGTTTTCCGGCTCTTTTATGCCCAGAGGGTCCAAAGTTATGCGCATGATCGGTTAAAATTAACCACTTGTGCCCGCCCGCTGGTCCCTGCCAAACAACATACAGGTCCCTAACCAGTTGGCTGACGCCGCGAAGTTGGGCCAGGCGCAGGTGCTGGCGGCGGCTCTGGCGGGTGCAGTGCCCGCGTCCGCTAACACGCTAGCTGCAGCCGCAGCGACCCTGACAGTCAACACCCCCACCAATGTGGTGCTGTTGGAGAACATGGTGTCGTGCGGGACCATTCGTGATGAGAACGAGCGCAAGGAGGTGAGGTGGCTGTAGGGTGGACTGAACATGCGAACACCTTCGGGTGCGAGATGCCACAGGCAGCGTGCTCCTAAGGTTCGTGTTTTCATCGCTCGCGTGGCTTTCATCTATGGCCCCAGGCTGTAGTGCACCAGGCCTGGTGCTCCAAATAGCACCGCCGGCAGTGCTTCGGAGCAGATATGGCACTCAAAGTGCGACATGTGTTTATCTGATGCGGTGGGGCGTTTTATCCCGAAGACTACGTATCGCTGTGCTATGTGGGTTGTAGGCTCTTCTTCGCGGCAGAAAGAAGGAAAAGATGTTGGGACCCGTGCAGACGCGAACGTTAACGACAAAACGTTTTCCAGTCTGCTGGTGTTGTAGCGAGGCGCATACGAGCAACGTCGTTTCTGTGTTTGCTGTTGCGGGCTTGTGTTCCGTTGCCCCGTGCCCTTCCCGCTGCTGCTGTTCGTGGTGCAATCGGCGTCTTGCTGCTTTGCCCAGGCCGCGACGATGCTCGGTGTCAGTTCCGCGGCGGGTGATATCGCTGCCTCCGCACTAGCGTTCCCAGCTGCCGTGGCCACGGCAACGTGCTCCCGAGGGAGAGGAGGTCCTGCCGCGGCCTGACACATGCCTGCTGCAGCTGCCTGCATGGCTTGTCGCGCGCTGTGCTTCGTGTTGCTGCGTGCGCCGCCCTCTGCCTGCTGCTCTGCCTGCCCTCTGTCGTGTTCCCCGTGGGTGTCCCCGCCGCTGTCCGCTGTCGTTGCCGTTGGTGCCGCCTCTGCTGCGGTGGTGTCGTGTTCATGTCTGCAGGCTGGTCGCACAAACATGGGTTTGGACCCGTCAGCGGGGCAGGCGGGCCCCGACGCGACAACGGTCCCAGCGGCCGGTGACGGGAGGTTTTGCCTCAGTGGGGTGGGGTGATATGCAGTCTTAAGTCCCCAAGGGATTGATAAGAAACAGCTGTTGCCCGCGAACTGGCGTATATGCGCGGCAGGCTCAGCAGTTGGAAGCGGCGGTTGATTGAGAAGATACTCGAGAGCTGCGAATTGGGCAGCTATCCAGGCTTCAGGCATCTCGCTTTCTGGCGAGAAGCCACGGATATGGCATGTGCCAATCAGATATTTAACGGGATCCCCTCCTCTGACGCGGCCTTGGTTCCCTTCCCTTTTTCCCATGCATGTTTTATCTCGTACCGGTGTCGGTGTCCTACCAACTGGCGTCGGGCGGCGCGTCACGGCTGTCTTCACCGGGTAACTCGTCCAACACTGATTTTGTCGTGGTGGGTCCTCGGCTGCTTGGTGCCCCTGGCGCCCCTTTTTCAGATACTCGAGGACGTACAACAGGAGGTCGTCAAGTGCGGTCCCGTAATTGGCCTGGCTGTACCCATGCCACCAGCCCATGTCACCAACCAGGAAGCCAGCCGCGTATACGTTAAGTACTCGACGGCCGCGGAAGCGGCTCGTTGCCGTACGATGATGGACGGGCGCAAGTTCGATGACAACGCCGTCAAGGCCACATTTGTGACGGAGGGCGAATTCCTGCGCGCCCAGGCGGGAGAGTGGGTGGCCAAACCGGGGTTATTAATGCCGGCAGGTGTACCGGCATTGCCAGCCGTCGCTGCTGGCCCAGCTGCTGCGCCAGCACTGCCTGCGGCGACGGGCTTGGCAGGTCTGGGAGCTTTGGGCGCGCTGGGCGCGGCACCAGCTGCTCCGCAAGTGCCAGGTCACGTGCCAATCCAGCAGACAGGCGGTCTGGTGTTGCCCCCGGGGTTTACACTTCCAGCGGGGTTTACGTTGGCAGGGGCTATGCCTGGGCTCGGATTGCCGAAGTAAGCTGTGGCCAGCGAAGTTGTTTCGAGGTAGTTGCTAGCAAGACATGCGACGGTGAGAGGTGTGTAGGTTGCGGATAATTTAGGGTCTTTTAGGAATCGGGTCCCTTCATGTACGGGTGATATCAATGGTTGCGTCGGTAGACATAGGCATAGCCATCACTCCCGAGTAGCTCCTTGCACGTTACATCAGTTCACCTTTGAGGGCTAGGCGAAAGGGGTATGCGCCACAAAGGCGTACTTGGGTTCCCTAGCAGGCGCGGCCGTTGTGACGGCTCTGGGCGCAGCTTGGAACACGGCTGTAAGGAAGGTTGTCCAGAACGTGTTCCTTGGGGTATCGGGTCAACCAAGAAATGTCGGAATATTTTTGCAGTGAGGAGAGTTGTACAGTGGACCCCGGCCGGTTCATGTGCAATGCCCTAAACGAACGTCAAGCGCACAACACTGTGGGCCGTACACGGCCAAGCATACTAGCTTCACTGACGATATAGCCTCAGCCAGCACAATTGAGGACATCAAACATTAAAGTTTCGGGTTGTCGGGTTTTAACATTCCTCAAGAGCAAGGAACGGGTGGCCAGACGGTATGGATTGCCAGCCCCTAGGAGCATGTCTTCTCTCTGCACACGCAGTAAGACGTGCCCAGTGCCCAGTGAGGAGAGCCCGTCGGACACATCGATTTGCCACTGGGTTGCAAAGTAACATAGGCAGCCGCACATTAAGGGGCATAAAGAGAGGTCACAAGGACAAATTAGTACAGAGCCGTATCTACAGCGACAGTATGGAGAGGTTGTTTAGCTCGTACCCCGATAGGGAACAGCTATGCGCTGGGGTGGAAGTTCCCCATATGCTTAATAATCCTGTAAGGGCCTTGAGAGCCCGCCATCCAGTGTGTCCCTCACCAACGTGGCCTGCATCTTTGTGTATGTGTGTGTGTATGTGTGATATCGGGAAGGGAGATGAGCCGTGATCGGAAAAGTTGGCGAGCGTCGAAGCTGATGAGACACCATATTCCACCTCACAAATGAGGTGTGATCAACTTCCAACGTGGGACGTGTGTACTTTGGGACATCGCACAACCGGCACAACATCTAAAAATCCAACTTGGCGCCGGGTTGGGGATCAATATAAAAGCGTGACCGTTACAAACCGTTCGATTCCTTGCATACCTGCTGCGTAAAGACCCTGTTCGCTCACCCAAACACTCTCTAAGAAAGTTAAAAGCTAGTACATGCGGTTGAAACCAGTTCTTCTCCTTGTTGCGCTGAGCTAAGCTGCTCACAAATGTGGCGACGGGCATTCCTTATCGGCCTGATGAGTGCTGTTATATTATGGATTAGTAAGTATGCCTTATGATGCTAGCAGATGCCACATCTGCGCATCCCCGGCGTCCCGATGTTTTGTCGCGGTGTGCGCTTCAAGGCCCAGATCTAACTTGCCGATTGCGACATTCACGGGGGCATCTTAATACCATAAGCTCATCAAATGATCGGGCTTGCATGACATGAAGCTGCTGCCGAATCCGCTGCCAATACCGACACCCGCAAGCACTAGTCGATCTTGCCTTGTGGATTTTGCTCCTTGGATACATGCACCCTGCCTTTTTGGATCCTATGCGTCTAAGCTGATGACTCGCTGCCCTTGTCACGGCCTTGTGCTTGTCAAGATGCCCCTGCCCCTCGGGCCTCATCCCGCAACCCACGCTTGCCCAGCCGACTTCCTCCCCACACCACCAACCCCTCGACTGCAACCGCTGGCCACCCCTACTCAACCCCTACTTCTCCACAGGCCGTGTGGAGATACCGCTGCCGTACCCCGCGCATCACTTCATTTTCAAGGATTTTGACCCCGCGCTGCTGCCCACCAACCCCATGCCACTCGAGGTACGATAAAACACACGAGCTCTCAAGTACCAACATGGCCAACACGGTTTCCGACGTTTTCTGTGATTTCCAGCGCAAGGCGGGATCTTAACGCTGCATGTGTTCAATCGTCAGAGCTCCGAATCACCCCAAGTGCAGTACTATCTCATCACGCACCGCTCCTGTTTGCCGCATGCTTTCGTTTTGCGGCTCATAGGGGCCCTATATCTGGCATAGCGCTGTACATGAGTTCCAACCGCTAACGGCGACAGGAGGAGACCCTAGGCATTTAGGTTACAGGGTGACGTGTCGTGCGGGCGAGGCGGGGCTTCGTACGGCGGCACTTTTGCCCTGCGCTGGTGTCCGTCTCGGTCACAGTCCTCCGTGCTAATAGCCGTACTACCTCCCGTACTTCCTGCCGTGCAACTGCAGGGTCCGTACGCTCCGAATGAGATTCTCCGTAAGGGGCACCGCCTTTTCGATGGTGTCATTCAGTCCTCAGGTTGGTTAAAGAGGGAACCCCAGGTGACGGTGAAAGGTTGGATGATTCAACACACAGCTGTGCCGATGTTTCCTCTGCTTCTTCTTCCTTCATCATTCGCGCAGGTTCCCCAGTGAGGGTCTTGTTGTATTCGATAAGCATAAGCAATGTCGGGATCGAACTGGGGACGTGGTGATGCTTGCCCCTTGAGGAAGTTTGGATGTCCGTGTAGGTAGTGTCGACAGCCCTAAGAGTGACCCATGGGTCTGGGTTCCAATATCCTCCCACCCATCCGCTGCGTAGAGCACGTGGCCATTTCTCCGGAAGGTAACCTCACGCTGATTGACAAGTTTGGCTACGTCTACGAGGCCGCGCCAGCCACCAGTGTACGTACGGGCGAGGCGTGTATTGTCCGTACGAGTAGCCGTACTGGTTTCCCACGGCTGAAACGTCGGTTGGGACCTTTCCTCCGGCCAATATCTTTCTTTGCCTGTTAACTCTGTTCGTTTCATAAAGGTAAACTCTTACATGTGATTCGGTAAGTTGCATTCCTAGTAGTCATTAAAAATCCACGTCTGCTGTTTAGTTGTATGTTGTCTTTTTACTAATCTGGTCAAACCCGAATCGTGAGGTACCAAAACGAACAGGGCCCGCAAGGCGCTTTCCCGGAAGGTTTCACATGCGGGCAGGAGGAGGTGGCACACACGGTGTATGTCGGCTGCACGTGCCGCACCCGCTGCAGGTCCCCGGCGCCGTGTACCCCGAGGAGTGGGCTCCGGACCTCCCCCCCGTGGCCTACATCGGCCCCGCGGGTCGCCCCCTGGGATTCCACCACGACGGCGCGGGGAACCTCATCATAGCGGATGCGCTCAAGGTTGAGGGGTGTGGGGTGCGGCCGCGACAGCGCCACGGACTGTGCCTGTAACGGGCTGTCTCACCTAGGGAGGGGCAGCATACCGCGAGGAAGTGTAGCAACACCCCCACAGCCCTAGGGGGTGCACTGTTCAGTCTGTCAGACCGTGTGCAAGTTGGTCGACTAATAAGCAGCGGCGGGCACCACCTGACTGCAGACCAGGTCAGATCACATCGAGTACAATTAAATTAAACAGTCTGATAAGGTAGAGAATGAAACGTGACTAGGAGTAGGCCAAGCTTACGAAATCCTAACTAAACCAAGGCATACCTGGTTCGCGGCCATTAGGAAATCCTCGGCCCTACGTGAGGTGTCGTCGGCTCTGCAACGAGCCGCTGCCCGCTACCCCGCGGCTGCTCGGGTCCCCCAGGGGCTCCTCAAGTTGGAGCGGGGCACCCGGCGCCTCGAGCTGCTCACCAGCCGGGTGAGCCCTGATGCGGCTGTGGCCCCGGGCAGCCCCATCAACTACGTCAACGCACTGGACATCGCGGAGGATGGAACCATCTACTTCAGCTCCTCGCAGGCGCGTCTGGGCACCCATAATCCCCGCATCTATGTGTCTGTGGTGCCCATGTACCCGGGTACATTGTGCGTGGGTGTGTTTCGCGTGCGCGCTGTTCCGTGTGAGTGTCTTGTTTGTTTGGCTACGTGGAAAGGAGGGTGGGGGTTGCTGAACTGAGCGCTTGGTTCAGGTACTCGCGTGTCGGTATGTGTGTGCGTGTCGCGTCATGTCATCTCCCCGCGGTGCCGGGGCTTCCCCCGTCGTCCGTCTCTAACGCGCACTTAAGTTGAGGACTAAGCACATGTGCACCCTGTCCGGGAAAACACTCCAAAGTCTCAGGTCCCCCACGGACCCGGACCCGGGCCCTCGCCTCCGCAGGACGTCCCCGTGGGTCTGTCGCTGTTAAAGCCCGCCTTCTACGACACCTTCAGGTCGTACCTCCTGGGCCTGTACGGGGTGAGTACGACAGAACGGGCCAATGTTCAAGTTTAAGCTCACCATTTTCGGTCCATCTCATCCAAGCTTCAGAAACCCTAATCTCTCTTGTACGACAACACCTGCCTCCAGCGCTGCCCGTGCCGCGCATGGCCGCCGCCCCAAACCCGAACTCCTGTGTACCCTGTGTACGGTTCGGTTCGGTTCACCACGTGCACCTCAAACCTACCGCAGGGTTCCATCAGCGGTCGGCTGCTGAAGTACGATCCATCCACTCGCCGTACGGAGCAACTGGTTTCGGGGCTGTGGTTCGCCAACGGTGTGGCGCTGTCCGCTGACGAGTCCTTTGTGGTGGTTGTTGAGACGACCCGCGTGCGGGTGCACAGGTCGGAGCTGGTGTGGGGGGGAGGGTTGCGTGTGTGGGGGGGGAAAGGTTGCACGGGGCAGGGGTTGCGGAAGGAGGGAAGGGGACGGCAAGGGAAATCCCCGGGGAGGAGGGAGGGAGGGACGGAGGGAGGGAGGGATGCCCAGGCTTGGAGTGCCGTGCAATAGGACCAGGCAGCCGGCACGTGCCCGAGCCCGAAACCCGCACATCCAACACCGCATGTGTAAAACTGGGTCCTAGTAAGCTCCTAAATTAAACTCCCCCTATCCCCGGTTCCGGCCCTGCCGCCTTCTCCTCCTCCTCCCTCCTCCAGGCACTGGCTCAAGGGGCCCCGGGCGGGCACCACTGAAGTCCTCATCGACCGGCTCCCCGGCTTCCCAGACGGGATTGCACGCGCCTCCGACGGCAATTTCTGGGTGGCGCTCGTGGCCCCGGTCACGTCCGTGCCCAAGCTGCTGCGGTTCAAGTTGGCGCGGGTACGTATCGTACAGTTGCGCATGTACTCAGAAGGACTGCCCTACCTCTTAAAGCTATAAGTTATGCGCATCTACACTTTCCATTTTACCTTCCTGGAAGTTCCAGGATCGATCCCGACAGTGATCGGGGTAAAAGTCCCTTTTGCATTTGAGCGGGGATGTGGGCTCATGTGGATGGACGGTGAAGGGCCCGACTATGGTGACCTGCAAGCCGACTTAGATTAGGGGTTATCGCCGCCAGTGATCGGGGGGTAGAATTGGCTGGATGCGGGTGGTGATGGTGGTTGTGGTTGTGGTGGTGGTGATGGTGGTTGTGGTTGTGGTGGCGGTGGTTGTAATGGTGGTGGTTGCCGAACCCGGGAAGAGCACTGAATTAGGAGAGTCGACATACCGGCATCGTGAAAGAATGATGTTGTGGGTGCCCCGAAGTGCGGGGGATAAAGGTGGTAGGGACTGTCTGGTTAGTGGCCTTGGGTGAAGCTATAGCCCCCTATCCCGCACACTCATATGTACGTCGAAGGGCCGTTCACTTTTCCTCTTCCCTCGACTACTGATACACAACGCGCAAGGGATTGAATGAAGAGGTAATTTTCATGCAGTCCATCATTCTTTAGACTTGGACAGTTGGGGGCGCTTTGGACGTCGGCATCGACATCTTCACACACGGGTTTTCGCTCTCCCTGGAGTCCCTGGCCCGGGCGCCACAGACATTTCCCGTGGCCCGCTCTCCTCCCGCCCATACCACCTCCCCGCCCGATGTTCCGCCCAAACCCCCCGAAGTCGGCTCCTTCAAAACCGCCTACTGGTCAGTTTGCTTCTTGTACACTCTTTCCTTGGCAGCAGCTTCACTCGTTCGTGGTTCGTCCTTCCCACCACCACCCCGCCAGGTCCTTCTGGCGAATTTGCCCACATGGATAAAGCCTCCAGTGTCCAGGTTGGTGGGGGCGGGGGGGGAGAGGGCGCGAGGGCGGAAGAGCCCTCAGTAAGGGCTAGGGAAAGAGGGAGATTGAGGTAGGGAACGGTGGTGACGGGAAGGGAGGAAAGGATCTTAGCTATAGATCCGTCCAAAGCAGCTGTAACCGCCTTACTGCCGTACCGCCGTGCAGATGGGGCGCCGTACTAAAGATCAGCCCGGATGGCAAGCCGCTGCAGTTGCTCATGGACCCCGACGGCAGCAAGATTGGCTTTATCTCGGCGGTTACGGAACACGACGGAAAGCTCTTCTTTGGCAACGTCAAGGAGGACTACGTGTCGTACTTCGACTTGCGAGATGCTTCCCCGCTGAAGCAGCAATAGCAGCTGTAGCAGCTGTAGTCGTCATGTAGGCGATGATGCTGTTGCTTCTACCACTTCTACAGCTGTAGGGCAGCTGAGCGGTGTTTAGTTATGCGCCATGTTGCAGTCTGGACGGATTGCGGCGTGGCGGCACGCAGAAGTGTCATGCACCATCCTTGCTCTCTGCGCCTTCCATCCTGCGGTATATGTCTTGCGGTGATGAGGGGCCGTAACTGTTTACTTCCAGTTGAGCTGATGTGCTGTGCGGTTGTGGCGGAGAAAGGAGGAAAAGTGTTGTTTCATGTGGAGTCGGTTTTATTTTGAGCTCTTCGTGAGAGAAAGCGTCTCGGGAGAGGTCGTCTTGTCCAAGGATCGCACAACCGTACGGCCGTACGGCATTTCCTCCAGCCTTGCTTGGCACTACATATCTCCCAAGGGTTTATGTGCAGAGCGGTGTGCATTGATCATCATTGTTTTGGAACAATAGTTATCTTGACCGCTGCTTGTGTGGCAATGGTCTGTGTGTGTGTGTGTATCGACATTGTTCTTCTTTCGTTTCCTTCGTAACATATACGTGCATATCATTGGGATGGCGATGGGTGCGGTCGCATGCGTTCTTTGGGGTTCGTAAATGATTGCCGTGCGCACGGCATGCCGCGCATTTTTCCTTCTGCTGCTTCTTGTACATATTCTTCCCCTTTCTCTTCTCACCCATCCTCTTGCAAGGAGGGACACCGTAGCTCCTGCGGCCCCCACGGCTCAGCCTCTGCAAGAATTGGACATGTCCTTGTGCGCTACACACGACGGCTGCATGTTGATCCCCCCCCTCAGCTGCCTACTCATGAGCTTTTAGGATGCACTGACATGTGTGAGATTGTTCATGACAGTCTGCTGATAGGGACCGAATCCAAATCCGACATCCTGGACATGTTGGTAGCAGGGTGACACTGGTTGCCTGTGTTATGTTTTCACTTTACACAAGTGTGTGAACTGTGAAAGAAGGAGCGGCAGATGGGCCACGTGGCAGTAGAAAGCCAAAAATCAGCCACAGAGGCTTTTGATTGTCACATGCCGCTTGGCATACGGCATAAACCAGTACGGCATACGGTACATGCCAATATGGCACCTAAGATGCAGGCAGTACGATACCGTGTATACTCATATAACAAAGCCGGCAGCCTCGATTGCCAAACTGCTTTACACATGTCTATACCCTAGGGTCCCAGACCCGAAGTTCTACCGGCAATACGGCAATACGGCATCATAGACTCAAGTCCCTTGTTCAATTCCTACCTTCACATACATCTTATGTATGCTACAGAACGGCACACGACACACGTACACGACACAACAAATACTTAACATGAAAGCAACTTATGCAGCGCGTCTCACAGCCGCCAGTATATTGAGACACGCAGGAAGGAATCGCAAGAAACCTGGGCAGCCTAAGCGTTCCCAGTACTAAGTAGAGAGAGAGTGTGTGTATGTGTGTATGTATGTGTGTGTGTTACACTGTTAATAACATGTTACCTAAGCAGTATAACGAGCTGCCCCTACGGACCATGAGGGAACCCTTTCAGGGACCAAATAGTATACAGGCTCTTCAACATACTGTTTGCTCATATGCCATATGATGCGTGATGTGCGAAACAGGGGGTTATATCTTCGCCCGTGGCAGCTACCCTGTGAAACCCTGCCTTCCCCGGTATTTCGGGGCACCCTCATCCAGTCACCCTAGTCAACTTCTCAGTGGATCGCTCAGGTTCCGCACCCACCACCAGCATCCAACGGAATCTGCCGGGTCGACAGCGGCCCAACTCCATTCCTGGTCGGCTCGCAGGTCATATGTTGGCTAGCAGCACGTCACCTGTAGTATTCAACGTCCATGGCCCCCCCGGCTTTTACGGACACACCCGCACTTGTGTGCGGAACTTGTAACTTGTAACTTGTAGTAGCTGGCCTCTCGACATGCTGCTGAAGCACTTTGCGCATACTTTTAGTTGATACGTGTGCCGTACTGTGTACCAGCTACTACAGCAACCCTGACCTAGCTACCCCTACCTAAAGGCACCTAGTCACCGAAAGCCATCATTCCATGCCAGTGCCAAGACGGCAGAAGGTATGTAGGCGAGATCCCCCCGATACATGGCTTCCAGTGGGACGGCACCGCCAATGGCAATGCCTCCACAGCCAAAGAGATGAAGGATCATTCCTTAGCCAACGCTTGAGGGGCTACGGCCGGCTTCTGCTTATACAGCAGTGTTGTCCCCAAACACCGGCTAATGGGCCCCCGGGGGCGCAAGGCTGAAACAGCGGGTGGGTGGTCACGTCAGCTGTTCATCACAGCCCGCATCTCTGGCTGTCCCCATTAACATTTCCGTAAACGACGTTAATCTCACCCCATCTTCCAGTGCACCTCGACCCAAGCAAGCTCTCGATCGCTTCAGCAAACCGAATAAACCTACCCTGGGTCTGGGACCCGCTGTAATACCTGCCAAACAGCACCCCGAGATCTGCACACACTCTTGCCTTTACTGCATTTTCACCGCATGCGCACCTCCCTGCCGGCTCACCATGTACGGCCCGTACACCTACCACATGGTTGTCTAACTCGTACTGTATAGCCTTGCTACCTACGCATCCCCCTGCACCCCCGTGCATCCTACCATCAACCAATTTGCAAGCACATGCCCAACGTGCACACCTCTAAACAGCGACGTCATTCAGCCTAGCATGATGGTCCCTTCCGTTTGACATGAAGAAGGACTCCTTGGCCCAGCCACCCTTCTACATCTCCCAGCTAGAGGTCATACCCCGTACTCATTCCGTACACATTCTGTACAGGACCCATCTTGTAGTCATGACCACCAGCTAAACGCTTCGCTCACCATGCATTACGCTCATATTCCGGTAGGTCGAAGTACTTGAGTGCCCGGCACCTGGGGGGTAGACATGCACAGGCGTGTGCATTACAACATACGTGCAGACATACATACATACATACTGACAAGCAAGAGGAGCTGGAATCTTGGGGAACGGTAGCCTCCACCTTCTTCCCACCCCGCAAAAGCGGGTTGTGGGGCGCCCTGCTAACTATCCACCGCACTCACCACACTCGTCCAAACCCACCTGTACGGCAGCCCCAACCCATCTGCCTTACCCAACACCCCAAAGCAAGGTACCAAACATCCTAACCTAATGCGCGTTAGTGCACATCCATACTCCGCCAGCCGCTCCTCCACCTCCACCTCCACCTCCACCTCCACCTCCACCTCACGCACCTCTGTTTCCACGTGTTGTAGGTTTGCTCGGTGGTGTCTGCCATACCCTGTACGGCGCCCACCAGTCTATCGAGCCACATTACGGTGACCGGCTCGTGCTGATGCAGCTGCTGCAGCAGCACCTCTGAGTTGAGCAGCAAAAGATGCACCTGTTGAACTTCATACCACTGACCCGCGACAGGGGGAGAACCAGCCTGGTTGGATATGCAACGAACAGTGAAAAAAAAAAGATGGGGGAGGTCGGCTGGTTAGAAGGTTATCACGAATAATGCTGGAAGGGAAATTGGACCACCGCACGCTCGCCCCCACGCATCAGCGCCCGATTGTAAAAAATAGCTGTATCTCCTACTCCTACACCTACTCCTACACCTACTTACTTCTGTCAGTCGCAAGGTTGTCTCCGGAGTGGGCCCCCTCAGCAAGGTGGCGTTGTGGTGGGCTCGTCGTTGCAACAAGTGGGCAAACTCCACCGCCAACATCCCCCGACCGCTGTCACGGCCATCAGGGAAGCTGTGCCGCCGGTTCATCAGGCAGTCTAGAGGGAGTGGTACATGGGAGGATGTACATGGGTGTATACGCTGGGATACGTACTTAGGGATTTTTCAGCTCGGGATTCCGTTCAGTCGCAGTGCAGGAAGAGGGGGAAGGGGAATGCTGATTAATAGCTAATTGAAGAGGTACCTGATGCAACCTGTTGACGAATCCCTGCAAGCACATGTTTTATCTAGCGCATCGCGTGCACACCACATTACATCACATCACACCACATCACACGCGCGTTGTGCTGCCTCAGCCACGTGCCCATCTAAGCATCCACACACCGCCCCCGCGTCCGGCACTCTTCCTGTCCTCTCACACCCCGTACCTACCACGTAAGCAAAGCGCAGAGACATACATACAGATACACAACCACTCCGGAAGATACGTGAAGAGATACACGCAAATACCTTGCGTAAGAGCATCTTCCGAACTTCCAACTTCAATTCCCTTTCCCCGCCTCGTGCTTTCCTGCTCATGCTTGTCCCCCAGCGGGTTGGGAACACGTGGACATACCTACGGAGCTACAATCCATCTCCTACAGAAACCTTTCCAATTGCTCTCACCTGTCTTGCCGTGGCTTTGGTTCACAAGGCTTTGGTTCACAAGACAAACTGTTTGCTTGACACACACGCACTGGAGCTTCAGTAGGGCGATGTCAGCCTACCAACCAACCTACTGACCGCAACAGAACAAACGCACCTTCGGATGTGAACGCCGTCCACTCACACTGGAGCTGATCCCAGCTCTCACCGAACGGCAGCACCGTGTATGCCGTGTTGATGTGGAACCAGGGCGCCGAGGTGGCGGCACCCCGGGGGGACGTGCTGGATGCCCGTGCCTGGGGGCTTAGAACCTGCACAGCCACCCAACACCACAATACCAAAAGAGGTACATACAGACGTCGATTCCGACATACGTACATGGGCACCTGCCCCGTGTGCGTCCATCAAGGCTCTGGGTCCGCAGGGCAGGAACGGGCTCCAGGCAACCCGCATGAGTGTAACTTTGCACGTACATACATACACAGGTACGCTGTTTACACATAAGCGCGTGTGCTTGTTGTGCGCGTACACGACCATGGAATATATTGACAACGGGGTTCAATGCACACACTACGAACAGCAGCTGCAGCAGCAGCAGCTGCATGTAGCAACAGGATCAGGCTCCAGGGGGCTCCTGTAGCAACGCTCGCAGCATCCGACCCGCCAGCCCCCTAATGCGCTAATGACCCACCCAGTCGGAGGTGCAGGGTACTGCCGGCCAGGCCGCCACCGCCCCCAGGGATACAGCCACCTGCGCAAGACCCGCCGAGGCGCGAACGAAATCCTCCTTGGCTACAAACAACGGTCGGGCAGACGTGGGGCGGGTGGGGCGGGTGGGGCGGGTGGGGCGGGTGGGGCGGGTGGGGCGGGTGGGGCGGGTGGGGAGGGAGGTAGAAGCCAGCAGGTGGACAGCGATGTCTAGAACGCCAAGGTCGGTGTGGATGGGGCAGTTAGCCCGGGAAAAGCGCATGGCGGGGAGAGAGGGGGATGTGTGAAGGAGCTGGATAGATCCACTGGTGGGCTCGATCCCTGCCCCACATACATACATACAGGCAGGTGGCTGGCAGAGGTTAAGGCCTGACTTCTGACTCGAGTGTGTGAGAGGTGGTGAATTCGGAGGCGGCCCCCCATCTTGTGGACGGTGAAGGACGTGATTATGTCAACTTGCGAGCTGACCAGGAACTAAGTTGAGGCGCCGTTGATCCGCTAGATTTGGTTGGATGCTGGTGGTGAGTTGCTGAACCCAACGAATACATTCTGAAGTCGCACGGGGTGAACGGATTAGGGTGCCCCTCTAGCAGGGGAGAGCAGGGAACTGCCTCGGGAAAGGGGGCCGCTGGTGAAGCTATACCACCCTGTAACAACATACATACAAACATGCAACTAAACCCCTTGCGTCCTAACCAGCAGGACGACCCCCTGGACTACCAGACTCACACATCTGCGGTGTTATGACTCCCGGCGCGTACGCCACCACCCTCTGGAAGTCTTCCACTTTCTCAAGAAGGGCCCATTCCAGGGCGCGGTAGTCCGGGTAGTTGGTGTAAAACACCCGGTACGGCCCTCCACCCAATCTGGCGGCACCCAAGGGCGGATGCAGCAGCGCGGATGGAGCGGGTGGGGGGTTGGAGACTTGAACATGGACACAAACCCGGACATTGCAAAAAAGCAGCACGTAGAAACGCAAAATGAGAGCGCGGCCACAATGGAGATACATACATACACGTACCCACAAACACATCGAGGGGTGTGTGGCTATCAGAATTGGACCGGCGGGGAACACAGCTGAGTTACTACCTCTAAGCCGCCGTCCACATGCCCTCTCACACACACATACACACACGCGCGCACACACACTCAGTGCGGGTGGACTCGCTCCTCAATCAACAAAGCGATGACACGCTGCAACTCGTTCACCCCCCCCCCGTGCGCACCGTCCTGCCACTCGCCAGTCGTAGTGGCCAGTGACTTGCATTAGCAGCAGCTTCTGGAAATCGCCCGGGTACAGGCCCGCGTGCAAGTGACCAATCGACTGGTCATTATCAGCAGCAACAGCAGCAGTGGGAAGAGGCGGCGGCGGTCGGGGAAGCCAAATGTTACAACGAAGAAAACCGCAAGTTCAGCCGACGGGGGAGCGGTGAGCGGTGAGAGGAGAGAGGTGAGAGGAGAGCGGCGAGTGGCGAGTGGCGAGTGGCGAGTGGCATCACGCCGCGACGCGGCGCTACCTAGGGGCCAACCTGGTACCTAGCCACCCGGCGGACCCTCCCTGGAGCCAACAGCCCTACAGACGGCCACAGACGGCCCCCACCCCGAGGACTGCGGTGATCAGCAGCATCACCACAACCACCTAGCTGACCCATGTACCCGCATGTACTGGGCGGGCAGGTGAGCCGCCCCGCCCCACTCCAGCCCACTCCAGCCCGCGGACGCGCGCACCTGTACTTGGGGCACGCCGCTCAGGTGCGTGTGCCACAACCCCAGCCGGCCGGTGACGTACCACTGGGACTCCAGCCAGCAACCGGAGCAGCGCCCGTCGCCGCCACGGTAGCCGACTGGGTTGCGTGTGGGGGCCGGTGTGGGGCAGCACGTGTGTGTGTGTGTGGGGGGGAGAGAGGGTGGCATGCCCGGGAGAGGGAGAACAAGGAGCGCTCACAACAGTGTGGAACCCAAGTAAAGAAACGTCTGACGGCTGTTAACCTAGCACCTTCCATGCACACCCTACTACATACATGCACAACCGCATCTCTGTTACTTGCTGCCCCGCCAGGTAATGCCGCACACCTTTCTTCACCCTACCCCCAGCTCACAGCCTACTGGGACCCACCATCGCTTCCCCACCCACCCACCAGGACATGCACCCTCCGGAGGTCCAGGGCAATCCAGGGCCCTAAACCGCGCCGCCACCCCGCCCGCCCCCTCACTCACGGACATTGAGCAGACCGAACAGCTCCGGTTGGGTGTCCTTAGCCTGCTGCGCCGTGGCGGGGTCCTCGGGGTCAGGTGGCAGGGGAACACCTGCGGGCGTGTGGTGGGTGGGCAGGAGGTGGGAGGTGAGGTGAGGTGAGGTGAGGTGAATAATACTCCTGCACTCCGGGCACTTGCCACAATCGCCCCAGAGCCGAGTTTGAAGCCAAGCCATTGCTCAAACGCTTGCCAGTATCCAAAATTCGGACTCCACTACGGAACTAGGGGATGAACTGCCCACCCTGGAGGCCCCCCTCGCCCTGGCCGCCACCCCTCGGGGCCCATCGAGATCCCCCTGGTGACAGAGGGCAGGCGACTACAGTGCCAAGTAGCAGATAAAAGGCCCCCACGCAAGTACGGCACTGACCTAGATCCAGCATGGCCTGCCGGTACGCTCGCGTGTAGGGCCCTATCTCCGGGTTGAACGGGTAGCCGCCCCGCTCCTTAGGCCACACCCCGCCTGGGGAGTCCGGCGGGGGAAGGAGCTCAGCTCAGCCCAGCAGTTTGGCGTTTTGTGGGGCGAGGCGACGCCGCTAGGCGGGTTGAGACACCAGGTCTAAGGGAACTAAAAGTTAAGGTGCAGCTGGAAATGCTATCATCATGCGTTTCTCCCCAGGTCCTCCACACGCGCGTATCAACATCGGATCACCACGAGAACCAGAAACCTCAAACGATTCCCTCCTGTGCGGATTCCCTTAGGCCCCTGCGTTCCCTGACTAGCCCTTTCACTGCCTCTTGACATTTCGTTTCTTAGTGTCGTACATTTGACTGTGGTTCTATTGTGTTGCAATTTGATAGTTAAGTCCAGTTGGTTAAAACCAATCCTTAAAGATATGTATTTCCCTGGCAAGCGCCGTACCGCTGTGCGGCATGCGCAGTACGGCGCTCTGTATCGAGATATTGCCTCCGAAGCGGCGGCAGTGCCAAGGGTCGTTGAAGCTGTCACACGCCACCTCCGCCAGCTCGCCCGTCAACTCGTAATCCTGCAGACATACATATCGACATGCACACATAGGCATACGTGTTTATGTAGGGAGCAGGCCATGGAACCGTGGCGGAGGCGCGTGTGGTGGTGGTGGTGGTGGTGGTGGTGGTTAACAAGTGCACGTATGGAACGATGGAGGTGCAGGGGGCCCCAGTCACACATACATACATACGCACACACGCATACGAGGCGCATTGTAGCCAGCCAGTAATTCATACAGTGGGCCATAGGTCAGGCAGCCATAGGTCAGGCAGCGGACGAACGACATCGGTTCCTCCTCGGAACAGTACGGCCGTCCATAAGTTGGGGTGGGTAGCCACACCACACACACTACCAGCGGGTAGCCGTGCAGCAGCAGCCTCACAGAGAGGACCCACTCAAGCCCACATTTAAAAATTTAATTTGAAATCCTAATAGACAACTTACCGCGGGGAAGAAGCCTGGGGCCCCTCCCGCGCCAGGGCCGTTGGCGCCCTGGAAATCCTGCGGTTATACACCAGGCAGCAGGCATAGCCGCGCCCCACCCCGGGCCGACCCGTGGGTCCAGAGTGGTGCTGGGAAGAGAGAGGTCGGCAGGAGTGCTGCATGGAGCGAGCCCAGCAAGGGACGGATACGGTGTGCAAAGTCAGGGCGTTTGCTTTGATATGGTCGTACATACATACATCCAAACATGGGAAGGAACGCACTCAAGGACGCGGCTGCCGGGAGGGCGCCAGCAAACGTACGTATGTTTGTATGTTCGTTTGCCGCCTCGTATTGAGCAGCTGGAGCCACAGGGGCAAAACACGCGCAGGACAGCGAACTTGCCGTACAGAAGGGATGATAGTACATGCACGTACGTTGCGCCTGCTGCCTTCGTAGCCCAGCTTTGCCAGCGCTTCTTCGTCGTCGCTCAGCATACAGCGCATCGATCCGAAGCCAATTTTCCCGTTGACAGCATTCCACATGGTGTCCGTTAGCAGAGTCTGGTCGTCCGCGCAAGTTACCCATTGCGGCTCCCTGGCTGGGGTTGTACGTGAGTGGGGTCGCAGAGGGGCACGCAGAGAAACAAGTGAGCCGACACAATGAAGGCCCCCGAACAGGTCGGAAGAGCAGGTCGGAAGGTCTTTTGCGGCGTCGAACAGCGCTTAAATGACAAAAGCAGAAACCTGAATTCCGTATTTCGTGGAAGGAACTCATCCCGCCCCGCCCCGCCCCGCCCCGGCCCCGCCCTGCCTCGGGGTGATCGCTACTCCATTCATCAAATCGTCGCCAACGTTAACTCCCCAGCACAGTCAACCCCGGATAGACCCTCGGCGAAACCCTGATCCCCCTGAACCCGCCGGCCTGACGGCCTGCCACTCACTCAGCCGCTGCGATAGTGCCGTCACGGCGCTGCTGTCCTCCGCCCACCGCACTGCAAGTAACGGACATGGAATCCGCGGTGGAGGAGACAGATATACAGATATACAGACAGACCGAGACAGACCAAGACCATGACAGACACAGACACAGGAAGCACGTTGCTCCTGCTTAATGTCAATGGCGATGGTGGTGCGGCACTGTGAAAATCTTCAGAACGGGTTTTACACCTGTGTATGCACGCAGCCCAACGCTGAAATAAAGAAGTTGCCGGACTTCAGAAGGTTCTCACCTCGGACATGCACTGAAGCTTACGCTTGATAACGGGCAAGCAAAGTGCAAAAAAAAACAATCACAATAAAGGAATTGACGTGGGGCGCCTTGTGCGGGGTTTGGGCGGGCCCCCCCCCTGTGACGGGGATATGTAAAACTTAGCCAGATCCCCACCCACGGGCCTTTCCTCTTAGGGCTGACCGCCGCAGCGCCCCGTGCATCGAGTATGATATGCAGTGCCGATCATGACATCATTGCATCACGCACCAGCTCGGTGCACAGCCTCGTACAGCAGCCAAGCCACGGGGCCCCGGGAAGACGCGTTCTGCAATTGCATCCGGATCGTCAGGATAGTAGCTGATATTTAGTTGTTAGTTATTAGTTGTTAGGGTTAGGGTAGCGGTCAATGGCCGCGGGATTTCTGCAGTAGGTGCAGCAAACACAACGATTAGCAGGGTTGCACTGTACGTATCCGTATCACTATACGTATCCGTATTGAATACGTACGTATTGAAAAATTACGTCGGGAATACGTTAAGAAATACGTACAAAACAATAATTGCATTTGCTCTCCTTGTTCTTTTTGTCCGTCGAAATGACCGTCACGTGCTGCCACTCGAGCCCCTTATCAGCCATTGCAATGGAAACTCACAGCAACTGGACTACAACACCCGGCCGTAAAAGCTAAATATTATGAAAGAGTATCAATAATACGTTCAGAAAAGATGTTTGCGGAGGTACGGGGGTTGGTGTACGGGGCATTCGAGGATTACGTATTTCATGCCGTATTTTAGCGTATTTATTCACTTTGGCCAACGTACGCGTATTATACGCGTATTTCTGAGTCTGTCGTGCCGTATCGTGCAACCCTGACGATTAGCCACCACCTCGCCGCTCTCCCCCGTCAACCATTTCGTTACCGGGGCTACAACTTTAAATCAGGGACTTGGGGCCCCAGTTTCCCCCAGTCCCCCCCCCACTACCACCCTCACCCCAGGGTTCAACCCACTACCCCCCAGGTCCCTCCAGCGCCCACCTGGATGTACGAGAAGCCCCCGTTGATGCAGATGTCGCACTCCGCCTGACTCATCATGTTGTAGCTGCTGATGGGCGGCTGCTTCACCCGCCAGTACCAGTCGTCAAGCACCAGCACGTCGGAGTCCACCGCCATCACATTGTAGCCCAGAAGCACCGAGCGCGCTAAGAACGGGGGGAGGACGGCGGGGAGCGGCGGATGCACGCATGCATGGGAGCTGTGCAGGGGGCCCCAGCTTGCATCATCAGCAGGGCGGCACTTGTGCCGGGTGGCCGTAATGCATTGGTGGTATGTCGGCTGGGGGTGGTGTTACTAAGCTGTACACACCAGCAAGAGGGTGGGGTTCGTGTCTGGCTGCCGAGACCTCCCGGGAACATACAGCATCAAGATCGCACAAAAGGCAGCCGCAGGAGGTATCGAACTGCCGACCACCCTAAAACTGAAAAAAGCCCAAGACAACCTGCCTGCCTGACTGCGACCACGTCCATCGCGGCCGGTGTTCACCTCATGACACAACCCTTAGACAGCATTATATGATGTGCACGACAGCCTGCTGACCGTCGATCGACCGGGCTGGCTGGTCGCTGTTTCCGTCTAAGCCGCCAGTGGCGCTGCAGGCAGCTCTCCGGTAGCTGGGCTCTCACGCAGTAACCTAATGGTGGTGGTAGTCGTGATGGGGGGTTATGGCAGCGGCAAAAGACGCACCTACAGTAAACCATTTCTGCCACCATGCGGTCAGTCCGAAACCTGTACGGAAGTAGCGGAAGCCGGCGGGGTACGGGATACCACTGCAAGGCGAACAGGTGGAGCCGGGAGGACGGTTGGAGAGGGATGGTTGGAGGAGGGGGGGAGGACTGTTGGAGAGGGGAAGGGAGGGGCCAGAGGAACGGTTTGGGAAGCTGATTGCACGTAGGATGTCAATTAAAGAGTCCTGCAAAGCAGAGCTGCTCATGTGGGTTGCGAGCCACTGAATGCACACCCACTACCTGCTGATGCATCCGGTTTCGATCACCGGTCCCACTCCGGAATTCCTCACTCTAAAGATTCATGGTATAGAATGGTCTATAGATCGTGCCATATATAGTATAGTATATAGATGGATAGACCTGAAAATACTTGGCCTATACACATTCCCCACGTTACCAGGCGCCTATAAAATACCTTGCCAGTGCCATTTCGCGACCTTTGCAACGTTAATTACTCGCTTTTCTACTTTTATTTTTTTGGATTTGGCAGTTGGTCCAAGGCCCGCACGCTCACGTGCATTGTCGGCACTGGTGATGCCCTTTGTCATCGTGTCAGCTAGTCAGCCCATCCGGTGAAGAGGTCCCCCCACAAGGCACCTGCCTGCCATAGCGCCCGTGGTTGCTTAGGTACTAGCTCTATCTACGGTGTAAAGCGGACTCGCTCTACGGGGTCGTCAAGTCCTCTGCAGCGCTACGAACTGTGTTCATTGCATGCGCATGTACGTGATACATATATGTATGTGTATGTATGTAAGCCACATGGTCCTATTTTTGATATGCGACATTGCGGTGGGGTGCGCTGTAAATAGCGAGCACCAGATGAGGTGCGGCGTTGGCTCGTCGGACGCTTGTCGATCGTTTAGCTTTTAACATAATCTGCTGGTTCGCGTCCAGACGACTGATGATACTTCACACTGATATTGATGAATCAGTAAGCAAGTTACAAGACTAGGTGATTTTTGATCCTCTTATGTATGCGTCCGACTGGCATACCGGCCGGCATCTACCTAGGACGGGCCCCACCTCTGGTCCGCTGTGGCGTAGCTGACGCAGCTCAGCGGTCCCTGTTCACTTGTGAAGGCCACGAAGATGCGGCCGAGGCGATGACAAAGCCTAGAATCCATCACTGGTAAGACGTGGCCATAACCTGCTGCTCCGCGAAGGCGAGACACCGCGTGTGCAGCATGTGCGACGCGGTTCTCGGCAAATATGATGATCTCTTTATTGAAGGCCGTTGCTTTAAGGGCTGCCTTCAGCTCCTGCGCGGTGTCTATCGGTCCAATGTATCCGCCCACATGGCCGGCCGAACAGTAAGCACCTTGACCCCGCCGACGACATACAGGATTTCTCTCTTGGAGATTATGGCTTAGAGTCTCAGAAGCCGGCTGTGCCTTCATTTGCACAGCAGCCAACGCCAGGACACACAATGCGAGGCCGAAAATGTGCACGAACATCGTCACCTAGCATGGATGGACCGAATACTCTACCCCCTAATACTCCTTTGGACAGACGGGTATTGCCGAAGCCACGCATTTTATTTGGAAGCTGAACTCTTGCGTTCGTACAGGGCATTGACGTAATTCTGCGTTCTTAAGTAGGTCGCTGGCCAAACCATTACAACGGAACTGAATCTCCCCGTTACTCTCAGTACAAAGTTGTGCCATCCCTCGCAATGCCGTGTACTGTTCGTGGAATACGAGTACGAATGAGGGATGAATTAGATTTCTGGGGATAGACCTTAGCGCGTAGTTTAGTGGAAGGTGTTAAAAATGGCTCTAGCTAGTTTATGAAACTACAGCCTCCTTTTCCTACACGTACGGTGGACATGAGCCTTTTGTACCGGCGTCATTTATACGGGCGGGCGAGTACGGGTACGCGGGCAGGTGAAGAATTACTAAACTGAAGAAATTATTAAACACCCGTGTTCTGCATCGCAATCGAGAGGCATGAATACCAAATAATAGTTTGCTTCATTATTCAGAATAGAAAGTGAGAAGGGATGCCAGGGAAGCGCGTGGCAATGGCGCATCGCAGCCGCTGCATACTATTACAACGCGAGTGAAAACGAAAAACAGAATACAATAAGGAAAGGCAAAATGCAGTAGCACATAAAAATGCAAGGAGAAAATTTAGGTTGTGGGAAATAGCCACTTCCGATATCTCTCTCGTATATTACCAAACCTCCCCAGCTTCGCCGCGAGTGGTTTGCGGCACTTTGTTGTGAAACATGTGCGAGCCAATAGCCGCCGTACGGTGGAGGATGAAGGAACTGCTGAAAACGGAAGCCCCCTGGCTCCCAGTCCCCAGGCTCCCAAGCAGGTTCCCAGGTTGTATTCACTAAAAAACAACCGTCCACGGTGGGCGTATTATTGCTCGGAACTCTTCTCCCCACGTGGACCTTGCCCTGGGCGCCTGTGCCCTCCCTCCTGTCAACTTCCAACCAAAGACGTCCTTTACATCCATATTATAGGCTTTCCTCTGTTAAAACACGTGTGAGGTCTTCACGCACATCTGCACATGCCAACGACCACTTGCGCGAGACGCTGCCCTCGTCAACTCCGTCCCAACTCCATTTCTGCTCTCTGGTGCGACATTACCACTATCACCACTGGCTTTCATATGCAATTCCTTATATATGTGCAGGGCCTTCTGGTTTCTACGTTTCATGCGCCTACGACGGAGGACCAAAAGAGTGAGACGTGATCGTTAGGCACGGGCACGATAATACGGCATCACAGCGATTTCAATATGGTTGCGGGGATGACTTCCAGATGGGGGAGCTATTGGGACGAAAACTAATGTTTGATGCCGCTCTGGGAGAACTGACTTTGACGCTTTGTGTAATTCACTTGTGCCGCGTCCTCAGTCTCTCTCTGCTGACGACATACAGTTCTCTATCTTCGCCCTCCTTTTTCAGAGTTGCAGACACAGCCGACTACATGTAATGTTTGTACCACTTCTGCAAGCGTCAGCATTTGGGAACTGCAGCGTGTATCCTTACTCCTTCATATTCTGCACGGAGGGTTTCGGCTCTGCTCGCCGGAGTGCAGCGGGTTTTGCGGTTTAGTCCAGGAACGTTTTTTGTCTAACAGAATCGATCTGAAAGGTCGGCCTGTGCCGCTTTCTGGATTGCCGTATACTTTTGACGTCTGGTACGACACTTCACCTAGTCTTTCAGCCTCGCTGCTCTCTCCTCAGACTCCCACTCTGCCAGCTGAAAATTTGCATCCGATCCAAGTCCTCGTCGTCAACTGTTCTCTGCTTGCGCTTGCTGACTCTGGAGCCAGCGACTACTTTCTCTTTGAGGTGAAGCGGCTTGGGATGACACCTAGTACCTGTACTTAGTCACACATTACGCGAGGGAATGGGGATAAATAGGCTATTTTAGGTCGGGTTACTCTGCGGCTTTCTGTGGGACCTTTGTGTTTGTTGTTGCACCCGTACGTCTTGCCTGAGTTGCCTGCACAGGCCACATACGCGGGACCATTGCCCCCGGGAGATCCCGGGATCGATATCTGTTAGGGTCATAAATCCATCCGATGGTGGAAGGTATTGCGCCCCTAGTTGATGGACGGTGGTGACCTGGGATAAAGTTAACCTGCGAGCCGACCAGGAATGGAGTTGGGCCGCTGTCGACCCGGCAGATTCCGTTGGATGCTGGTGGTGGGTGCGGAACCTGAGCGATCCACTGAGAAGTTGACTAGAGTGACTGGATAAGGGTGCCCCGAAATACCGGGGAAGGCAGGGTTTCGCAGGGTGGCTGCCACGGGCGAAGATATACCCCCCTGTTTCACACATCATACGTCTTAGGGTCCTCTACGTTTTCGGGGCAGGGAAGTGTCCTTAGTTTCGAGTCGTGCATTCTGCAGATGTGCCATTGCGGAGCGTAGCTTTGCAGAGCAGAGTACCTCTCAGCCGGAGCCGCAAGGTCATTACGTTGTAGCCACGCTTTGTCAGCATGCATCACCTGAACCCATAGGTCGAAAAGCTGCTGTAATGCTTATTCATAAAGGTGCGCATGGTCTCTTAGTTTGGCCTACGCTGCAATTCAACTCTGTCGTTACTGCTGTTGACTCATCGGACCCTGAGCTGCAAGCCCTGTGTATGTTCCACCTTGAGTTGTGTTACCCTCCGAAGTAGCTAGCGGACACAGGCCGCCACCAGTGGAATGTCCGGTAGCGCAGGCGTGTCTCATTCCGGACACCACAGCCTTTACATTCGTCCTCATGATCTCAAACCAGGCAGAGTGAATAGGGCAAGCAGCATCCTTTCCTGGTTTGCAGCCTCTCCTTTCTCCCTTTGGGTTCCCAACATGATGGCCTTGCTCAGTGTGCATTTCCTGTACATGAGCCTACACATCCTGTAAGAAGGGGGAGCAGTTCATCCTGCATGTTGTGTTTCTTATGTGCAGGTTACATAACTGGACACATTTGTGCGTGTGTGTATCACGCAACGGACCCACATGCAAATTACCGGGTGTTGTAGCACCATGTCGGCCGCTGGCCTCTACAGGTCGGGGCAGTAATGATCCACTTGAACTCATTGATAAGCTCCCATCGGTATCGGGGACCCTGGCCCTTAAGAGGAAGCTTCGAGATTAGTGTTGGCTGATTGGCAAACCTTTCAAAGAGCTTGTTGGACACCGTGCACTCAACCCACAAAGGGTGTTTGATGATATTTGTAATCCATGGATACTCTAAAGGGGCAGAAGTTCATCGAGAGGAAAGCGCGAGTCTAGCTGAGCCTGGCACGATGGCCCAGCCACCCTTTCCTTACACCAACCTGCATCGCCAGTTAGAGATCCCGCCCCTTACACATTCCGTACAGGGCCCATCTTATCGTCTTGACCATCAGCTAAACGTTTCGCTCACCACGCGTTTCATTCGTATTCCGGTAGGTCGTAGTACTTGCGTGCTCGGCACCTGGTTGCAAGCAGTTCGTCGCGCCCTTCTCAAGCGGCATGTGCCCAAAGGTTCATGAATGAGTGTCCTTTATTAAAGGCATACGTTAGGATGACAAAGGAGAAACGTATGTTTTGGGGTATAGAGGTGTCGACTGTCGAGGACCAAGTCTACAGGGCGGCGGGACGGCAAAACGATGAGGTTAACCAAGTGCGGAGGAGGGCCTGAAGCTAGTATAACCTGCTGGGTGTACACTGGACTACGCTGGAAACCATTCGAGGCATCTGATATAACTGCCGGCGCTATGTGCCACCTAACAGCTGCGTGTTCAAACCCGACATCAACACACTGATAGTTGGACAAACTGAGCCTAGCATCTCGCCAAGTCATATGCATACCAGCGCTTCAGCATCAGGGAGAACCTGAGACCAAAGCTTGGTGCACTCTTTTCCGATTACGGGATGAACCATGAAATTCGGTTGCACAGTACAAATGGCTGGCCGAACTCACATTACATGGTGGTAGTCTTCTCTGTAAATGAGCTTGCACTTGTTCAATACATCTTTAACTGTCAGCGTCTGTGTGTAAACATCCTTTGGGGCGACGCTTGTTATAACATATGTCCTGCGACGATACAGAATGATAATTGGAATGCGACTTGGAACGGGTTGACCATTTTAACTGTAGGAACAAATGACACTAGCTACTTTAACAAGTATGAGGCGTAGCTCTGTGCCGAACCCTGCTGAACTCGTCGAGGGACCTGATAACGACGCCTACCTGTTTGAAACGCCGGCTGACCTGCTATGTCCTATCACACATGAGCTTTTCTATGAGCCTGTTATTAATGCCGCCGGTCAAGTTTATGAACGAGCCGCTATTGAAAAGGCCATGGCGCATCGGCTGGTGAGTTGGGCACGTCAAATGCGTAGCACCAACTGATTGCTCAAAATGGGTTCATAGGATGTTTAGGGGGTTGGATGCTGCTCCGTGCATGTGTGTAATTTCTGCACCCAGGTGGGCTTGAGCCGGGTGGGCTCATTCCCTGACCTGGCACGCTCCACAGGTCGACTCATATGGTTTCCCGTGCCATCCTATGTGATTATCCTCCATCGTCTACGCTTTACCCTTCCCTCACCTCATATCTGATTATCCAAGCAGGTGGACCCCATCAGCAACCTCCCGCTCGAGACAGCCGCTCTCACCACCGTCTGGCCTATGAAGAGCAAAGTACGTTAAAAACCCTAATTACACGCCCTCCTGCTCACATGTAAACGTCAGATGGCCATGGGATTTATCGGCGTTTTCCTGTTGACGCTTGGTCGTCGTCGGGCCATCCTCGTGACTATTGCAGCACACGCATGTATGCCCATGTCCACGTCACGCACGTATGCCCATGTTGCCCTTCTTCGTGCTAACCCATCGTCCGTACTGCTTGCTCCCTTCCCAACTCTTATAAAGGCTGCGGCCTACCGGGAACGTGCTGTACGTGGCTGTGTGGACAGGCTGTGTCGGCCTACATGCCGGTCTCCCATTCGCTACTTGCGCCGGGCCGCTGAGCTATCAGCCGGCATTGCGGCCGTCAACGGTGACTCACCGGGGGGCGTGCTGGGTCTGCCCGGCATGACAGCAGATGTGATTGGGTATCTGATCACGCATCCCAGCAGCATATACGACTTCCAGGTGCGTTTCTAACGTCGGAGGCATCTGGCTATGCGTGGATGGTGCCTCTCAGTCACCCAGCAGAGTCCCGGACGGACCGGACCGGCGCGGTCAAGTTCTTGCTTCTGGACCAGATCTCCGGGGTTTCGCGTGCTTTTTGATATGCACCCTGCAATTTTGCTTGAGCTGATAGAGGCAACCGCATGCTACTATGCCACCAGTGAATTGCGATCGGGGTACTTGCATCGCCTCATCGGTAGCTTAGGGGGCTGTGTGCGCTGGTTTTGAGGTTGGGCCGGTTGAGTGTGCGCCTGCTACAATGTGCGCTCCTTTTTTGGGGTGTAGGCTTTGAGCCGTTACGCCGCTTCACTGGCTTCTGGCGGTCGCCGGGACCTGGCAGCGGGCGTCTACACCAAACTATTACACCTTGGCGGAGACTCCCAGCAGCAGGTGGAGGCGCTGCAGGGGCTGCTGGAGTGCTGGGGCCGTCCAGAGGAGGAGGAGGATCAACGGTTGGTGGAGAAGCTGGCAGCACTGTCGTGCGGCGAGGGGCCGGAAGGCTGCCGGCCCGCGCGCTTCGTTGGCGTGCTGTTGGAGGCGGGGTTGCCTGAGGCGCTTGTGTTGCGGTTCTGTGAGCATATCCTCAGTGCTAATGGAGCGATCCATGGGTCGGCGGTGAGTTGTAGCGGGGGCCTCACGACTCGGCAACACAGCTGCAGCAGCGTGGAGAAGTACGTTGCCACTTGCGTTGGCGTGTCTGGGGCCGCTGTAGCTGCAGGGACATGCGGGTATTCTGACCTGCTTTTCGTGTACACCAAACTGCGTTGCGGACAGCTTGAGGCAGCGCTGGCGCAGCGTCAGGGAGGCACTGGCTGCATTACGGAAACGGACTGCCGACCAGCGTGTGCGGGGCCCGCGACGGTGCAGCATCATGAAGGCAACGAGGGAAAGGTGCAGGAACGAGGGAGAAAGTCACGACGGCGTTTGCAAATTCAGCGGGCAGTGTGTGCTGGGGCGTTTGCACTGTTAAATTTATCGGGTTCCAATGGGCCATTTGCTCGGTTGTTAAAAGCCGCCAGTGTGCTGTTTCTACTCAATCCGTCCACAAACTTTGTTGACGCATAGTCGAACGTGGTCGATGGTTTATAGGAGAATTTATCAGCATGAGTCTGCTTTCATTTATGCAGCGCGACAGTACTTCTGAGGCTGCTATTAATGTTTCATGCATCCAATTTTGCTAACATGCATCTGCGAGTATGCACTCGCTGCAATTTCGACCCTGGCGGCTTACGCTTGCATCCATGACTCAAAACCATGAGCTCCTGGTTCTGGGACAGTTCGGAGGATGGGCAGGATGGTGACAGTGAATGGACATGCCATCCAAGCTTGGTAAACTCACAATTTGAATCCACATGGACGCTGCTGGTTTCGCCTGGTTTCGCAGGCAGTCCCAGCCTTGCTCGACACACGTGCATGAGTCACACGTATAAGTGAAAAGCGTTCCATCAGGTCATTATCAAATCACATCACTACAGTCAGATACTGCATATCTCGAAAAATGCACCGCGCGATCAGCAATTTTCCAACTGTATATACTGCTACATCTCCGTCACTTAGGAAGTCGCAGGCCCGAAGTGCTAACAATGCAAAAATGAACACCCGGTGCGCGCACGACTCTGTCATTAGCTCCGCACGCCACTAACCCCATACGTCACAATTCAATGAAACGGCGACAGAGGGCACGTGGCGAGGTCCCACGTTTAGTCATCGTAAGGCAATAACGCGATCACAAGCCAGTCGTCCGGACGCTGGCCGGGGCACGGCCGTACAGGAAAATAGACAGACCGGCAGCCAAGGCGGCGCCGAACAGCTCCGCAGCTATGTATAGGAAGGAGACGCCGACGTTGCATGTGAAGACGACGGCGGGGCCAATCGTACGAGCAGGGTTCAAGCTCGCGCCTGTAAACGGGCCGCCTGTAGAGCAAAAGAAAAACATTTCCTTTCATGTGGAATCATCGTATGCGCCATTCCCTAGGCTGGAACGAAACGGCGTCAGGAGGAGGACAACTTGCACAGTATCCGCCTCACCTGAAATTGCAGCGGCGTACAGCGAAAGACCAATAGCCAGGGGAGCAGTATTGCCGTGGCCGGGCTTGGCAACGGCCGCAGCGTACACGGTCATTACAAGCAGGAAGGTCATCATCGTCTCCCAGCCAAACACGTCTCCATTGCGCACACCAGCTGCTGGGCCAAAGCAGCCAGGCGAGCCCGCGCCAGCACCAAGGTGGAGCGCCGGAATGAGGCCAGCGTAAATCAGTGCACCGAAGATGGCGCCAAGAATCTGCGTGTACACGGCGGACCCAATGAGATAGATACGACCAAACTTTCTCACAGAGCACCATCACGGCGATCGGAAGACCTATGATACATGCAGGACAATGGGTGAACATTGGCCCGCCAGTCCGCAATGTATCATTACACCTTGCCCATTCAACCCATGTGCATTTGTGTACTGCAGTGCACGCAGTACACGTTTCGCTCGGGTTGCATACCTGGGCAATCATGTATAGTAGGCCCTTCCACCACTTCATATGGCCCGTGCAGATGAGCGCAAAAGTGACAGCCGGGTTAATGTGTGCACCAGAGATATTTGCGAAGGCGTAAACTGCACGGGAAATGTAAAGGGCCCATGACTGTAACCCATGAAGAACCGCGGGTCGGAAGACCCGAAGTTGCCAAGGCACCAAAGACAGGCAACAGGCATCAGCCTCGTGCGGTTGAACTTACTGACTGCAACTAACGCGAAGCCGTTAGCAGCTGGCGCTGTAGTATCCTTGGCGGGTGCAGAACCACCGAACATTTGGAACAGCAGCGTTCCAAAGAATTCAGCCATTAAGCAGCGGGCAAACTCATTCTTGACCTGGCCTGTGACGTCCAAATATGGGCGCAGCTTCTGCCTGCAGTTAAAAGGAAATCGAATCCCTGTGCGGGCCAAATATTTCCGGCTGTTTTCGGGGAAGCTTACATGACACCAGCCTTCTCAAGGTAGCGTTCAAGTACCACTGGCAGTAGGTCATCATCGTCCGCATATTTGGGCGCCCCTGGCTGCTTTAATCCTTGGCTGCCAGATGTGCTGCCCAACTCCACCAACCCTGCGCCTTCGTCATGGAAGTTGCGGTCATACTTTGGTTGAACCTCCAGCGACATCCTGTGCTCAGGGCAGGGCGAGATGAACTCGTTAAAGAGGCCCTAACATAATCAAAAGTGGTCCACACAAGCTTCGTTTCAAAGATAATTTTGGCCCATGTGCAGGCGCATAAATAAACATCCCGAAAGACAGTCGCTATGGTGATAAGCTATGCCTTGCAAAGTTGGCAAGGCGGACCCCCTTGGGCAATCAAGTCAGCCAGTCAACGCTGATCCCGACAACCGGACATACTTGCAGATGCGCTGGTCCTCTCCTCTGCAAAGCACAAGGCCAGGGCTCTGTGTGACGAAAGTTTTGCTTCTGTCTGCGGGGACCTTTGGATACGCCGGTAACACCGACGCCTCCCTAACAAGGTCTGGAAAAGTGTATATAAGACAACTATATCTAGTGGATTAATAAAGCACTCTTGGGTTGTATGCAATGCACAAAATGGATTTTAGAAACTGCGCAGTGTACGGATCTTCCAGGATGGAAGCATGCTAAAATCTGCATGGAACCTTCAAAGCCAGGTGCCTTTACTCTTCTCAAGTTCACCTTTTCGCATTTTTGCATATCTCCTCATAATGGTACACGCATGTCGGGCTCCTGCGCACCGGGCCTTCGCATCCCGCTCGGCCCACAGCCGCAAGGCTGTCGTTGTGAGGGCGAAACTGAGCGCTCCAAAGGTGAGTTGATGTTACGAAACTTTCCATGTGCCATGGAGGCCCTGGAACGGCTGCCGCAAATGCGTGAGCTCCCCGTCGACGAATGCGCTGAGGTTTCTGCGCTGCGGCGCTTCTTGAAGCCCAACTCCGCACAGTCGCTCCATGGGATGCGGGTTGAACTGGTTAGCCAGCATCCATGAGTCCCCTTGCGACCGGGGCGAGGCGTGAAGTCCCCACCCCAAGGCAGTGCCATCCCAACCAGTAGCAAACCACGATCCACTGCAAACCTTGACGCAATTCCCTCAGCAACCAGCAGTTCCCAGTTTCTTTCACTCCCCTCAACGACCCCGCAGCCTCCTCGTGAACATCGAGTCCCACCTTCCCCGCAGGTAACATCGGCTTTTCCACGTCCCTCTTTCCCACACGCGGGTCGCACACCTCCCCTCGTCCTCCTCACCAACCTCGCCAGCCTACAATAAACTCCGCTCAGCGCCTTCCACTTGCCATGACGGTGCCGTCCTCCGCCCCTGTCCTGCTCCCTTTTTCCCCTGCGGCTCCTTTCCATCCCCTCTGCAGGGCCCTGCCGCTGTCAGCGCTCCCCTGGCGGCGGCCGCTGCGCTATTGCTCACCTCCGCTCCCGCGCTGTGCCCGCCGGAGCTGCTGCTGCTGCAACCGGCCCGCGCAGATGACACGTCTGAGGTCAGTTACTTCATGTAGGCCGAAGGACGGTTGCAGGGTCGCCGGCCACCTTGGGGCTTTAGCTGACAGCGTAGCTGGACAACAAGCTGTCTACCTGGCTGGCCAGCTGGCGCGCGGGATGCGGTTTGGCTGCGATGAAGGGTTGGGTTGGATCCGCAGCGTAGCTGTCCGTCCCCTGGCAGGGAAGGGGGGAAAGGTACCGGGTAGATTGGCTGGGTCGCGGCCAGATCAATCCCCGGCGAGTTTGCAAGCTGCGCATCCCTCTCCTCCACTTCACGAACCAAGCGACCTCCTCGGGGCCCTTCCTTTGGCACCCTTCCAACTGCCCCACTTAAAGCCATGTGGACGTGGAGCCCCTGCCCACTTTCTCCAGCCCTGCTTGGAACCTGTTTCTTCCCACCATCACCTCTGCACGGATACCGTCACACCGGCCCTGGTCTGCGGTCGGATCGCTGCAGGCCCTTGTGTCCATCCGCATCGACCCGCCAACATGTGTCCACCTGCGAGATAACTTTTAGTTTGCATCTCCCTATTTCTTACCCACCTTTGCCCGCCTCCTGCACGTACATACATACGATGGACACATGCAGGAGCTTCTGACGCCCTATCAGCGCCGGCAGCGGGAGCTGGAGCGGCGTCGGGAGCTGCTCCGTCAGGCGTAAGTCCCCACCACCGCCACCACCACCGCCGCGAAAATCCCCATTCCGTTCGACCCGACTCAGGCTGTTTGGTGTGCGCATTCCTAGTTGTTCTTTGGTTGTGGTTGTCCGAGTCCGACTCCACCCCACTATTTTCAAGCCCCAGCCCTTTGGGATGCAACTCCTCACTGTTGTGTAGTGTGCTGTGCTGTGCTGTGTGCACACCTGCAGTCGGGAGCAAGCGGAGGTCCGGGCGGGCGGTGAGGCGGCGGAGCCGTCCACGGCTGAGGCCGACGCAGCGGTGGAAGCTGCCAACGGTACGGCAGCGGGTGAACCCCGCGGCCATCTGGGTTGGGCCCGGGTTGAGTCGGGCCCGAAGCCGTGACCTGATGGATAAAGGGGCGGCACACACGCGGCCCCACATGCCGCGCTCCCTCACGCCATTCACATCACTGTGTCGGCCCTGTCGTGTGTATCATGCATCCACCCCCTGCCGGGGTGGGCTCCAGTGTTGGTGGTCTATGACGCTCCGTTAGGTCTGGCCTTCGCGACCTTCAGAAACCCACGTCCGTTTCCCTTGCTGCGCGCATATGTCTATCTGGCTCGGAATCTTGTGGCTCTGGCCACCTCCGAAGAGCTGTTCCCGCGCGGTTTAGGAAGTGACTCCCGGAGGCAGGCCTTTTTGACCACCGCGAGCCCGAGTCTAACACGAACGAACGAACACACAATGCTGCTCCTTTCCTTTCAACTTCTGTCAACATCGGCGCTTGGCGCTAGTACTCGATCTATCGCACCACTGTGCACCGCCCGACGCTTACAGTGGACCGTAACGTGCCCGTGGCACCACTCTCTTACCACATCCTCCTCCACATTCTCATCGTACCCCCTGCCGCACGTCTCATCTCCCCTCTGCTCCTTCCTCCTCCGTTCAGCGGAGCGCCGTGCCGCCGCCAGCCAGCTCGCCTCTGAGCTAAAGAGCTCCGCAGCGACCGCTTACGAGAGCAGCACCACCACATCACGATACCGCGGTTTCGGAGGCGGCTTCAGTGCTGCACCGCCGCCGGCGGCCGAGCCATCAAAGGTGAGTCCCCGGAGTCCTCTGGCAGCTGTAATAAACGGTCCAGCAGGCCCGGCAAGCAAGGTGGGACGTGGGAAGGGGCCTCGAGCCATGCCGGGGTGAGGCGGCAAGGTGGCGTCGGACCAGGTTCAGGGGTGAAGGGTTGGCGTGGAGGGAAGTGGGTCGGGACGTCGTGCGCCGGTTCGCACAGGCCCCAGGAGCTTGCTGTTAAGTTCCTGAAGGATCCCCCTTCCCTCCCCGGGGGCTCGGGGCCTAGGACCTAGCGCTCTTAATGTACGCTTTGCGGCTGACGCGGCCCTCCCCACATCCTCGCCTGTGCAACCCTGGCTTGCAGCCCGCATCCATCGCCGTCGAGGTGAAGCCGGCGGCAGCTCCGGCGGCGGCCAAGAAGGATGAGCCCAAAAAGCAGGCCCCGCAGCAGGTGCGGGCCTCTGTGCGCGCCACGAAATGAGAGATGTAGCCGCTTCCCGACCCCAACCCACACAAGATCACCCACCAGTCTACCAGAACATAACACCGGGAGGTTTGACGTCTCGGAATCTCTGAGTACGCGACTCCGCCCGCATTTTACCACCATGTCACCCTCCCCCCCGGTGTCGCTCACAGGCTGCTGGCAAGCAGAAGCGGCGTGGCCCGCTGCCACTGTTCCTGGCTGAGTTGCTGGTTATGGGCGGTTTTGCGGGAGTCGCCTTCGCTGTCACCAAGTACTCGGATCAGACCGGCAAGGCGCTCGCACTGGCGGGAGCTAAGGGCAAGGAGCTGTACGCCGCGGCGGAGCAGGCACTGGGCAAGGTGCAGCAGTCGCCCAAGTGAGGTGTGGCGGCCAGTAGCGGCAGGGCAGGACATGGCATGGTCAAAGCCGCTATCAAGGTGACGGCGCAGCTGTGCAGCGGTACAACGCGTTGAGGTGTTTTTGCGAATTGGAACCGGGTATTTTTTTTGTGGAAATATCTGTTAGTGAGAGGTACCTCTGTGGTGGCTGTGCCGCGGGCCCGGGGTATGCCGTCGCTTAGGTCGGGCAGAGAAGAAGATGGGCCGCTGAGGTTTATATCGGTGCAAGCTGCAGGATAGCTAGCAGGAACGGTGCGGAATGTCTGGAGCTGGACTGTTCTTCACTCAGGGTAACAGCGAACCTGTTGGTTTGGTTTGTTTGTTTGTGAGTGCACTGGTGGACTGTAGCTTTGCTTTTGGCTTCTGCTGGCTGGTTGGCTGGCAGGCCGGCTGGCTGCCTCTACATTCGGACGTGTGCCCCTCGTGAGCAGCTAAGCGTGGCGTCCTCCTCCTCACGTGGGAGTTCACGCGGTGGTGTCAACACCTGTACATGTCAACAGGGGGGTATGCTACATGTTTTTAGCTTTGTGGAAATGGTTAGGCTCCTTGCGTATGCTTTCCCTCTTTCATTTATTAAATACTGTCACTTTAATAAACCCAGAGCTTCTTTCCATCTACATTTAAATGTGCGGAACATGCTTTTACACCGGCAGCGCCATCCATGCACCTTGTGAAATAGGCTGGATAGGCTTAGTGGACTGTCTTGGCCTCGCAGACATTGGCCTCCAGCACCACCACCCCTCCGACGCGCATTGGCCAGACTGACCCCACTGGCAGCGCACCACACACACGACCCGTAGGACGCTGGTCATTCAGGATAACTCCATCTCTGCTGACGGGGGCTGCACGCTGCTCACTGCCCTTTCGCTTGAGACGCGATGTAGGTGTTTCACACGTGCTCACAAAACGCTGCCGTACGGCACTGCACTCTTGCTATTAATTTTCATCGATTTACCGCACAACGTCCCCCCTTGCGATTTTCGTTTTGTTACTCGGGATAGAGTGAGCCCAGAGCACATGTCGACGGCCCTTGTCGACATACAGGGTCAATGCACGTGTCCTCACGTTTCAACGAGCGTTACTGTATTCGTAGCAATAGCTTAATCCCATATCGTCGTTAACATGCAAACAGCAACACTGCAACGACAAAAAGCTCATCCTTACAGATCCTCTGTGTTGGAGGCAACATAAAAAAGGAGACACTCCTGGTACCAGCAACACCCGAAGCCACCAAGTCCTCAAGTCCTACAAGCTATAACCCAATCTCATGATGTGGATCCCGCCCACACGCCAGCTACACTCCAAGTTGCTACTCCTGCTCCGGCTTCTTCTGCTGCACCTGCCCGCCTTGTTGAGGTGTTCGTGCCCCGGGCGCAGCCGCCCGCATGGGGCTCGCATTGGCCGCCGCAACCGCCGCCAGACTCCCCACAGGAGCCGCACGCGCCGCCACCGTTTGGCCGGATGACCACCTGCCCCATCACACATCGAATGCACACGCGGCGTGTTAGCGATACCAAAACGAAATACAACTGGGCTCCTTCAACGTCCCGCATCTATCTAGCTCTATTGGATCTTGTTTCCTATTACAGAACTTGCAAAGCGTGTGCGAATGGAACGAGATCCCGCGGTTTAAACCATGCACGGCGGAGATAGGTGCGCAAGGTGAGTGCTTCGCAAGGGTAACCGTGTTTGCAGCGGACAGGAGCTAGTTTGTACAGTAACGGCAGAACATGTCCTACATACTTGGGGCCGAGGTCGCGATTTACGCGAATATTCAGCATTACAGTAATTCTTAGCCCTGAAGGGCCGACACCTGACCGCCCAGTGAACTCGCGGAGTGCAATGGTGAAGTCAAGAGGTCAGACCGAAAACCAACTTGACCATCTCAAAATGCGGGCCAGGTAAGTAAGTACGAACGTAATAAGGGAGTTGTCGGAATCATACCTGAGCTGCTTAACCTGGCGCCGGACGGCCCGGCAGTGGTGGTGGTGGGTCGATTCCCTTCTCCAATACATAGCTGCATGCTGCAGGTCTCTTCCAATTCAGCTGAAAACCAGCATCCTACCAAACTGTGGGCATAAAAGCTTAGGTTTCGCCCGAACGAGATGAGAAACTGCTGATAGCGCTGGTGTTGCCTAATCTGTTCTTTCTTGCGTAAAAAGTTGGGGGCAAATCAATTTCTCTAAGGCTTTTCGTGACTTTCCACACGTTTCTGCCCCACCTCACAGCTCTCCTACCTACCTGCCATAGTCAGCCACAAGCAAATCAAGGAAGGACGGCAGCAGTGAAGCGATGGCGTATCGCGCAATGAGGTTGCCCGCCATACGCAGCAGCGGCCGAGGCACCGTCGCAAGCGCTGGCGGCAACATCACAGTCATGGCAACGTCCACACTGCCCACTAGTAGCGCAGTGGCGTCCTCCTCCGCGGCGGCGGCGCCGCCGCCACCGGCAGCTACAAAAGGATTTGCGGCGGCGGGTTCGCCGCTGAGTTGGGCTGAAGACTCCGCCGCCGACGGCGGGCTCGCTGTCGATGGCAGGTCACCCTGGGCGCCGCTGCCGCTAGTGCTGTTGTTGCTGTTGCTATTGGTGTTATTGGTGGTGGTGGTAGCAGTGCTTATGCTGCTACTGCTGGCAGTGCTCTCCGCCACATGTTGTTCGGAGGCGGCGCCGCTCAGACTGTGTGCCGCTGTAGCAGCCCCCGGCGGCATAGAGGTAGCGGCAGCAGTAGCGGAGCTGTTGACCGCCGGACTGCCGTGCACTGCCGCGGCGCCATTCGTAGACGGCGCCACTGCTGCTGCTGCCGTCTCTACCGCCGTCGTCGTCTCTGCCGCTGCCGTCGGCTCCGTCGATGGCATGATGGCCCCCTCCGTGCTACTGCCGACGGTGCGTGTACTGCTTCCTCGCCCGCCACCGCTACCGCCTTCCTGGTCCTGGGTCGCTCCCGTCGCAGCTCCGGCCAATCCAGTAGCCCGATACGCCGCCATCGTACTTTGCACTCCCACGGCGGCTGAACTCCTGCTACTGCGCGCCCCAGCCTCCTTCAACCCGTCCCGTGATCGGACGTCAGCACTGCCCAAGGCCGACCAGGACGTGCTCCCAGGTCCAGCAAGCGTGACATCGCTGTCGAGGGCGTCTGCGCCTGCAGGACGTGCGTCCGCGTCGGCTTTGGCTGACGACGTCGTCGCCACTGGCACTACCGCTGCAACCGCTCTTGCCGTCACCGTCGCCGCCCCCGTGGGTGCGGAGGCTGCCGTACGACTGGTTCCGGAGCCCGACTGGCCGCTGACTACTGCTCTGCCCCACTGGTTCGCCGGTACGTACAGTACGGCATCTTCAACGAAAGGGGCCACACTCGGCAGCTCCCGCGGCGAGCCAGCAGGAGCCGCGGTAGTCGCAACCGCCACCGCCGGATGCCGTACATTAGGTGGCCCTGCCGCAACTGGCAATGGTCTTGCTGCTGCTGCCGAAGCTTGCGATGCGGTCACGGGGCCTGTTGCTGGTGCCGGCCCCATCGCGGCAGTGGATTGCGAGGTGGCGTCAGCAGGTCCTCGACCGGCTTCCGCGATGGTCACGGCGGCGGGTGAAGCTGCGGGGTGCGCGGGCCCGTATGCGGCTGGCGGCCATACCTGCTTGCCGCCGCCGTCACCGTCACCGGTGCCGCTGACACTGCTCACATCGCCGTTCCTACATGCCGTGTCAGATTCCTCCACATCGCTACGAGTATCGCATGTTGTGCTGCTGCTGCCGCTGCTGCTCCGACTGATGTTACTGCTGCTGCTGCTGCTACTGCCGGCCCCATCGTGCCGCCTGTCTGTGGGGCTGCTACGAGCCATGTCCCCGCTCATGCTTCTATTGCTACTGCCACTGCCACTGCTGCCCCTGTCAGGGCGGTCGCCGTCGTGGTGGATCCCCACAGCAGCTACTGCCACAGGGGGGCCGCTAGCGGCACCCGGTGGTTCCGTAGAGGAAGGAACCAGCCCAGTGGCCGTACCCTCCTGGTCGTGTACGACAATCTCAAGCTGTGATACATTAGGAACGGCGCGGGATCCCGGCGGGAAACTGCCGGCCGCCATTTCGACATCCACCACTTCCGCCGCCTCGTACGAGCCGTATGCACCGTGCGCAGCCCGGTGCCGGTGTCCACCGTCGACAAAGCTGCCGTACCTGCTTTTTTCCTCTCCGGCTCCGCCGCCGGAGCTCGATCCGCTCGGCCGCCCCGAGCCGTCGTCAACGCCGTCCACATCTATGACTGTTATGACAATGTCGTCCTCATCGGCGTCAGACCTGGCCGGGCTTCCTGCGTCGCCACCATTGCCGTACGACCCCGTCGCGGCAGAAGCTGCCCGCTGCCCGACTGGCGACGCATCAGCGCTGCCGCCGCCCCCAACGGCGCCCAGGTCAGCGGCTGCCTTGCCGCCGCCGCCGCCACCGCCCCCACCGCGACCCCCCGCCCTGGCCCACATACGCTTTATCGACCTGCACGGGAGGGGACACACCGGCCCAGGCTTTGAAGAGGTAGCAGAACCCCCACCAACAACCCTCTGCCTCGGCTGGCTTGCACGCCACCCACCCCCCCTCCGCCCTCGGAAAGACGTCCGGGTACCCGGGACCCGGGGCTCAGCGGGGCCCCACGGGCTGCAACCTGAAAGGCCCAGGACGCGCCCGGAGCGCGGGGACAGCCCCCCCCGACCTGGGCTCTGTTCGGCCCACCTGAGGGGTCGCAAAGTGGGCACGGGCTTGTTGCGCAAGGTGGCCTTCATGGCGAGTTTGAAGTCCGCATCGAACCGTGGGTCGCCCACCTTGAACTGGTCCGCGTAGAAGTGCACCTGTACGGCAGGGAATGTGTGGGTGGGTGGGTGATCGATGGGGGGACGCGGATGTGGAACACACACACATACACACCGCAAGGCCTACCCCGCACATACATACATACATTACGTACGTACGTACATACATACATACATACATAACATACACACACCTGGTTGCTCCGGGTGTCTAGGGACACCCTCACGGTGATTTGCGGCTGCAGCTCCAGTCCCACCAGGTCGAACAGGGGAACACGCAGCACGAACACGTCCGGGGCGGAGGGGGAACGGGAGATCCAACCTGGATCCAGAAGGGAATACTGGTCCAGGGGCAGCGCCAGGTAGGCGGAGAGGCTGCGAGGGGGGAAACTGGGGCCCCGGGGTTCCTGCGGGTTGTGGGTTGCGGGTGGGAAGGGGAGAGTGGGGGGGAAAGGGGGGAAATCATATGGTGATGATGATGATGATGATGATGATGATGATGATGATGATGATGATGATGATGATGATGATGGTGATGATGATGATGATGATGATGATGATGATGATGATGATGATGAAGATGATGATGGTGATGATGATGATGAAGATGATGATGAAGATGATGATGATGATGATGATGATGGTGGTGGTGGTGATGGTGATGAAGATGATGCGAGGAGCAAAGGCTAAACTACCAATGTCGTCCAAAGCACCTAGGGTGGTGGGGGGAAAGGAGATTGGGGAAGAGGAAAACCAGCGACTACGACACACAGCAGGAGGGGGTGGAGATGAGCCCTAAGGAGTTGGGATAGCGTGGCCTAGGAACCCTGGTGGTAAAGGCGGGTGAAGTTTAGTGCGCCTAGTGCCGTGAGGACCCTGGTGATGGTGGTATTAGTGGTATTGGTCCAGGACTGCCAGAAGGCCTCTGCCCCGTGTTGAGCGGCCTGTTCGGAGGCCCTGGATAGGGGTTCCGAGGGGGTGAACAGCATGACGGGGACACTACCACGCAAATTGAGGGATCGCGATCGGGCTGGGGAAAGGCGCATCCCTGGTTGGCCTACTTTTTTAATTCGTGACGCATATGCTTGTCGTGATGCATGTGAAAGGGTTGTATCAGGGTGCCAGGTATAAGACGTGCTGCGTATAAGATGTGCACTTCTGCGAACCGCGCGAATGCACGTCCAGCCCAGGACACATGGCTTAGCGAACACTGCATGTCGTTACTACGCCTGGTTAGGATGCTAGAAGGCGAGGCACAGACAAGGTGTGCCAGCAAGCCAACGTGCGTTGCAATTCGCCGGGTGTTACGCTACTGTAGGCCGAACCAGTTCGTGAATTGACTGATTGGGAGGGTCTTACCTTCACGAGCTTTTCAGTGCTTGCAGACGCCTTAAACGTAATGGGTTTGCCGACAGGCTGGACATCAACTTCCATCCCACCCTTAGCGTCTGCTCGCCTTGCACGTTGCCGCTGGCGTCGTTGCTCATGTTCAAAAATCAACTTGTTAATTATCTGAATTGCGTGCTCCAGCGATTCAGAGCCAAAACCACGCTGCCGGCTATGCACAACAACCGCCCTCCTACTATCGCACGCCTGGATTGTCAACCAAGGTTGCGCTCTGTAATTGATGCTCTCTCGAGCCGAATAGGCCATGGGCCTTGGCGACATGGCCGAATAGGCCATGGGCCTTGGGAAGGCTGGCTTATCACATACTTTAAATACATACTTTAAATCGTAGGTATGCCCTCTGCCGGTGCCAATAAAAAACCCTACGAACATTCCCCAGGTTATGCATCATTCTCCGAAGGCTTCGGAGCGACGGAGGCTCTAAACGTTTCTTACTTAGTAACGCCCCGGACCACTTCGTGCCTCAAGTCTTTCAACCTCCACGAGAATGAGCTCCACGCTCTAGAACAGATCTAGGATGCCAAAGGTTATTATAATATAGTAACCAAACACCCTACATGCACACGCTATAGCACAAGGGCTCTGGCAAAGTTAATATATGCATAGCATCACTTGGTCACCCGCCATTTCGCCTCCTGGCTTTCCTCGGGCACAACACCTCAACGCATCAGCGCCCGAGGTATTCCCGGCCCCACCATCAGCTGTTCGGACTCGCAGTCACACGCCAAGTCCCTTCACTCAGCACGGCCCCTGACGGCCCGAGCACTCGGGCCACAACCTCATCCCCGGGCCGCATCGCCGACACGCCCGGTGGCGTGCCCGTGAGCAACACGTCGCCTGGCGCCACCGGGAAGTGCTGCTGCACGTATTGCACCTGTTTCTGCAGGCTGAAGATCATGTCAGCAGTTCGCCCTGTCTGCCTTCGCACGCCGTTTACATCCAAGGTGAGTACCAGCGACGCGGGATCCACACCTGTCGGAGCAAGTGGAAGTGGAAATGGACGTGGAAGTGGACGGTAGTACAACACCCCAGGCCCAGCCCCAGCCCCAGCCCCAGCAGCGGCAGCGGTGGGCTCATCAGCACACACATGTGCACGCAGCTCCTTCGGCATCCTAAGGCAAGAGACACCACGCCTACGAGCGGTACAGCCTCCTGTGTAGAGCGACCCTCCGCCTAACTGGCCCTCGGCTCGCTAGTCGGTCAGGACGTGTTTGGATTGCGAACTAATGCCCTCCCCCCCAACAAGGTTATAATCGAAGTGTAAAGTGGTCGACGGGCGTTTCGTCAAAATGCGCCGCACAGTGTGTTTCCCAGTCCGGACTGTTTCCCAGTCCGGACTGTTTCTCAGTCCGGCCCCGCCTGAAGGCCATTCATTGCATTTCTGTCCCACAGACACATATCCCACCTAGAAGACTGAAGGGTGGCCCCAGAGGTGTCGACCCTGTGAAGCTCTTGGCGAGCGTCCACGGCCATTGCTGCTTCTTGAGTTGCGCCTGACAGGAGAGAGAGACGGAGGAAGCGAAGGGGGAGAGAGACGGAGTGAGCGAAGGCGAGACGAGAGAGAACGGGGGAGAGAGAGGGAGACAGCCAAAGGCAGCACAATAAAATACTGGGAATTAGAAGCACCTTTGCGAGCTCAAATTGCTTGACAGACATGGACAGACAGACAGAAAGAGAGCCAGACACACACCTCCGCCAATTCCTGCCCGCGGCTCAGATCATTCATACACACACACACACCTGTACATCACGCGCCGTAAGGTCCAGTGCCACCGCCGCGCGAACAGGGCTAAGGTCCGCTCCCAGTTCAACTGCCAGCTCCACCTGCAGTTGGGCCGATGGGGCATATCAGAAGGGCATTTTGACGGCTGCAGAGCAAGTGATACGACACCGTAAGTTAAATCTTTCCCTCCAAATAAAGGCGAAAACACGCACACACTTAAATAGACGCACACAGATACACATGACTTAGTCGTTGTGCACATACACACAGACTATAACTACCTCATGGTGCACGTCCGTCGACCAGCTCGGGAGCAGCAGGTCTCCAGGAGCCACTGCGGATGTGCCCGCCTTGAGGAAAATCATGGGAACGCTTGGAACTTCGTTGCCCAGCTCGCGGGCGTGCTCAGCATAGTTGCGGCCGATGCACCAGATGTTGCGCGGCACAAAAAGAGGTGGGGACATAGAAGCTGCTTCCGAAGCACCGGAGGAGTGACGCACTGTTGTGCAGGCGGCGCATCGAAGTGCGTTCAAGGCAAGGTGACCACCTGCAACCACGAATTGTGTAGGGTTTTGCGCTGGAACAAGGGGGTGAACGCTGGAGGCGAATGGAGAAGAGGAGGGCAGATAAACGAATGAAGTTCATTTCCGAATGTTGAAATCATGACATGATCAATAACGCGTTGGAGCGGGTGTAAGTCTCACGCGCATGTCGGATTCTTCAGTGTCCTCACCTTCCGAAGCACGAAGCTTGACAGGCCAGGCATGCAACATGCCATAGGCGCATGTAGATAGAGTTCGTAGCATGGCTTTGCTACTTGCGGATGTGCTGTTTAACCGCTCGACGCTGTTGTACCTTGCATACAGTGACAGATGCAGGAGCCGACTGCCAACCAATATAATATTAGGGGGTGCTGAAGTAATATGGCAGTTGGGTGCGAACGCTTATTTTTCATATAACGTAATGCGTCGCATTTTGGGAACTCTGTCTGAACTTTAGCTTGGTGGATCCTCTCTGAGGTCAATTTCCAACATGGCGCAACCACATGGAAAGCATCAATGTCATCATCATTACCATCCTCGATCTTATTCATGGGCGGCAAGTGTGAGTGTCGTCCTCATCGTTACCACGCTGGTGCTTGTGGGGACCCAGGTTTTCCACGCCAGGCGCATCGCTGGCTCGCAGCCGTTACATCTATTTGGCAAGTAGGTATTGTTTTCCGTTCAGATGCTGTCCTTCCGTAACTTGACCTTGGCCGGGTGACCCCGGGGACATATCCAAAATGTCCGCAAAGACTAGCCAGGTAGCCGTAATCAACAAGAGGACAACACTATCCTAAGATTCACCTCCAATCGGTCTATTTTACACTCTCGGGGAGCAGCTGGGCTGCGGCACGAGTACAACAAATTGCCCGTCTAAACGGCCCCCTAAGACGCAAGGGCCACACGAACCCCAGTTTTTCCTCCGCACCTCCATATACTCGTCCTATATCTACAAGACCAGCTGGTCTGGTGACTCATTAGAACAGCGACACGCAGTACACTCCGGGCTGCAGCTTCCCCGTCGCCCTCCACTCTCCTGCAGCTCACATCATGCCCTGTCTCCTGACTCTCTCACGACCTGCGTCCCAGGCGAAAGCTCCACCGCGTAGTTCATCACAGCGAGTACAAGTCAGTCCTACCGGAGCTGCTCGACCATGCCGAGCCGCACTTCGTAAGTGTGTGCCGAGCCGGCAAGCGAGCTGGGCCGGGAGGGAGGGCGGGTGTGTGGGGGGCATCTGGGCGCCGCGCGCGCTACAGCGTGGCGGCTGGCAATCCGTGGTACGTACAGACGCACTGAGCGCATAAGAATCAAAAGGATCACAGATTTCGGTATCGCCTCTGTCGGGCGGCGGACTGGACCCCACACCCTGTTGCGACTGCCGCTGCAGGTGGCCTTCACAAGCGGTTTAAACAGCGAGGGGCGTCCCTGGTGCCCTGACTGCTCGGCAGCGATGCCTATCATCAGGTGCGAGGGCCAGCTGGCGACATGGTGCGTGTCTGTGCGCCTAGAGGAGCGCCCGAAGGGCCCGGGACGGTGGGCTACCCCCTAGTGCTACCGATCCTTAGTCCCGGGTGACGTGCCCCGGCTCCATGGCGGCCCTTTCCGTTTTCCCCAACCGTTTACATTTAACTTTACGAAGCTGTACTGCCGTGCTGATGCCCTGGCCGCTCCAGGGAGGTGGTGCTGGGGGCCGGCGGGTCGCTGTTGGAGGTGTCGGTGGGGACTCGGGCGGACTGGGCGGACCGGCAGCATCCCATGCGGTGAGGCGCAGCTGAGACCGCCACCCGGCGACAGCTGAGAGTGGGGGAGCTGGCTGGGGCTAGGAAACGAGCTTAGCTGCTGGTGAAGAACGTAAACCAGCCCCGCCGCAACACTTCCATATCCTCATTGTCCAAGGCTGGGGTGCGGCTGGGTGTGCGTGTGCGTATGTGTGTGTTTCGTGCTACACGCCGGATTATGCACACCGGCAAGCGCGAACCAGGTTTGGAAGAAGCTTTGCAAGTGCCTGTGTGCGCTGTGCGTCGGGCGGGGCAGCCCCTGCGGCTAGCACAGCTGGGGGGTCGCGCGCGCGTGTGTGAGTCTGTGTGTGTCGGGCCGTTGCGGTCCATTTGCTTACTGGTCTTCACCCTAACTGGGCGACTGAGACTGAGACAGTCACATTCGCGGCCGAAGCCTCCCATGCCTTCCCTTCCCTGTCCCTTCCCTCCCGTTGCGCGACGGCCTGTCGGTACCTGCCGCCGCCGCCGCACATCCTTGGCCATTCCAGAGTGGATCCACAATGTCCGGTCCGCTACGTTCCCACGCTGTACCATTGGTCGACTGAGGGTTGTGGCTCCTCCGTGTCTAACCCGCTGAGCAGCGACGAGACGGAGGAGAACCTCCGGCTGACGGTGGCCAAGTTCGTGCAGCAGACCGCAGCGGGGCAGCGGTAAGCAAGGGGAGGGGAGGGGAGGGGAGGGAAGGGGAGGGAAGGGGAGGGGAGGAGGGGCGCTGCGCAAGGTAGATAGAAGGAGTAGGTTGCAGGGAACTCGGCGACGTACTACCCCTTGCTTTTGCATTTTCTGCATATTGTTGTCCTGCTGTGTACCCTTGCTCTTCAGGTACGTGGACCGGCTCACCCGGGAGATCATTCAATCAGGCGGCAAGGGGTGCGGGGGCTGCTAGCCAGAGGCAGTAGCCCGCGGAGGAGTCGTGAGCCGGGGTCTCAATGGATCTGAATTGGCGCTTTTTTATAATAATGCGACAGCGCACGCGGTTCGTGCCATGCAAGCTAAAGCAATCGAGGTGCCCTGCCTGGGTTGCGGATTGCTCGCAACTATGTAGCTATTATTATTGACTATAGTGGTTGCGATAATCGCCATTGCGATAGGCGTATCGAACGTAATTTAATGCTAGGCTGAGGGCAGGGAAGGGTTTTCTTCTTAAGCTATTTGATGGCTTGATTTAGCTTTATACACACGTGATGGTGGCTGCGGGGCGTATTGTCGGGTCAAGGGTCGAGTGGAACTGTGCAGATGAAGTGAAAGGAGTGAAGGGAGTGAAACGTACGGATGTCGTACCGTAGCTTAGCAGCTTTAGGTGGTTCACGCGCATGTACCCCTTTCCTCGGATGCGTCCCTCCCTCCTACCCTACATCGCTTAGGATTACCCATTGCGGGCAGAGCGTGTAGCTAAGTATGTTCAGGAAGTCTCTATGTTGATCTGCTACATTGGCATAGATGTAACTGGAACCATCCTGGGTCACGAGTACTGGCCGTAAGCTAGGAGAAGTGTGCTCATTACGCCGGCCTTCAGCTCATATTGCGTCATTCACCGGCTGGATTTCACTTCTTGTTAGTCCCGAAAACTCGGGATTGGTAAGGGCACCCATTAATTCCTGGCGCAAAACTACCTGTACTATTGAGCCAACCTGCTTGAATTTTGGAATCGCCGCTGTAATTGCCCTTAGCTGGCCGTAACATGCCACAACAGTCAGCATACATACGAATACATTCTGAAGTAGGATGGGGTGACGGATTAGGGTGCCCCCCTAGCAGGGGAGAGCAGGGACTGCCCGGGAAAGGGGCCGCTGGCGAAGTTAACCACCCTGTAACAACATACATACATACGGCATGCCTGCTGGTCACGCCCGTTACACCCAGGTGCTGGGCGTTGGCAACACCCACTATTAGCCAGCCCATGTCTTGCACCCAATTTGGTACCTCTTCCCGCAAGTGCGCCTGCTATACATGCCTCTCTGCTTGTCATATCGCACTTGCTCATAATCATCTTCAGCACAAATGTGGGATATCGAAGCAAAGGTGCGCATCCCTAACCATGGGCATCCATCTCCCTACTATCGTGTTACCATCTATCCAGTAAGATGTCAATGCACTCAAGTTTAATGTTCATATGGAACGCTTGAGCCTGAGCAACTTAAATTTGCGAAATGAAAGCCATGTCCACCGGAACAGCTGCGCGAAGAACTCTGTTCCAACTGTTCCAAAGGGTTCTCCTAACAGCTGTCCACAAGGCTTCGTCTGCAGCATTGTGCGAGAAAAAGAACCGCGGGAACGCTCTCTAGAGTTTGTAGGTAAACAGAATAGCAACAGCTGCTGAGAGCCAACCTGACGTGCGACGTATTCCTGAGATTGTGACCTCGTTTTCTCAAGACGCGAGGTCTGAGCAAGCCACATTCAGGTGGTGTCGCGACAGCCCGAGCTGAGGTCCTCAGGAGATTACGTGACCATTACCAGCAACACTCCTTTCAACGCAAATTCCAGCCTGCTGGACGTTATGCATAATCCACGTACGTCCCACCCCGCCATGATGGCGCCATGCGGAATTTTTTTGGAAAAACGGGGCCCTACATGTACGGGCTCTTTACACTTCGAACAGTCGGCTGCAGGACTACTTAATGCAAGCTGCGGGGCAGAGAAATTATAACAAGCGACCACTACATCTACTGTATATAAGACCTTGCGCCTCTGCTAAGCTATTTTGTGGGCACCTGCAAGGGCGCCTCGTGATCTCCGGACTTTAAATTAAGCCTCCAGCAACCATGCGTGAGATCGTCCACATTCAGGTGAGGATTTAGCACTCTCTCCTTGTACAATTCAGCTTTTAGGATAGGCGCTGCCGAAGTTTGGATTTGTCCGGGCCGCGTCCTCTACAGATTTGAACCCATTGTCTCCGCGCTTTGACAACACCGCACCGCCCTGGCCTCTTCCATCGCATAACAGGGTGGCCAGTGCGGCAACCAGATTGGTGCCAAGTTCTGGGAGGTTGTCTCTGATGAGCACGGCATTGACCCCACCGGCACCTACCATGGCGACTCCGACCTCCAGTTGGAGCGCATCAACGTCTACTTCAACGAGGCAACTGGCGGTAAGTTGCTTTCTATTCTCCTGAAAGCTTAGGTGCGCAGAGTGCCCTTAAGGAACATTTTTCGCAGTAATGACCTGAAAGTTGCCATTCGCCTGAATCCTCCGCTTTTGCTGTTATTCCATTTGGAATTCACTCTGCGTAATAAACATGATTGACAGTTGGAGACTTCAATCCTTCTCCTATCTCTTTCGCACAGACAGATGCATGCGTCTTTTCATTTTTGCCTCGCAGGCCGCTATGTGCCTCGTGCCATCCTGATGGATTTGGAGCCCGGTACCATGGACTCCGTGCGCTCGGGCCCTTATGGCCAGATCTTCCGTCCAGACAACTTCGTCTTCGGTCAGACTGGCGCCGGCAACAACTGGGCCAAGGGCCACTACACTGAGGGTGCTGAGCTCATCGACTCCGTCCTGGATGTTGTTCGCAAGGAGGCTGAGAGCTGCGATTGCCTTCAGGGTGAGTGGTTCGGAACAAATCCGAAACGTTTCGGAGGCGTGCATGGTGCGTATAGCGGTTACTACATTGTAGCTGGCATTGTTTAGTAGCCATTTAGAGTAATCCAGCAACGAGTAGCCGCCAGATTGATAATTAAACATGCGAATTTCCCTACTACAGGCTTCCAGGTGTGCCACTCTCTGGGTGGCGGCACCGGCTCCGGCATGGGCACCCTGCTGATTAGCAAGATCCGTGAGGAGTACCCTGACCGCATGATGCTCACGTTCTCGGTCGTCCCGTCGCCCAAGGTGTCAGATACCGTCGTTGAGCCCTACAACGCCACCCTGTCTGTCCACCAGCTGGTTGAGAACGCCGACGAGTGCATGGTGCTCGACAACGAGGCCCTGTACGATATCTGCTTCCGCACACTGAAGCTGACTACTCCCACCTTCGGTGACCTGAACCACCTCATCTCGGCAGTCATGTCTGGTATCACCTGCTGCCTCCGCTTCCCTGGCCAGCTGAACGCTGACCTGCGCAAGCTGGCGGTGAACCTTATTCCATTCCCCCGCCTGCACTTCTTCATGGTTGGCTTCACCCCGCTTACTAGCCGTGGCAGCCAGCAGTACCGCGCCCTGACCGTCCCTGAGCTGACCCAGCAAATGTGGGATGCCAAGAACATGATGTGCGCCGCTGATCCTCGCCATGGCCGCTACCTGACGGCCTCCGCTCTATTCCGCGGACGCATGAGCACCAAGGAGGTGGACGAGCAGATGCTGAATGTGCAGAACAAGAACTCGTCCTACTTCGTCGAGTGGATTCCGAACAACGTCAAGTCTTCGGTTTGCGACATCCCACCCAAGGGCCTCAAGATGTCGGCGACGTTCATTGGCAACTCCACGGCCATCCAGGAGATGTTCAAGCGCGTGTCCGAGCAGTTCACTGCTATGTTCCGGCGAAAGGCTTTCCTTCACTGGTACACCGGCGAGGGCATGGATGAGATGGAGTTCACTGAGGCTGAGTCGAACATGAACGATCTGGTATCTGAGTACCAGCAGTACCAGGATGCCTCGGCCGAGGAGGAGGGCGAGTTCGAGGGCGAGGAGGAGGAGAACTAGATTTGCGGACTAACTTCTACTCGGTTGCTTTTGACGATTGACATGACAGGAAGGCATGACTATTCACATCTAACTTGACTTGCTGAACTGTCTGTAGTAGCATGTACAGTATGTGGACGCAACGTACTGAGTTGTCTGGGGGTCTGGATTGTCGTGTGCATTTAGCTGTTCTTCCTCGCGTTGAAAGAGGAGCTGAACTTCTTTCCACGTGCTCAGGCGGAAGGAGTTTTGCCTCTGAACGTAAAGTACGTTGAGGGTTTGGATACACTCTTTCGGTGCCGGCAGAACGCCATGTTGCCGTGACATCCTGATGTATTGTAACGAACAATTGGATTAATCGTGGAAATTGAATCCCTGCTCCCTGTGGACTGGTATCTGATAGTTAACAAATAGATTAAATACACATTGACGCGTAAGGGTAGTACACAGCCGCTATAACAACACTAGCTTGATGTGATGGGCTCTATACCAGCTGGACGTTACATGTGACGCTGAGTGTTAGAGTTGACACCTAAAACAAAAGTTCGTCTTGGTAGTGTACGGAACCCGAATCACGATATTACACCGGCCAGGCGGCTGGCCGCCCACGCCAAACGAACATTTTTCGCCAAGCTAATCCTCTCTGTGCGCTCCACATGGTTGCCGCTCTTAGTGGTTGCAGGATAGGAGGATAAGATAAAACAAGTTTTACTGCCGGGCAGCAAAACTTGTTTTATCTTATCCTCCTATCTTATCCTCCTATAGTTTTGCTGCCGGGCAGCAAATGATAGCGCCGTTACAGCATACAGCCATAGCTGCGGGCCATTGCAGCTTGAGAGTATATGTTGGAACCGCTTACCTATCAGAATTGGGTAATGAACATTAACGGACACACTGCCTCCGGGATGGGGCCTTCTCACCCTCACCCCAAGAGGGTTCATCACGGAAAACTGGGACCCGGGATGAACCTTCCTTCCTACAAGGTCTTTCTACACACCTGCGTGTTCTCCACCTGCAGTCACATAGGCTCCATCTACCTCCACCCACCGATCTCGGTTCTAACACAGCCACCGACGACAGTTGAAGATGCGAATTGTAGAACTGGTAATGAAACGTCTTACATTGAAGCAGCAGCAGCAGCAACTGCTGGGCGGCAAGAACTCCAACAACAATCGCAGCAGGAGCACCAACCCCCACGGAGATAAGGGGGCCCCGAGGTCTTAAAAGAGGCGAACAACATATGTTTTTATTAAGGTCACGTGATGGCCGTCTTCACACAGTTTACGTACGTACGCACAAACAGACAAACGCCAGGCGCACAGCGACGGTCTTAAGCAATATCATATGAACCCCCCTTCTACCCAAGCACCTTCCTACGCCAACTCCCTACACATCCCCAATCCCAGGGAAATAGACCTATACTACCTATATACATACAAACATACATACATACATACATACATACATACATACATACATACATACATACATACATACATACATACATACAGGTACACATATTGATACACATCGGTGGGGGGAAAGGGAAACCCCCCGGGGCCCCCAGGGCCTTCATCCGGATAGCTCCTCGGCCAATGAGCCTACTGTGCCGTACAGCGCCTGCAGCTGGGGATCGTAGCTGGAGGCCAGGGCCTCGCCCGCTTCCTGTCGGGTGGCACGGGGTCGGTGAGGGGAGATGGAGGGGGCAATCGTTGGGCCCCGCGAGGGAAGACCGAGAAGTGATCGTGTGTGAGCGCACAGCTGAATCAGCATTTTGCGCTTCTCACCCCCTAGCGCACATAGCGATGTCTCCGCAGCGCCAACAGATGCACACGTGGCAGCTCCATGTGGCCACCCGGCTTCCCAGGGTAGGCATACAGAGACATAAAACACACACGCACACACTATCACCCTTCCTCGCAGTTTCTTAATGCATGGTCCCCCCTCTCTCTCTCTCATATATTTCATAATGTTATAATAAAATATATTTATGATATCATATTATGAAAGATTATGCATAACCAGGCAAGCACACGGTCCCTCCCCCGCTCACCCTCAACGCCTCCAGCAGCTCCCCCACCGCCGCCCGCACGTCCTCCTGCCGCCGCTGCAGCCGGCATCTGGGTGCCCCCAGCAGGTGACGTAGCGCCCGCTCCCCCAGCTGCAGCACAACCACCACTCGCCCCCGAGCACACTTGTCCAGGGAGGGTGCAGGACTACAAGGAACATCTTCCGCCTCTTCAAAACAGCCGCCAACAGCCCCACCTCGGCCCGACGCCCCGTCCACACTGCCGCCGCCTCCAGTGTCGCACCGTGCACGTCGACGTCCCCGCTGCGGCAGCCGCGGGGCTTCCTCGTCCTCCCCCTTGACACCACCACAGCTGTTGCCGCCGCGTATTGCCGGGGGCGTGTCGGTGTGTCGTGTATTGGTGTTGAGCCGGGACCGGCCCGGGCCCGTACAATGCGGTTAGGCAGGCGTAAGATTTGTGGGATGGAAGCACCGGATTTGGGTAGGACAGGAGGGAATGGGTGTTAGCGTCGGCAGGGTCCATTAGGGTGGGACCAGGTGCCCCAAGAGGCGGAGGCGGAGGGGGGCGGGGGCGGGGGCGGGGGAAGGAGAGGCGGCTTCAGCAGGTAGGGCGGCATGATAATTCGGTCTACATCTACACACTTCTTGCATGGGGATCGCTCCATGAAATCTATGTATACACATGTATGTATGTATGTATGTATGTATGTATGTATGTATGTATGTATGTATGTATGTATGTGTATGTATGTGTATATGTATGTGTATGTATGTCTGTACGACATCTTAGCATCCACGTTTAGACACACCTAGGGCTTCAGTTATCTGCCCTCTTGCCGTTACCGTTACCGTTACCTGGATCGCCGGCTCGGTTGTTTGCTTCCCACGGCGACGCACAATTAGCTCGTACAGCACTAGTACAACATCTCAATGTCAAACTCCTACCGGACAACAACCAACGTTCAAACAGCAGTACATTCCGTCGCTGCCACTGCCACACACTTTTCCTGATTCTTTTGCCGTGCTGCCGTACCCGTTGGTTGCAGATTCCGCCACCACGTGCCGTAGCTCCGAGACCAGCAGTGTCAGCACCGCCACCGGCAACTGAAAGCGCGGGTCATTGCCATTTAACAACAAAGACCAACCGCCGCCGTTGCTGCCACCGCCACCACCGTTTCCATGGCCGCCGCCGAGCTCCACAGCAGCGTTGGTGGCGGCGGCGGCATTTCCGCCGTTAGCCATCGCGTCGCCTGCAGCCGCCCCTGCTCCGGCCCCGGCCGCCGTCACCCCCCCCTCCACAGGCGGGATGACGGCCGTGAGCGCGGGCAGGTCCATCAGAGCTGCGGCGCACTGCACCACCCCCTTGCGGCAGCCCTGGGGGGTGGGGAGGGTGGGGTGGCGGAGGCAGTGCGGGTGGGTGGGACGGATGATGGCAGGAAGGCTTGAGCACACATGCTTGCCAGCGTGACATGAGCTTCACCTGCGTACAAAGCAGTTACAAGCAGGAGAAATAAAGGATGTATGGAGAAGAATCCAGACAGACAGACAGACAGACAGACATTGCACTCGCCGGATGCGCCAGGTCCCTGCCAGCAGCCACCAATTGGGACATCAGCTTAGCGGCCCATTTCGACTCCAGGTCGGGAGACACGGCCGGAGGAGGAGGAGCCGCGCCCGGCCCCGCCGCCGCCGCCGCCTCCCTGGCAAGGCGCGCGGGTGGCTTGAGCAGCTGCGCCCCCGCGGAGGGGTCCCTCAGCAGCCGCTGCAGTGCCAGCAGCATGTGCGCGTGGAAGACGTTGCGGGCGGCGGTGGGGGAGGGGGGCGGCCCCTGTGTGGCTGTGCGCCTGAGCTCCTGATGCAGGTCCGGGTCGGTCGCCACCTGTCGGGGAGAGCGGGGGTGAGGGGGGGTGAGGGGGGTGAGAGGGCGTAGGGACCGAGAAGGTGGCGTAGCTAGGCGAGTTAGGGGGCGTAGGAGGAAGGTGAGGGAGGTGAGGGAGGTGAGGGAGGTGAGGGAGGTGAGGGAGGGGGAGGAGGGCCTCAAGGGAGGAGGGGCAGTGGTGGTGATAGTGGTGGCAGGGCTGCTCCCCGACGGCTGGGCCCCAAGGGGCGGGGCTGCGGGGAGGGGGTTGAGGGGGCAACCAGCCACCAACCAAGGGGGGCCCCCACCTGGAGGCGGAAGGCCGCAGCCGCAGCAGCTGCGACCTCCCTTGCTGCTGCTGCTGCTGCTGCTGCTGCTGGTGGTGGCGGCTCGACCACTGCCGGTGACGTCGACGGTCCCGTGATGCCCACTGCCGCAAGCGCCGCTGCGGATTAACGGACATACACACACACAGACAGACGGGCAAACAAATAGACGTATAAACCGATAGACAGGCAGGTGGACAGGTGGCCAGGTACGGCACTATACGGCAGGGCTTGTGTCCCGTACGACGCAGTCAGACCGGATGTCGATAATTCATCACCCCCGTCGCCATCAAGCGGGCCAACCCCACGACCGCTACCACCCCACCCCAACCACCCACCCAGCACGCGGGCCGCACTCCTGGCGGCCTTATCTGTGTCACTGTCCGGGTCGCTGTCACAGCAGCCCCTCCTCAGCGCCTCCATAAGGCCCGGAAGTACCACCAGGGCAGGCAGGCTGACGGGCTGGGGACCTGTACGGCAGGGCTGACCCGTGGGTCTAAGCAGCGGCCCCACCGGAACCCCCTCTATGGTCGAGCAGCCCCCCTCCACCCCCGGACCGGCTCCGGCTCCGTCCCCTGCGGCCCGGTGCGGGGTGGGGTGCGGGGTGCAGGGGAGTTGTGAGGGGGATGAGGGAGATGAGGGGGATGAGGGGGATGCAGACACATGGTGAATGTGTCATGTCGTGTCATGTGTCGAGTACGCGGTCGGGTGCGGACGGATCGGCTTCCGATGGCGGCGACTTCCCTGTCTAAGCCCGCCAGCTAAGACCGGAACTCCCACACAGACTGCCCTCACACGCCCCCGGGGCTCATATCATGTGTCGTGGCAGGTACGCTGTCCGGTGCAGAGAGTGGGTATGTGGGGGCCGTGTCAGCGGTTTGCTCTCTTCCCCGGCTTACCCCACCCCCTTTCCCGCACCGGCTGCCGCTGCCACAGCCGTGTCGCCTCCGCCACCAAGGCGAGGACCACGGCGGCGCCGCGGTAAGCTCCCCCCTGCAGCGCCCGCCGCCGCCGCCACCGCTGTCCCAGGGGCATCACCGCTCTTGGTCGCCGCCGCTGCCGCCAGCGCCGCCGCCAGGTTGCCTAGCGCCTTGAAGGCCCCGGATCGGAGGTGACTTGCCGTACGATGCTGACATATGGTCACTAGGACTGCAAACCATAGGAGGGAAGAAACAGCGCTGTGTGCGTTGCGGTCACTTGTGTGTGTGTGTGTGTGTCAACTAACCTTACTAATCCCGAAGAAAATGATTAGCAAACTTGCCTAGTTACCTAGTTACAGTTAGCCAGGTTGACCCCCGCTCCAGGGGCTCGATATATGATGTGCGAAACAGGGGGGTCTATCTTCACCCGTGGCAGCTACCCTGCGAAACCCTGCCTTTCCCGGTATTTCGGGGCACCCTCATCCAGTCACCCTAGTCAACTTCTCAGTGGGTCGCTCAGGTTCCAACCAGCATCCAACGGAATCTGCCGGGTCGACAGCGGCCCAACTCCATTCCTGGTCGGCTCGCAGGTTAACTTTATCCCAGGTCACAACCGTCCCTCAACTAGGGGCGCAATACCTCCCACCATCGGAAGGATTTTCGACCCTGACAGGTCTCGATCCCGGGATCTCCCGGGGGCAATGGTCGCGCGTTACCAGTAGTGCCTAAACTCGATATATGTACAGATATACATATATACATACATCGTAGCAGCAGTTACAGCAACCCGGTATTACGTAATCCCTCCCAACCCCACCTCACACACACCCCACCTCGCGCCAGGTCCAGAGGCACAGCCCCCAGTCGAGGTTCCAGCTGCCCCGCCTCGAACACCGCCAAGGCAGCTGACACGTCACTCCAGGAGGGGCCCCGGGGGGCTCCAGGCGGGGCCGGAGGATGCGGGTTGCCACCACCACCTGCTGCTCGCCCTCCTCCCATGAGCCAGGAGGCGAGTACGGACCAGTACGGATGGTTCGTACCCAGGATGGCCAACTCGAAGAGGGGCGGTGGCGGGGGTGGCCTGCGAGGTCATGGGGCCGGGGGGGGTCCCTTGGGGGAGGAGACGCAGCCGAGGTGGGGATGGGGGGTGGGGGAGATTGCGGGGCAGGCAGTGGATTGCGAGGTGGGCGGTTCGCAGCGGGTCGTTGGTAATGTGTGGGACTCCCCGGTGAAGGTGGAGGAGGAGGGGGAGCGGGAGGAGGGAGGGGGGAGGTGGGGAGGCTTGGTCAGGGAGTATGGTGGTTGTGATTGTGGCCGCATTAATGGCGAGTATGTGGTTGGAAAGGCTGGTGGTGGCTGAGTGGATACGTCGGGAGGTGCAGAGGCCCCGGGGTGGGGGGAGGGCCGGTCTTACTACGGGCAGGTCGGTGGGCGGGCCAGTGGCCAGGGGCCACCCGGGTCGCGCTCGGGACAGGATTCGGGAGGAGGTGCACGGGTCAGCGTGAGGAGGAGAGAGTGTGTGTGTGTGTGTGTGTGTGAAGGTCGTGTGTATAGTTTCGTGTAGTCCTGACACAGCTGTTCCAGGCAGGTGGGCAGCTAGGTAGGGGTATTGCAGGTCTGTGTGGGTGTGTGGAGGACAGAAAGTGCGGGTGGCTGGGTGGTTAGCCGCAGACAGTAAGGAACTGGGTTGTGCACAGTTAGGGCCCTAACCGTAAAGTTGTGCGTATGTATGTGTGTATATGTGCGCATGCGCGTGAATAAACTGTTTGTCTGTGTATATGCCATCTTCGCGGAATGTGGGTTGCCCGGATATTGCCTCTGACGCCCTGCTTCCTGAACAGACGTGAGGTGTACGGAGCACGGCCGGGGGCATGAGGGGGGGCAGGCAAATGATCGGGCTCATTGCCGAGGGGATCGGGGAGGCACAGGATTTGTTCGTTGACCGTTGGCACCGTTACAACTAACATGAAACTAAACTAAACGTCCGGGAAGCGGCGTCCGGGGTCTTTGGGGTTGAGAAAGAAGCCCCGCATACCGGGGCCGTGAATTTCAGGAGGTAGGTACGCCCGCATGTATGTCCATATGTGTGTCCGTGTCGCCTTCCTTTCTCGCTCTTTCCCCCTCCTCCAGTCCCCCTCCAGTCCACACGTCCCTAAAGATGTTGAACAATGAAACAAAATAAACTACACGCGCTCCTTCCCAACCGCCGGGAAAGTATTTACACGGTCCGAGGACGCCGTCATGCCGTACGTACTGTACGCCGTACAGCGTATATGTGTAACAAACGCACACACCGCAGCCGACCAGCCACAGACGAGGAAGGAAACCTGCCCTACCCTGTCCAGCAACTATTTCCCTCTGCAAGCCACTACCACTACCACTACCACCACACCACCGCTGGTCACCACACGCCACGTCCCCATACGTGTGCCGCCGCTCCAGGTAGCCACGGGCCCCCGTACATACCCCCAACACAACTCCGGCCCAGCACTTCCTACTGCTACTTCTTTCCTCCCATCCTGACTTGACTTGAGACATTTCCATCAGCCCCAGCCCGGCGCCCCCTCACCCTGCCCTTCTCCCCAATGTACAACACCCCCCACCCTCCTCAGCAGGCCACACTGCTCACATGGGTCGCGGAAGGGCGGAGCACAGGGAGGAGCCGCCGCCGCCCACCGCCGCCGCCACCGCCTCCGTCCCCATCTCCGTCTTGATATCCATTGCCGCCGCCGCCGCCGCCGTCACCACCGCACCTCCCGCAGCCGCCTCTCCATCCTCGCCACCGCCGCCACGACCTCCTCCCGCTCCCTCAAGGTCCTGCAGCGCCACCACATCGCTCCCCAGCTTGTCAAGCGCCGCACCGCCGGATGCCACAACGCCACTGGCCCCACCACCGCCACCACCACCACCACCACCACCACCACCACAGGCGGCCGGCTCCGCCATCGCCGCTGCCCTGGTCGCCATCCCCGCCTCTTCCCTAGGCTGAACTGCCGATGTGGGAAACATGTTCGGCCCCGGCTCCGGTCCCGTGGTAGCCAAGTCGTGTGGAGCACCGACTCCCGCGGCGCCACCATCAGATAGGGCCCCCGGGGCGTAAACCTGGTTCCGGAGCGGTTCCGGAGCCTCGGTCGCAACTTGGTGTTGTAGCGGCTGCTGAGGTTCATCGCAGTCCATGACGTCAGCCTCCGGCCCGCCATCGCCGGCGCCTTCCCCATTTCCACGATAGACGGTTTGTTGTTGCTGTTGCTGCTGCTGCTGTTGTGGTCGGGAGATCGCGACAGGCGTCGACAACGTCGCCACCGGCTCCAGCACCTGCTGGACAGCGTAAGCTTCTGGCTGCGGCTGCCGCGCAGGAAAAGCAGATGGTGGCGTCATCATCGCATTACCGTACAAGGCCGCGGCGTAGAAGGCCCCGTTGGCGGTGGGTGGCGGCGGCGTGGCAGCTGCTGGCGCATGCTGCTGTCCCGCCAGTTGCGCCAGTGCCTTCATGAGGTGTTGGGGCATGAAAGGGCCCGGCGGCTGACCCGTGGGTCGTTGGTCCGTGAGGCCGCTGGGGAAAGCTGCGCCCTCCTCCAGGGGGGTGCTGGCGGGGGCGTGAAGCAGCGGCGGTCTGCCACCTTCGCAACCAGTGAAAAGTCACCAGTGAACAGGGCGCCGCGCGGAATAGGTCGAATGGAGGTAGGGGGGGTGCGTCAGGACGTGTTGGAGAGGAGGCGGGTGGGGGCAGTGGAGGTATCCACGACTTGCCGCGACTTGCATTCAAGTTCATTCCCTCCTTTTATAACCCATTAAACCCCGTCAAAAGCCGCCCTCACAACACAATTTCTCTCCAGCCACCCAGCCCACCCACCGGGCTGTCCTGTGGTGGGTGTGGGCAGGGGGGTGCGTAGCGGCCCGAGGTGCGGCGCCGGGGTGGGTGCGGGCAGACCTGGTGTGGCCGAGACGGGGGAAAAAGGGGGTAAGACGAAAAGGGGGGAAGGAGTGGCGGGAGTGGCGCGCGCGGAGCGGAACGGGAGGTGGACGGAAGGGGTGGCTCGAGCAGCAGGTTGGCTGCAGGGGGATGTGTCGGAAGATATTCCAACACTAAAATCGGACACCGGGAGCTGCACTCCAGTGGGGCGCCCCCGGGGGAAATGGGTCGACCCAACACCCCCCATCCATCCCGCTCAGTGGGGAGCTCAGCGCCACGGAGCCCCGTGGAAACCCGCAAATGATGTCCCACAGTCCCGGGAACGTACGTACAACGTACACACACAAACATATGCACACAGGGGAACGTCCTTTCCTTCTTCCCCTGCATTTCTTCTTCACGCGGCCCAGTCTTACAAATCACATTACAGCCATCGTTCCAATACACACCAGGCTCTCTCATTTCCATGCTCTAGGAAGTACCCAACACCTGTGCATGCAGCACCTCCGTGCATGACACCTCCCAACAGCTCAGTCCAGCACAGCCGTACGGGTACGGCACATGAACTGATGTGGCGCACCTGGCGGAAGTCCCGAGCCAGCTGCCGGAGGCGGTGTCGCAGTGGGACCGCCAACACCCACCAGCATGACCCCGCGCCCGACGGCAGCACCCGCCGCCCCCGCCGCCGCCGGCAGCGCAGCGGCATCCGACAGCGGCGTGCCTGCGACCCCCACCGCCGCCGTCGCTGCCGCCGCCGCCGCCGCCACTGCCAGTGCATGCTCCACAGCCGCCGCCACTGATCCCCCGTGCAGCTGCCACCTCTTGCTGGACGCCGACCAGGCCCCCAACCGCTTCACTGCATCGCGTATCTTGGTCTTAGGCGGGGGCTTCACGTCGGGCGGTAACGAGGCCAGAAAGCCCTCCACGATCTGACAACATGACAACACGGTGCGGCGGTGGTGGTGGTGGTGGTGGCGGTGGTGGCTGGGAACGGGGACGTGTGAGGGGGATAACCAGCCGCCTACCCACCCCGCTGTCCAGCCCCTGTTTCCCAGGTCCAGTGTTGTCACCCTCCTCCCTCCCCTCTCCTCAAAGCACACAAACCGCATGTTCCTCTTTCCTCTTCTCCCCGTACGTCTCCTCCCTCACCAGAGCGCCAGAGGTGCGGAACCACCTCAGTCCACAGCACCAACCATGCCACTGCTCAGGCCACCCTCGCCTCGTGCCCCATGTATCTCGTCCTCCTCCTCCTCCTCCTCTCCTCACTACCCCACTCCTCCACATCCGGACACCCTCTCATCCTCACCCCCGGCTCGCCCACCTTCTCCGCCTTCTGGTCCCCACACCGGGACATCAGCTCAGCCAGGGCGGTCAGATGCGCCACCGGCAAACCAGCGGCCCCAGAACGACCCCCCCGGACACCGCCACTGCCGGGGCACCGCGCAGAGCCAGGGGCCGCAGCACCAGCAGCGCCAGGAACGGCTGCGCCCGCGCCGCCATGTCCGAGGAGCCCAAAGGGATGTACGGCACCACCGCCAGCGGCGAAAGGGTGCAGGGCCTCGCAGCCGCCGGGTGTACCGCCCGCCATCAACAGCGCAGGAGCGGCGGCAGAGCCGGGTATTGCGGTGGGGGGCCCTGTGGTTGTGGTGGTTGCGGGGGGTGGTAGTGGTCGTGAAGATGGCAGGCGCAAGTGCATGCGGAGTTAGAGGAGGAAGGCGGTGAGAAAGGGTGTTGTGGGGTGTAGGGTGTACTGATCAAGACCCACATCATCAACCGTGATCGATTTCAAAATACCCTAGGTGTGGAGCGGAAGGTGGTCGACACCGGGGTGCGACGGAGGGGGGGGAGACGAACCACGAACGAGTGAAGCTGCGACGGGGGGGGCCGCGCTCTTCACCCTGCTTCCTCCTCGCCCTGCTTTCCCTTCCCCACACACACATTAGCCCAACCTGGATTGTCATGACCCGCCCCGGCTCAACTGCAACTGCGTTCCACTCCATGCAACTGCAACTGTACATGAAACGCACGCAGGCGCGCGTCGTACTCCAGCACCGGCCCCACCCCCTACACGACAGAACAGAGCAGCCCATCCAAATGGAGGGCCGGGACCTGGAAGCCAACTCACCCTCCTCAACGCTCGCCGGTACCGCACCCGCGCCCCCAACAGCAGCAGCAGCAGCAGCAGCCGAGTAGGCGCTGTAGATGTCCAGCTCCAGGGGCGGCGCCAGGGCCGCAACCGGGACCGGCCCACCAGCCACTCCAGCTGCCTCTCCCCCGCGGTAGTGAACCACGGGTCGCAAGGCACCCAGCAAACCCGGGTCCAGGCCCGTGTTCAAGCCAGGTCGCGGCTCTGCACGTAGACGGCAGAACAAGTGCAGGCCTGGCTGTACCGCCGCCACTGAAGCACCGGCAACAGCAGCTGGCGGATCCATGTCCATTTCAGTAGCGGTGCCGCCACCGCCAGCACCTGACTGCGCCGCCGCCGTCACGGCAGCGACGGCGGCAGCGGGAGGCAGTGGCCGCACCAGCAGTATCGGCCGGTTGTTGGTCCGCACCCGGTCAATGGCGGCCTCCAGTTGTTGCAGACGCGGGTCCATGAAGCGGGTGGTGGTGGTGGTAACAGTGTTGGCGCCGCGACAGGAGGCACCCTTGGCAGCCGTACCTTCAACTATCATCGGGTCTGTCGTACACAGAGAGAGAGGGTGTGTGTATATGTGTTTCCAGGCGGGTGCAAGGGCGGCAGCAGAGTGTGCGACATATAGCCTAGGGCAGCTAGAGGTGGGTCGCAGTCAGGCTGTCTGGCGGACTCATTGGGGCATCCCTCTAGGTACGGCGGCGCCCTTTGAAATGGACAGACCAGGCTTTCACCCAGGTCGCACGAACGATGTGTCTGTAAGTCTGTTTGTCAATCCAGATGCCACACAGCCTCCTTCCCCGCCCGGGTCATGGCCAGCTGCCAACCTCGTCGGTCCCAGCCCCGTTGCTCACCCTCCGGGTCCCCACTGAGCTGCGCCCCCTCGTCCTCGGACAGGTGGTCGTCACCCACGATGAAGCCGTCGTCCTCCTCATCGCACCCCTCACCTGGGTGTCCAGGGGTGTTTGTGGGACGGGAGGGGGGAGAGGGGAGCAAATGTAACTGCAAAATCACTTCTCCAACCTCTCCCACCACGTGCGACGAGCGGCAGCGCAGCGCACCAACGCGCGGGGGACAATATCAGGCCTGGAACCAGGCACGCAGCGATACACAAAGGCGAGGGATCCGGACAACCCTCCTCATGCCGCACACCCGCCAATCACCGTGTGTGTTTGCCTCCTCACACTTTATTTTCCCCACCACCCCCTCAAACTCCCGCTCACCCGGCCCTCCCCCCGCCTGGCTGTCCGCCTCGTCCCCGCTGTCCGACAAGCTCTCCCCCTGCACAGACATACAGACACACACACGGGACCACATGGTCCGGGACATGGAGGAGGTGGAACGGGGAGGGGGAATCACATGATGGTGATGGTGGAGATGATGCAAAAACAAGCCAAGTGTCAACTCTCAACTGCTGATGCAACTGCAGAAGGGGGCACGTAGGGCGGAGGGGCAGATACAGTGATGCATCAGCGGGAGCACGCCAGATATGAAAACACACAAGCAGACGGATGGACATACAGATGGACGGACATACAGACACTCACCTCCGGTTCCTCCTCCCACTCCTCGTCACTAGCCACCTCGTAGTCCAGGGAGGGGTCCCGGCCGAAGGGCCGGCGACCCGTAACCCGGGTGCTGCGGGGTGCAAGGGAAGGTGGGACGACGGCAACCGGGAGGGAGCGAGAGGGGCATAGGAGGGGAGGCGGGTGGGCATGTATCGGAGAGAGCGGGAGGAAGGAAGAGATAGCGAGAGGGGGAGAGAGCGCGGCGGTGGGTCCCACAAGCGGAGAGGCGTCGCGAGTGGAGGGGCGGAGAGCTGTGCGAAGGACACACGACGGGACACAGTAACGCGAGCCCAAAACCAAACTAACAAACAAGCTTGCAAGCACGAGGTGCACGAAAGGCTCTTCGACCACCATTTATGATACATGTGGAGGACATTCCCGCCGTACACTAGCCTGTGCCATCCGTACACCGTACCTAGTCCTGCTGAAAGAGCCGTAGTAGGGCGGTCGGGCTGTTTCTTTCCTGGGGAAGGCGATGAGCTTGCGGCGCCAGGTCCTGAGCTCCTCGGGCGCCAGACCCAGCGCCGCCACGTCCCCGTAGTACTGCGCGGCCAGGGTGCGCAGGTCGGTGGGGGCGCCGGGGCGCCGAGCCCAGGAGGGGGGAACACCTGCAGTACAAGTACACATACATACAGGACACACATGCAGACGTGCATAGGAGTGTTTAGTAGGACAGAGCTGCATCGAGGGCTTTCCGTCCATTACAGCACAGATGCGCAGGCAAATGAACGTGCATTACTTACATACATACATAAATACGCGTACAAAAATGCTCTCGTTGTGTGAGATAGCCCGGTGACTAAAAAGGCAAGCCATCGTAAGTGAATCAAAATGATGACGTCTATACAACTTTACATGCAGACGCATACGCATGCAGCACACACATACACACACAAGCGCCTTCTCCCCCTTTCCGCACCAATCATCTTCTTCCTATTCGCCCGCTGCTGCCGCCATCTGCCGCTGTTGACTCGCAGATCCTGTGCCATCAGCTCCAGGGGAAGAGGCAGGTGGGAGGCGGCGGAGTCCATGGACTCCACCACGGCCTTATCCGGCAACCTGTGGAGGGAAGAGGGGCGCAGGGCCGGATTACACGCAACGGGGAGATGGGCAAGGAAAGGAAACCACCGGTGAACGAGACCGAATCCAAGACTAGAGGGCTAGGATGTAAAGAGTTCGGGGCGAGGCAGGGGAAGGTGGGAAATCATACAACGCAAGACGCAAGAATCGATCGCCAGACGGGAAGGGGGGGAGCAAGGGCGGGGAGCAAGTCATACACGCCCACATGGGGTACCCCCGTGTACATCGGGGCGCACCTCCCTGACCCCCCGCACCCACCGGGAAGCCAACTTGGAAAAGTCAAACAAAGTGGTGGTGGTGGTGGTGGCGGTCCTCTCCCGGAGTGGAGTAGCTACCGCGGGCTGGCAGCTACCGCCGCGACCCCCCAGTCCCCCTGGAGCCGGCAGCGGACCCCCTAGCTGGTCTCGGAGCGACTGAGAGCAGGTGGTGGAAGTACTCATGGGGGTACCGCAACCCGTACTGACACCACCGCCAGCGCCGACAGAGCCGTCTCGTCCAACTGTGTCGCCAGCCGCCGCCACGTCAGCACCACCGGAGAGACCCGTGGGTCCGCCGCCATTGGGTTTGGATAGCGCCGGTCGCTTGAAGAAAGACTGTGGGGACGGTGGGGAGGGATCATATGCAAGGAAATAATAAGAAATGAGCTGCCGGCATCCGAAAGGGGGATCAGGGGGGTAGGTGGAGTAGATGGGTAGGAAGGAGGATGAGCGATCAGGTGTGTTGGTGGGCTGTGGGATTCCGGGTAGCGGTGGCGTGAAGAAATATACTATTTGGCGGTGGTGGTGGGAAGTAAAGACGAACGAGAGCCAGGTGCCGCGTCCTCCGGTGTCAGCCCCGACCGCCATCCCTCCTACATCCCCTTCCCCTTCCCCTCTCCTCGGACTCCGCCCTCTCGTACCTCCTGGATACCGTCCTGCGCCCTCCCCCGTCCCCCCACCCCACCCCCTCACCTGCATGATGTTCCTGCTCTTCTGCAGCTCCTTGTTGCTGTGGTACCCGGCCTTGTTGGCGGCAGCCGTCTCACGAGCCAGTCGCTTGGCCTCGTCCTCCTGGACCCGCTTGGCCTGAGAAATTGGGGGAGGAGGAGGTGAGGAGAGGAGGAGGGCGCAACCATATGCAAAAGTCAAAGGAACGGCTGGGAATGGGGGGGTTGGGAGGGACAGAAGCGACAATGCTCAAAATAACCAAATGCCGAAACGTTGATTGAAAAAGCGGGAAAGTGAAGGAGGAGTTGAAGGCACCATGACATGACACGTTCGCACCCTGCCACCTCGCTGCATTCCCCCAGCTGCACCAATGCCCCACGAACCCCAGGACCCCCTCCTCCGAATTCTCCTCCATGCCTTTTCCCCCTGACACACATACATACACACACACGCCCCCACCTCCTTGGCTCTGGCCTCCTCCTCCCGCTGCCGGGCCTTCTCCTCCCTCAGTTTCTCCCGCTCCGCCTCCTGAGAGAACGAAATCAAAAGTGAAATCACCGGAATACGACTTGCCACAGCGAGCAGGGTACATAGGTTCAGATCAAGACACAGCAGGGCCGCCAGGTCGGATGGGGAGCACACGGGACATCTCAACCCATTCCGACAGAGGGAAGGCGCCCAACTGACGGACGCCCTGCTCCGCAAACACACGCCATCACCGGGCCTCACAAGCCAGGCCCCGCGCTGGACCCTTTGAATAAATCAACAATTGACGTCTTTTGCATAGAAACCCCACCTTCCCGTGTTCATTCCCCCGCATCCCCACCCCACCCCACCCGCCCACGTACCCCACCTCACCTTCCTGGCTCTCTCCTTCCTCGCCGAGGCGGTAGCGGCTCCCCCCGCTGCCGCAGCCGCACCCGCCAGCTCCTCGGAAATGGACCTGGGCGGGGGGGAGGACGCACGGCAGATGGTTGGCAGTTTGCAACCACCAACCACCATTCATGCAGGTGGATTAGGTATGATGATGTTATTGAAGGGCAAAGATACAACTTTTGAGACCAAACCGAGCCGATCAACAAGGATGCGGTGCTCTGTGGCATTGGATACCAATGCTGGGAAGAGAGAGATGTAGACATACACACAATACACAAAACGAGGCACAATCGGAGAGCCACGCCGTTGCCGGCACTTCCCCGACCCTCACCCCCACTCTCCCATCGCCCTGCACCCCTCCTGCAACCTCCACCTCTTCCTACCCCCACAACGCCTCCTCGCAACCCCCTCCCCAGCTGCCCTCCCTTCCCACCCTCCCCTGCTCTCCAGCTCCTGCCCCACCCCCCCTTACCTGTACGCCGCCTCCACCGCCTCCAGCCCCGCCAACCTGCCCAACCGGTTCAGCGCCTTGGCCGCCCGCGACTCCGCCGACCTACGAGCAGCCGCACTGGGACCCTTGGGAGCCCCCACACCTGCCGCCGGACCTGACACGGCGCCGGCCAGTGGGCCCGCACCGCCACCGCCGCCTGCCGTTGCTGCGTTATGTTGCAGAACTAGGGTATGGAAAGTGGCCAAAGCTTCCAGGGCCGCAACCACCGCTACAAGTCGCTCACGGAGCTGTGTCGCGGAAGGCAGAGGGAGTAAGGGGGCCAAGGGGATATAGATGGGACCTACATGACGCACAAGTCAGGTCAACAACTATCTCCCGATGTCCGCTTGAGGTGGTGGGTGAGGTCGAGGTGCTGAGGCGCGTTGTGGGCAGGTGGGGGGCTGTCAAGTGCTGTGAGAAGCGCATTCACGGTAATGCAGGACCCCACAGGGCAGCGCTATATCTATATTTGTATGTATATTTGTGTGCATATCTATATGCATCCATGCTACACCTTGAGAGAGCACCCCATCCCAACAGGCCCCGGAGAGGGGAGTGAGGAAGTGAGGACGGGGGACCCGTACGGAGGGTGATGCAGCAAGGCGAAAAATAACCAAGCTACTGACGCCCAAATAACCAGCTGCCGAAGGAGTGAGCCCGAGGAAGGGAAGGAGGGAGAGGGGAAAGGGTCTAATACCGGAGGAGGAGGGGACACCTCTCCCTGAGGAGCGCGGTCCGTCCGTCCGTCTCAAAAACTGGCTTGTCGAGGTTTTCGATATGTTCCTTTCCTCCTCCTCCTCCTCCTTCCCCTCCTCCTCCTCCTCCTCCTCATTCGTCCTACTTTCCATTCCCCCTTTCCCGGCCTTACCTCCTTCCTGCGCTTCCGCATGGCCTCCGCAAGCTTCCGTACTGCCGTGTCCTTCCCCCCGTCCCCCTGCAGGTGTTTACGCGGCTCCCGTACCTCCCACACCCACAACCGGCCCGGGGTGGTGTCCTCGGAGGCGGCAGCGCCCTCCAGGGGGGCTGCCAGGTAGGAGGTTGTGGGGTTTGGTGGGGAGAGAACGGGGATTGAAACAGGACATCAATCAGGACTCCGGCTTTTAAAAGTACCACCCCTCGCTATACGGACTGATGCCATCATTACATTCATCACTTCTTCCCCGTCTTCTCTACCCCTCCCCCACCCCCTCCTGTCCCCTAACCCATCTCCTCACATACGCACCTTCTGGTCACTAGGTAATGATCGTTGGTAGCAATCACGACAAGGGCCCACCTCGAAATTTCTGTGCTCACGCTGGCCGCGTTGAGGTACTGTCTATCTACGTTCTCCCTCCCCTTCCCCCTTTCGCTCACCCTCCTTGGCCGAGTAGCACTTCCTCTGCGCCAGGTCCACCAGCCAGGTCCTCAGCGCGGTGGTGTCCGTGCCGGGGGGCAGCCGGGGGACCAGCTGGCTCACCAGGGCGGACAGGGGGCAGGTGCGGCCCTCCAGCCAGGAGCATAACTGGGGGGTGGGGGTGAGAGGAGGATGTGGGCGTGGGCGGGTGTAAGGTACGAGCACACTACAGACAGAAGACAGACGCCCATCCACCTCATCTAACTGACCTGGCGCCAGGCACTTCTGGGTGAAGGTGTGAGGGGGGGGCCGCAGCAATCCAGTCACACGCTATGTTACCCTCTCCCGCCTAGAGCCCCCAATGGATGCCACAATACCTACCCTTAATGGCATTAGTCTTTACACCCTCCTCCAAACCCCCTGACCCTCTTTCTCCCCTTAGAGAGAGTTCCTTCCTTCGCCCGCACCGGCACGAAGCCCGCATCCACCACCCTCGTGCCCCCCTCCCTCGCACCCACCTGCACGGGAGTGGGCATGGACGTCGCCTGGGCCGCCTCTTCAGGTCCCGCCGCTGCTGCAGCCAGCCCTGACTCCCCCTCCGGAAGCAACATCTCAGCCTACAAACCCGGAATAGCAGCAGCATAGCGGCGACAGGAACAGCAATTGCAGTAGCCAACCCGGCGGCGGTGATGACACAGCCAGCCAACCGGCTAGTGGGAGTGCAGGTGCGGACGGGAGACCGGAGTGTAACGCGCAGAGTAACGGACCCAACGGCGCTCGCAGCCAGCGGTGGGCGGAAGGAGCTTTGGGCGGCTGTGACTCCGCTTGGACCGCGACACTGTTTGGACCCCTTATAGCGCCACTCGGAGCTCCCCCTATACGCATTTCAACCGCATGCGCTAATGGCTGCTTCAGGGTTAGAGCTATTGCCGTAGCTCTTGCATGCCAAATCCCCAAATCCCACTACACAATCCCAGTTCCGCACACGTCCTTCTTTCTTTTTCCCTCCATACCAAATCGCCCTTCTTTCTTTTTCCCTCCATACCGTAAGTTCCGTTCCTCCTGCTCATCATCCTCTTCCTGCGCCCACCTGCTACCTCGCTCCCCTGGAACTTGGCAGCATCCGCACCCACCTCCGCCCGATGCATCCCACCACCAAGCTACCTGCTACTTTTTTGATTCCCTCCACACACATACACCATACATGCACCACCATCACTACCACGACCAGCATTACTCCCGAGCACTTCCTGCAAGACTACTTTTGTTGAGCGGCGGTCTGCTCCTATAGACCATTGCCTAACCTTCCAACCTCATGCAATCTTCCTCTTCCTCCCGCCGTTCAGATTCCTCTTTGCTTGTGTATGCACTCGGGGCGTCCTTAGTCCCCAAGCCAGCCAATAACCCGTATGCTGGACTCTTGAAAAATCCCGTTCATTGCTTCGGTGATTCCGACGATATCACGACTTTTCTCCCACCAATACGGATCATCAGGTAATTTGTCTAGTTGTGAACAAATTCGTGGTCTGTTCGGAATTGGCAGCTTCTTCTTCTTCTTAAACCTGATAACCCTACATCGAGTTTCCATCCCATCCCTTTCCACCCACCCACACCTTCAGCTAGGCCGCACCCACCCGCTCACCCACTACCGCCCATCCACACGGCGTCAAAAAGCACAGCACCCCAAGGGACCCGCCACTTCCCACCCACCTCTAACGCCGCCTCCAGACCAGCCTGCTCCAGCCGTAAGGACTCCAGGGTGGCCTCAACATCCAGATCTGGAGGCAGCGCGACGGTGCCCGCAGCTCCGCCACTTTTACCAATACCGCCGCCACCACCGCCTGTAGCTAGCGCAGTTGCTCCTGCTGGTGCGGTGGGGGCAGCAGTAGCAGCGGTGGCGTTTCCTGCGGCCACGTCGCCGTTAGCGGCAGAGCCGCTGCGGTCCGCGTCCACCATGACGACATCCACAGCAATGGCTGCAACGACCTGGCCCTGCAGGCGGGTTGGGCATTGCTTCGCTCAGAATGCGACTGACGGCTGCCAAGCGTGCAACAACAAGCAAAGGTCGGCGAGTAACGTTGTGCCAGTATTGCAACGTCATGGTGTCGTGTCTGATATTGTTTGCAGCTGTCGGCGGACTGAAGGGAAAGCGGAAGGGCGGCGGGCATAAGTCCAGCAAGGCGTGGGTCCAGCAACGCCAGGCAACTCTGCCGAAGCCTCGGGCGACCGGGTGGATTTCCGATTAAACCATCCGACTAGGTAGGGATTACATAGGTATACCCGCAGGGGATTTAAAGTTGCGCGATGCCCGCGGGCTGTCGGTCCGATGCCCTTCCGCTCTCGCTCCGGGTCCGCTGTCAGCTGAACATGGCCAAGCAAAATGATGACTACAAAACGTGTTGTTCTGCTGCTAGTAACAGCCTTGAGGTGATATGTTCCCGGTTGCGTTGAACACGGTAGGTTTAAACTAGGCGCTGCGAAAGCTCTGCAGACAAGTACTCACTTCCTCGCCGATAATTTCAACATCCGAATCAGTTTCCAGGGCTGGGTGGACAGCAGTGCGCTGCTCTTCAGTCATGTTCTCGATAGGGGAGAAAACCTCGCGTGCGGCGGTGCCAACCGCAGCTTGCTCCGTCATTTTAACAAACCCTCCGCCACCACCGTCAGTGGGCTTGAAGAACTTTGTAATCCCAGTCATCTTAGGTCACGAGGCTGTTGTCCAGGAGCGCCTAAGGAAACCCCGCGCTAAAAGAGCAACATAGCCTATAAGTCAACCTGTAAATCTCATAAATCCTGTCAATGCTTAAGGTTACGTGACGGTGAAATGTGACAACGCGCAGTGTTTGGCAGCGGACTTCGCCAGCAACCCTGCCAGCAACGAAGCTACCGCGCCAAATCGGGCTGTCCGTACACCATGCAACTGAAAACTCCCAGTCCGTCTTTGGGCATGGTCCATGATCTGTTCCCTTCTATCGCTGGATATTATCCGTCTGGGCTATTCAACTAATCAGGCAGTGAATTGAAAACATGTTGGACAAATTCAAGCAGGCTGTGGGTTTGCAGGAGCAGGAGGAGAAGGGGCTCATGGGGCAAATAGATGAGGCGATGACCTTATCATGGAGAAATCGCTTGATAGGGTTCGGGTGCTGCTTTGGCTTTGGCTGTCTCTTGACCATCATATCCATTCCCATGCTGTGGACTGTGCAAATTACCAAGTTCGCTATCCTGTATTCGGTCGGCAGCGTTGTCAGCGTTATGAGCACTCTCTTCCTAATGGGTGAGCGACACCACCTGCCCTTAGGAAGGGCTCAAACCAGGACCAGCATTTCCTAACAATAAAATCTGATGAATTCGGCAGAGCCAAATGGGATGCGGTTTTACCTTTATAATTGCATCTGTAGGGCCCGTGAAGCAATGCCAGCGTATGTTTGAGGAAAAGCGCATCCTCGCTACTATCGTCTACATCGCCGCAATTGCTGGTACACTAGCTGTCGCCTTTACCACGGGAAACGCCGGGTTGTGCCTCATCATGCTGGTGATCCAATTGCTGGCCCTTATCTGGTAAGTCAAATGCCAATATCCTCCGCCCACTCGCCATACTGGGTCGTACGCGCCATCCCAGAACTTGGGTTTGCTAATACATACGAGACACAGGCGACATGGAGCAGTGTAGCCACTCGTCAAGGGGGAGAACCCGAACGCAGCCGAATCTAGAGCGAAATGTAGCAGGGAGGGCCGGGGAAGTGGGCTGACCTCGGAGGGCAAGCACTGATGGGGCAGCCACCACCCTGTCACCAACAGCCGCACCCTCTAGTACCCTGACCCGCCCGCGCTGCGCCGTGCACCCCCTAACGTCCCCACGGTCTAAGTCGGCGATCTTTCTTATGCCCCTCCCACATGCTGATGTAGCCGTGTCTCGCTTAGTCCAGGTCCACCCATGCGTGTTCCCCCCCAGCTATCAACTCCGGCTGGGCGGACCTCTCCCACGCTGCATCCCACCCCAGCCCGCCCCGCGCCCTCGTTTCAGAGACAAGCGAACAAATACACATACACGCTCTTCTTATGAGCACACCTGCTGGGTGGTTTTGCCTCCAGGTACTGCGTCACCTGGATACCGGGAGGGCAGGCGGCTCTCAAGAGCATCATCTTCCGCAGCGGCTGAGGCTCCTGGGGACCTGGGGACTACCAGGGCGCAGATGTAATGGTGGATGGAAAGTGGCGAGGCAGCAGCACCAGCAACACCAGCACAGGCGACGAATTGTTGGAAATGGTGACGGCACCCCAAACCCACCATATTGCGATGGGGGGTGAAATAGCTGCAGGGGGGGACATCGCCCAACGCGGTAATGTTGTTTGGGCAGCAGCTGCAGGACTTGGAGCGTAGCGAGGAAGCGTCGCTTTCTTTGTGCTGCAGCGGAGATTAGCTAAGCATTTTGGCCACCACTGCCGCCTCGCCACTGCCAGCATCACTGCGTGCCGTTAACATCACCCACCCACCCGCCTTAGGTGGCGCCTGTTAGGTGATATGGCCTCGAGCACATCCATCGATCTGGCAGTTCAATATGCACCCCCGGGTGACATACCCGGCTGGCTGGGGCCCGGCTGGGTTGCGGTGGTTCTGCTACAAGGGATGCGCCCGTATACAAGGGTTGCGCCCGTATCCATGGATGCGTCAATTTAATTCGTTGATCAGCGTGATGTGATGTGACGGAGCCTGTTGTGAAGGCTGAGAGATGCTGCTTATGCTGCCGCTGATCATGCGGGGTTGGCTCAACGTGACCAGGCAATGCGTGTCTGTCTGTGTTTCTAAGTACAAACTCCAAGGACGGTGCTTGTTGGCCCCTCCGTGATCGACCCAAATCCCCCAACCCTGGTTGTGAGAGCAGCTGGGTGCGGGGAGAACGATCAGTGGCCTGATTTGGTCAGATGACTGTGATAATGATGATGACGGTCAGAGAGAGAAGGGGGAGCTATAGGATATGAGCACAGACCTGTGATACCCACATGACCGAGGGACGGCCGTTGCCCCATTGTACATTTGCAACCTCCATGTCACAACAGCGGGTGTGGGTGTGGGGGGTTGCACGTTGCAATTTCCCGTGAGCTGGCTAATTTGACCCTCTGACCGACTGACTGGGTTTGTTCGTGTTGACATACATACAGAGCGTGCGAATCCACCGAGGTGGTGTGCATGGCACCACTGCGCAGCAGTGCCCATTCCCAACAAGACATATATACATGCATACATACATAAGTTCATATTTGTGTGTGCACACGCATGCCATTACCACTGTCATCCCACCTACTTCAGGGGCGCCGCCGCCCCTGCCTTGTTTCCCCACCCACACCACCAACCACACCCTGCCGGGATCATCCGACACCGACGTGAACACGCTCGTCATGGCGTGTCTTCCGCCGCAACCATGCAAGTAATTCATGTTTATGCATGATGAGTATTTACAATTGGCCTAAGAATGTAGAAGGCGGCAACGTAACCGCACTGCTCGTGGAACAGACGCCAAATTACGATGGCCTAGCCCCAGCTCTCGAAATGATGCCGGTGGTGCTGCGCGGTGTGCACACAGCTGCCCCGAGCGCCGAGCCGGTACAGATTATTGTCTGTTGCCGTACAGTACACATCGCGTATTTCGCTTCCTTTGGCGCAGGCTTAAATGGTCGATTTGCGGTGCCGATGCAGCAGCCTCGATACACATCATCAGATCTTCCACGTTGCCTTGAGCGGTAAACAGCTCCTAGCATCGCCATTATCGAGATAGCCATCGATGATCACAAAGTACGATAATCGGTCCCCTTAGTCTGCTGTGGTAGAGAGGACACGTGCACCGAGGACATGCACATGTTCCGTTGAAAAAAGAGAGCTCAGAACGGCTGATGGCGTGACGGGCCTCTCGGCGTATCGTAGCAAATTGCCGGGAAGTCCCCGGGAGCCGACCAGCGGCCCCTAGGTACCCTTTTTCCCCCCTCCCCCCTGCTGCCGCCCCCACCCGTCAGTCAGCACTTTGCGGCTGCGACATCCCCACCGGCTGGGTCCCGGCACCCCCCGCGGAACGCCCCGACAGATAGCGAGCTAGTCTCTGCTGCCGGTTCGCCAACACTGGCGGAGCCGCGAGTGGGTCGGCTGCTGGCTTCCGCCTCGCAGCCGCCCATTTGTGGCTCTTCGCCCGTTCGCAATTTGATTCCAAACCCGGCAGCGGTGCCGCCGGCCCCATCGGCGGCAGCGGCGCGACTGATGCCGTTGTTGCTACAGCAGCTGATGCTGTTGCATCGCCCGAGTCGCAATGACGCCCAGCTGCAGCGGCCCCTTTCGAATGCCAGGCCTGGCGCCGCCGTGACCCGGACCCACCGCCGCCACCAGTGACCCACGGGTCATTGCGGCCGCCACTCGGTGGCTCTTGTAGGCCCAGGTAGCTAGGTCCCAGGGAGAACTGCTGCAGCTGCTCCTCCAGCGGCCCTAAACCCAACGGGTCGTCCTCGTTGCAGCAGACATCCCGCCCGCCGCCGCCGCCGTGACCGCCGGAGGAGATGGGACCCCCGCGGCCGCCGCGGGGGTCCCGAGCCCTCGCATCGCTTCCCCCCGATACGACATCCCCATTCAATAAGTCGGCAACGTTATCGGCGGGCACCGCTGCCGTACCCTTCTCAGCGACGGTTTCGGAAGCGCCGCCGCATGCGGCGGCTTGGCTGCTGTACGACGCTCGCTCCGTGGGTACACCGCCGGTGGCGGCGCCGCTGCCACTGCTACTTGCGCTGCCTGCCCTGTTCCCCACCGACCTCGCCATCTGCACCTCCGCCAGCCAGCCCTGCACCTTGGCCCACTTCTGGCTGCGGTGCTGCAGTGCCGTTCGCTGCTCGGCCGCCTCCAACTGCAGTCGCCGCCACTCCGCCAGCACGCGGCGGGCGGTGCGGCGGCCCAGCGCCACCTCCAGCTCGTGCTGCCGCTGCAGCTCCCACAGCAGCCGCTCACTCGCCTGAGGAGGAGGTGGCGGTAGCGGCGGCGGCGGCAATGGCAACGCCGGGATGGTGGCGGCGGGAATGACACACACATACAGACATGCACAAACCGGCGTTGCGACGATGATAATACATCGGGACGGGAGGGCGGTGAGGGTGGTGGCGGCAGTGATGAGCCACCGCCATTGCGGCCCGTGAAGCCAGCACAGGTCAGCGGACTCCTTCCCCCCCACAGGAGTGAAGCCCTTAGCACCCCCCTGCGACCTCCCCTGCGCTCCTTACCCCCCCAGCTGCTGTTCGGAATCACCTGCTTTACCTGTCCTCCCGCCTGCATACACGCACATAACACATACATACATACGTACATACATACGACATGCAATCATAAACCCTAAGCCCACACGTACCTGCCGCTCCGCAGCCACCCGCCAGCCCTGGAGGCAGCTCCACACTCGCCGCCGCCAGCAGTGCTCGACAGCATCCGCCTGGGCGGCCCAGCTCGCCCGGGCGGCCCGCATAAGGCCCAACAACACCCGCTGATGCACATGGCGTCGGTGAAGCGACGCGGCTCGGACCCAGGCGATCAGCCGACCCAGTACGGCACGGGCCACACGCTCCTGCACGACACGATGCGACGTATGGTAGTACAGCACAGCGATGGTTAGACCCACACGACAGGGGGGGTACAGAGGGCTTCGGAGCGGAGAGGTAGGTAGTACAGCCTCCAAGTAACGCACAGGGGCCTGGGGTTGGGTTAACTGGACAGATGTGAATGCCGTGTGGTGGGGTGAAGCAGCCGTCGTCTCCGGGTTGGGAGTGGGGCCCGGTCCACATGCCAACTACCGTTTCAGCTTCTCATCTATGTGGTACTCCTTTTTCATCTTACCTCACCTCACCTCGCTACACACAGCGCAGCGAACATCCCACCACCCGCACCCACACCCGCGCTCTGACCTGTGTGTGTATGTGTGTATGCATGTGTGTGTGTCTCACTCACCCGGTAACGACAGCGGCCCACCGCCACGGCGGCGGCGACTCGGCTGATGATCCCCAGTCGGGCTCGGGCCGGGCCGCGAGCCAAAGCCTGGTGCACAGGGAGGGTGGGGTGAAAGGCAGGAAGTGCCGTACTTAAATATGCTGTTCACGAGCACCCAGGGTCGAGGACCGCGCTATGCATGAGAGGGTACAGCGAGGGGGGGGGGGGCAGACCTCTCACACCGCGGTTCGCACCGGTCTGGAGGTTGGGTTGGTGCGATACGGTGAGGCGGGTGATGCATGCAAAAGGGAAACAACAGCCCGCCTCCAAAGCACCAACTGCGGTGGGGCGTGTTCCGGTGCTGTTCTGTTCGAGGTGCGCACGAGGGGCCGCCCTCGCGCCACCTGCCACCACCTCGCGTCTCACCAGCAGCGCCCGCCGCAGCAGCCCCGCAGAGAAGTGCCGTAGCGCCGTGAGCGCCGCCCGCCTCGCCAGAGCCGCCAACTGGATCCAGGGCTGAAGGCCGTACCTGCCCACACGGGGGGTGAGGGGGTCGGAAGCCGTCAGGCAGGGAAGGCAAGGCAAGGTGCACGAAACCGGTACGTCTTCACTAGGACCCCAGGGACCCTAGCGACTCGGCGAATCTTGATCTCCACAGCATCACACACACACACACACACATGCAACTGCCGCCGACTTCAAAGCCATCAGGTTAGGGGGTCAATACACACACACACACACACACACACACACACCCCACAGTGCCGCATGTGCTCAATCAGTACACCCGCAAGAACCCTCCCCATGCATCTATCGCGCCGTCGTCGCCACACACGAATGCACACAGACAGACATACAGACATACATAAGAAAGGAAAGGGTGACTAGATGTTGGCTCCATCGACCCCCCTCCCCCTTCCCCAACCCCCTCTCAGCACTCCGCTTCCTCTCCTCCTCCCCCCGCGGCTCGCTCTCAACCCCCTGAAACCGTAAGGCCCCCCTAACCCCCACCACCGACACCATCATACCACTTTAATGTCCCCCGGCGGCAATGCACCACCGCCAGCTGGGTCATGTGGGCGACCAGCTCCGAAGCCACACGACGAGCACGATCATCAGCCGCACGCCGCTTCCGAATCTCCGCGGCTCGCAACCGCTCCAAGTCAACCGCCGTCAAGCCACCCGCCAAACTGGGCCCTACGCCGCCGACGGCGAGGGCAACCGCGGTATTGGAAGTGGGCCGGCTGCGGTTGCACGGCAGCGATGGTGCGGTGAGCGATGGGCGGGTGGCGCCGCTTATGCCGCCGGTGGTGACTGTGGTGCTGCGGCGGCCTGCCCTGTCCGCGGAAGGGCCCCGCGGGAGGGGCGGCGAGGCGGCGGGAGGTGTGTCGGTGTCCGCTGCGGCCTGTGGTCCCACCGCCCACCCACCACGCGGGAGCTGCTGTCGCCCTCGGTCGTCTTCAGAGACAGCCTCCGAGTCCGCAGATCCAGGAGCAGCCGGTTCCTCTTCCTCCCGTACATGCTGCTGGTCGACCCCTGGGTCCCCTACTGCCGCCACCGCCAGCGGCCGCATGTCCTCCTCCTCCTCCTGCTCCCCCACCCCCCCCTCCCCCTCCTGCTGCTGCCGCTGGCTCCCACCAAGAGCCCCGGCTCCCTCCTCCCTATCGGACCACTCGGAGCTCGCCGAGGAGGGGAAAGTTTCCAACAAACCTCCGAAACCAACCGCCGCGGCAGCAGAAGCAGTAGTCGCTACTGCCTGTCCCCGCACCGTGTTCCGCGGCGCCGCATCCCGCCGAGGGCCCCCCCCGCCCGGCCCCGGCTCAAGCTGCCAAGCGCCCACAGCCCGCTGGCCCCCCTCAGTCAGGAGGACAGACGCACCCACCGCCGGCGGCACCCCACCGCACGGCCCTGCGCCGGCCGCCGCCGCCGCCTCCACCACCATCACGCGCTGCTGGTGCCGCTGCCGTACCACCTGCCGCAACGTCTCGAGTGCCGTGTCCGTACCCTGGCTATCGCATCCGCCCCCGCCACAGCTGCGACCTCTTCGGCCCACTGCACCGCACTCGGCGGCCCAGACCGGCGCCACCGCCGCGGGCGCCATTGTTGGCCCGTGAGGAGCAGCGGCGGCGACGGTCGTGACCCATGGGTCGTTGGCGGCCGCCGGCGGTACTGCCACACCCTTCACCAGGTGTCGAGTCCCCGCGCAAGCCGCTAATACCTGATCTCGGCGGCAGCGCGCACGCACACTGGTGGACAACTGAAACGGCAGCGGCACCGTCACGCGTGATCCGCTACAGCCGGGTGGAAGCGGCGGCTGTGGCGGCGCCGCTGCAGCAGCAACCGAGCCTTTGGAGGCAGCACCTCCGCCAGCACCGCGGCGACCGCGCATTACCTCCGGGCGAATCCAATGGTTGAGGCCAGGGAAGGGCCGGCTAGCCGTGGGCGCTGCCGCCGCCGCTGCGGGTTGTACGGCGTGTCCGCCATTGTCGTCACCGCCGCTAGAGGCGCCGCCATATCCGTCGCTGCCTAGGCCGGCGGCAGAAGCAGCAGCGCATGAGGCGCCAGCGCCTGCCGCCGCCGCCACCGGGCCCCGGAACGCCTCCCGTTGACTCCGCAGGCGGTTCAGTAAGGCAGCTACTGCCGCGCTGCGGCGCTGTTGCGTCGTATGCGGTGCCAGATGCTGCTGCACTACCTGGCCGCCGGAGGCAGTGGCCGCGGCGGCGGTAGCGCTGCCGCCACCGCCCGCCACGAGGCGCGCAGTGGCCTGCGCTCTTGCCGCCGTCCTCCACACGCGCATGTGGGAGTGGAGCAGCCACAGTCTGCGGAAGCGGTCCGCGGTGGCCTTCCTGAGGGCCGCCGCCTGGGGGGTGGCGGAGGCCGGGAGGGGGAGGGGAGAGGTCTCAGCCAGCGGAGATGTTTAGGGTTTTAGGGTTTGGATGAAGACGACGGTGCAGGCCATGTGGGACACACACATACACCCACCCACGAACCACCCCCGGTCACCCCACCTGTCGCTCCCGACTCAGTTCCCCGGCCACTACTGCCTGGCGGCGGCGCGCCTCCAAGCCAGCTGTAGCCGCACGCCGCCAGGCGACAAGGCTGTAGTGCAACAGCCACAGCCGCCGGAAGCGGTGCGCCACCTGCGTGAAGGTGGAGGGATGGGAATGCATGTCCGGTGGGTTTAGGACCCCTGGGGTGGTTGCCCCGCACTGCCCTGTCGGCCCTGGCCCTTCTTGCCACGTGTAGCAGCCGGCACACAGTACGGTGCTATAAATACGCGCAGAGCGCGACCGCCAGCAACTCGAGAGACCTTTTCGGCGGTCAGCTGCTACATTTGGTATCGAGACCTCGTGAAAATTCACGATCCTGAAGTCGTCGGTTCAACCCCCACCGATCACGTTCGAGTGGTATTCGGGTGTGGCGACTCAAAGAGCGAATATCGCACAAATTATAAAAGTAGCTGAACTGACTGGACTGTCTCTGTGCCTGAAAAATCTGAAGACGGCTAGGCGCATGTGAGCCGGCACATGACGTGACGTGGAGTAATTACCCACTGCCCGAGGGTAGGCGAAGGTAGGCACAGGCTGGCGGTATACGAGGCTCTAAGGGCCCGGGACGGTTCCCTTCAAAGGGGGGGGAATGTAGCAGCCGGCACACAGTACGGTGCTATAAATACGCGCAGAGCGCGACCGCCAGCAACTCGAGAGACCTTTTCGGCGGTCAGCTGCTACACCACGTGCGCACGCCGCGCAGGCACCACTGTCGTACATGCCCCAGCCGCCGTACCTGCTCCCACCGCGCCTCCGCCGCCAGCTCCAACGCTTCTGCCGCCAGCCGCTCCGCGCGCGCTGCCCGGGCCGCCGTACGCCAGGCAGCGAAGTAGCGCCGTAGCCTGCGCGCGCCCGTTCATGAGGGTCCACGATCACGAGTACGGCAGGCAGTTGGCAAGCGGTTGGTGCGAAACAACGGGACTCAGAGAACAAGTACATCAAATCACAACGAGGGCAACCACTGCGCGCACGCAGCCGCCCCTCCGGGAGGTGTCCGGGCTCATCAGGACATCAGGACAGGATGACAGCCCTGCTGTGCCTCCGGGGGCGGCATCGGCATCGGCACGGGCGGAACGGGACACAAAAACACACCCCTACCCCCACCACCCCCACATACACGAGGCACAGCCCCTTCGCCATGCTCCGACCAGCCAAACCAACGAGATGGATCCGTCCTGCGATGCCGTTTTTTCGGACCGTCGCCGTCGCGACGACGCGGTCGATTGTACGGCACACCACGTGCGTACGACATGCATCTGCCGACATAGCTGCCGCCCTCGTGGTGCGGTTCGAGTGACAGACCTGAAGGGCAACATGGATCACCTACCTGGACGTGTTCAACCCCGCCGCCAGCTCGTCCGTCTCCCGACGGGACCACCTGGCGGCCGTACGCCACAACCGCAGGTAAAGTACGACACGCGCAAGCTGTGCCGCCCGTTCTTCCACCGCCGCAATGGCTGCCTCCGCTGCCTCCGCCGCTTCCCGCCGCTTCCGCTGCTGCTCGGCCTGCTGCGCCTCCTCACTCGAAGCCTGCCGGGCGGCCGCCATAAGGCCCTGCATCGCAACCTGCAGCTCTAGTTCCGGAGCGGCGGTGACGGCGGCGGCGGCGGCTGCTCTGCCGCTGCTTTCGGCCTTTCCGGCGGCGGCAGCGGCTGCTAGCGCCGCCGCCGCTGCGACGTGCTGCGCTGGTGGCGGCTCCAGTAGTGCGTAGGAGTGTACGAGCGGGCCCGTTGCCGCTGCCGCCGTCGCTCCTGGCAGCCCCAGGCCAAGTCGTACGGATGACGTCAGGCGGTTCACGAGCCCCCGGGCTACCTCCTCAAAGCTGCCAGGATTGGAATCATGATCACAAACCTGATCAACACCCAACCGAGACGCCACGTGCGTGTTGCCGTACATGGCTGTCGCTCGGTGTACAACGACAGGGGCGTTACAAAGCTGTCCCGTTGCCAGGAAGCGCTCTGCCGCCGCGAGGGCACCGCTCGCGGGTGATGCCACCGCCGGTACGACAGCGTGTGTGGCGCCGTCACCCCCACCGCCACCGCCGCGGTACTGCTTGTGCACCCGCAGCTGCTGCTCGGCCTGCTGGAGGGCCGCTACCGCCCGCTCGTACGGCGATGCTGACGTGGCGGTTGTCACGTCAGCATCCAGATGTCCACTTGCCGGTTGGTAGCGGCGGTTCGCACTGTTGTAGCGGGCAGCGGCCGACACCGTTGACGGCCGCGACGGTGCAGCGAGCCGCCTCACCGCCGAGCCAGGTACGTGTGCGTGCGCATACCCCGTGTCGGCGTCTGTGCTGCACGATCTCAAAGGTGAATGACGTGTCTCCGTTCTGTCGTACTGATCCCGCTTCGGCTCAATCCTTGAACCTGCTTGCTCAGTAGGCGCTCGTGGAGAAGCGTGCTTCTGCCTCAATGCCGGGCTGCCGTACTGTACGGCTCCCGCTCCCCGCTGGCCTATGGGGCTGGAAGCTTGGTCGCTCGGCGTTGCGTTGGGCGAGTGGGTTGGTTTGGCGGCCGCCGGGCTGAGGCCAGTGGTGGGGACCTCGGCGTTCATGCGTTTTACAAGCAGCTGCCAGCGACTGGGTTGATCATCACCCGCCGTGTCAGTGTCCGGATCATTCGCTTCGCTGGAGACCATTTGGCTGCTACCACATGGCTGCGTTGGCGCACCGCTATCATGCGCTGCAGCGGGCCTTGGCGATGCTGAAGATGTGGCTCCCGGCAAAGCAGCCGCGAAGCTCATAGCAGGGGCTGGTCCCTCAAGGTTCATTGTTACTGGTTGCGTGAAATTGTCCAGCCACTGTGCGGCGAGTAGTCCGGAGCTGCCGAGATTACTCCGAACTGCTGGAACATGTGCTGATGCGGCCTCCGAAAGCGATATTGTTACAGGGCCCGTGACCGCATCGGACTGCCGAAAGCTAGCGGCGTAACCAGCATCGGCCTCCAACCCGAAGAATGTGTCATCACTTGACCGGTTGGCGCTGAAGCCGTCGAGTTGCGCGTCATGTCCGATGGAATGCTCGGGTAAGCAGTGCGCTGGCGATCGCTGCCTGGAAAGACGTACTTCCGCCACAAGCTTTTTTGCTGATAATCAAACGTTGAAATTTGGGAGCAAGCGATTGAGGCGTTCAACTGTGGAGGTCTTGCAATGCTATAGCTAATGGCTGTCACTCCTGCAAGACCGTGGTGTTCTAGGTCCTGAAACAGTTACCCACATACCTTCTTGGAACACGGCCGCAGCATCAGCAACGGGATTCCGCCTTGGCATTTTGTCAAAGCTCTGTCACCTGCCGTGCCTCTTACCCAAGAAAAACTCAGCAAGCTAGCACATGATAAATAACATGATAACAATTAGATATTCCGAGATTCCCGATCCAATCCTTGAACCTGCTTGCTCAGGGCTATGGCTACTGCCGTCACATAGTCTAATTTGTATTTGGTTAGCGAATGCACAATATTATAAGGTATTTCTATTTCTAAGCTTGTTTGCAACTTAGGTTGCGTTCGTGTCCTGCCTTTCTTTCGTCAATCCTGGGCCCTCAGGACTATTGGTACGGAACGTCTAGCATCGTGTGCGATGTGAAATAGTTTGCCCCATTTACACATATTCCATACTATGCAGTTGAGGCATAATCTCGTAGCAATTCTCACAGGCATGTCGAGGAATGTTGCGGTGCCGACAGGCTGCTCTTAACACAAATGCCCCAAAGTAGCTTACTGTCATATCAGACGCCATGGGTGGCGATGAGCTGCGAGGCTTAAGTTTTCTGACGCGCACTGGCGAGACGGTGCGTTTGCATGACTGCATTTGCTGGCGCCATTTGGAGGGCCGGCCCTGCCGCACAGCCCAGGATTGCCAGGTAGCACAGTCTGTAGACGTCGTCATCATTCCCGTGCCGCCATCAGGCTACAGCAACAGCAAGCGCGCCCGCAAGTGCGGCGTCCCCACCCAAGCCGCCAATCCCACCACATCCACTGCCGCACCCTCGGCGGCAATCATCAAGACAGGTGTTGACTGCTCCGGCTCAGGAACCACCACCACCACCGTCACCGTCAGCGTTGACCGCGATGCGCTGCTGCGCTGGTGCGCCGCAGCGCGGGAGGCCCTGGAGGCCGGCGGGCTGCGTGTCACCGTGGACGACTGCCCCCGCCAAACTCCTGGTGCCAAGTTCCACACCTGGGAGCACCGCGGCGTGGCGTTACGCGTCGAGGTGGGAGTCCGCGAGGTCGCTACAGGCACCACCTGCCTGGCGTTGCACCCCCGCTTGGCGCACATGATGCCGCTGGCAAATCGCACCGCTGGCCTGGTGGCGCAGCCGCCGCCATCGGATCACGACGGCGCCTTGGAAGGTTCAGCTCCAGGGAGCCCGCCCGGCGGCGTTTCTTCGGTGGCGGCGGCTGCAGCAGCAGTTGGAGACGGGTGCGGTCGCGGCGGCAGGTCCGCCAGTCTGCGGCTGGGGGCCCTGAGCCCCGAGGCGCTGGTGGCTACTTGCCGCGCGGTGGTGGCGGCGGAGCGGAGCAACCAGAACGTTGGCACAAGTGCCCATGCTACAGCTCCTATAGCAGCAGCAGTTGAGCCGCCATCGGTGGCGTCTGGCTGTAGCAGCAACGGCAGTGGTGCGATGACGATGGCAGCGGCGGTGGGGGGTTCCCCGCGCTCGCAGTGGTGGTGCAGGAAGCTGCACCTGTGGCCGGAGCTGTTGGCGACCACCTGGGGGGGGGACACCGCGGTGCTAGTGGCCGCGATGCTAGCGGAGCTGACGGCCGCCGCCACTGCCGCTAATGCTGTACAGCAAGCTGATTGCGATGGCAGCGGCGCCGGCGGTGCCGGCGCGGCGGGGGACTTGCAAGCGGGCGCCACCGAGCCCGGCCCTGGTCAGCGGCCTTGCGTCGCACATTTGCGGCACTTGCTACAGCTCGGCCGGCGCTGCTACTGCGGCCGTGGTCATTACAGCTTGCTTCAGTTGCAACAAGAGGTGGAGCGGCGGTTCATTGGAAACTGCGACCATCATCATCAGCAGCAGCAGCAGGCACTGGCGCTCACATGGATTGCGCCACCGTCGCTGCCGCCGGGTCATGCAGGTTCCCGAAGGCAACAAAAAGGCGCTGGCTCGGCGGCAGGAGGGCGGGAGCGGCATCATCACCAGCAGCAGCAGCAGGAGAGGCAAAAGCCAACGGAACCGGTGTCACTGGGGCCCCTGACGGCCCACGTCCAGGGAGCACGCGGGCAATCGGACTTGAGAAATCCCGAACTGTCCGAAGATGTACTTGGGGGGGCTGCCTCCAGGAGGACCGTCGCTGACGGCGGCCATTGCGGCGCTTCCGCCGCAGCGACGGCGGCGACGGTGGTGGCGGCGGAGCTCGGGGACGGCGACTTTGACCGTCGCAGTGACGGCAGCGACGAGGGCGGTGACGAGGGCGGCGGCGGCAACGCTGACCGAATCGTACTGCTAGTGGGGAACATCCCACCAGCCGTGAAGGCGACGGCAGTGCAGGCTGCTCTTGCGGCGGCCTTTGCGCCCTACGGCTGCTGCGGAGGTGAGAGCCATCTCGCCGGGCCTGGCTGGGCTAGGTTCCGGCAGGGCGGCCGACCTCCCCCATCCCCGCTGTGTGTTGGGGGGGAGCGGGAGAGGGGGGAGGGGAGGACACCGCGGGGTCAACCCCCCCGGCCTCTGGCCCTCTGTCCCCCACCTCCCCCCTCGACTGGGTGCAGGAGCCGCCGCCGCCGAGTTCCCACCCCCCTCGTGAGCAGCTCACGCTCTGACACGTGAATGCGACAAAACTGTACCTCCTAACGGTACCTCCAACTGTTACTAACCACCGCATCCCCGACCCCGACCTAATTCCCGTTTCCACAGTGGCGGTGTCACGTACTCGGCAAGGAGGCTCCCACGGCTGGGCCCGGGTCTTCCTAGCGGCCCCTTCCTCGCCCCCCTCCCCCCCTTCCTGCGGCCCGGGGGCGGCTGTGGCGGCACTGGACGGCAGGCTGGTGAGTCCGTACTCCGCGTAGGGCCCATACCGGGACACGCTGCCATGTGCCAGGGTCCCCCGCATGGGGAGGCCTTCCGTACACTCACATCCTGTGCGCTGCCCTGCACCTCCAGTTCATGACCACTATGTCTGACGTGTTCTCTGACTCGTATGCACTACGTCTCACCACTCTGCCCCTCCGGCACCCCCTCACAACACAACAGCTTTTTTACTTACCGTTTTTCACAACACGTTTCCTACACGACCCAGTGGCCCCGGCCCCTCCCGCCGCCGACCACTACTCGCGTGCTGAACGCAGCGCCTCGGTGGCGCGGCCCTAACGGTGTCGTACTCCAGCGGCCGCCTAGACACCATCTTTCCGTACCTGCCGTACACTGTACGGTCGGCGATGCGCGTGGATAGTACGGCAGCTTTCTCCGCTACCGACCAGGCGACAGCGGACAAGATGACGGATGTGCTGGCGGGGCTGGCGGAGCGGCTGCTGCTGCCGTCACCACTGTCACCGTCATCGCCGCCGCTGCTACTTCCCCTGACTTTGACCGATGGTACGGCATGTTGTGGCGGTAACACGCTGTCATTCGCCCGGCGCTTCCAGCGGGTAGTGGCGGTGGAGCTCGACCCGGATCGAGCGGCAGATTTGCGGTGCGTGAGGTGGGGCGTTCGAAACTGGTGATGACCGAATAAAAGCGGAAATACAAAGGGAGGGATATATTGGAAGAGTCTCTCTCCTATATATTGGGAGAGAGACGGCAGCACTTCGCAAGCTAGCGCGGCTGAGCTGGTCGGGGGTTGCGCACGGTGAGGTGATGCGATGGACATGCGCACAACTGTCCGTGGCAGCAGCCGGGGGAGTTGCGAGCCGCGTGCTCTCCTGCCTTGTCCCCTCCCGAGGAGTTCCCAACCACTGCTTCCCTCCCCCACGTCAGACACAACACGGCCCTGGTGCAAGCCTGGGACGCCTTCCGCCGCGGCCAGCACCCCGCCGCTGCGGCCGCAGCCGCCCGGCCGCCCACGGAGGCCGCGGAAGGCCCCTCCGGCGACCAGGTGCGGCAGCTGCCGGGTGTTACAGACCCGGCCGGCGTATCGGCGCCGCCGCCGCCGGGCGTCCGCTGTGTCACAGCAACGGCTCCGGGGCCTCCAGCCGGTGGTGCCCTTCCCTCGCGGCCCCTCGGGGTCATCGAGGTGTTGTGGGGGGACTATTCGCGGGCGGCAAAGTCGCTGCGGCAGGACGTCGTGTTTCTGGATCCGCCGTGGGGAGGTCCGCAGTACGGCAAAAGCAACAGTAGTAGCAGCAGCAGCAGCACCTGCGCCCAGGTGTCGGTGCCAAAGGCGGCAAGTCGCCAGGCTGCTGCAGGCGTCGGCAGGGAGGTGCTGCTGGAATACGGCGACACTGCGTTCATGCTAGGGCAGAAGCCGCTGTCGTACTTGGTTACGGAGCTGCTGGTGGGGGGCAGTGCTGGGATGGTGGCGCTGAAGCTGCCCAGCAGGTTATGCGGAGAGCTGCGGTCGATGCAGTGGAGGGTACGGCAGCTGGTGGCGGCGAGGCTGAGGGAAGCGGGCGATGGCGCGCGCGGTGATGATGATGATGATGATGGTGTTGGTGGTCCTGACGCTGTCACCGCTCCTCCTGCCGGCCGACTGCTTTGTGGTGCGGAGGTTACCCTGGGCCGGTCCGCACTGGTGGTATTTTTGTTAGTGCCGTACCGTCGTACGTATCTCGTGCATGAGGACCGTGGGGAAGTCGCGCTGGCAATGCAGCCCGAGGGAGCCGACGGTGACGGCAGAGGACAAGCTGGTGGCGGGGACGGTGGTGAAGAGGCGACGGAAGGAGGGTCAGCTCCGGATGGGGGTGAGCGGGGAGGTGGCGATGCCCGTGCCGACCAAGACCCCGCGGTGGCAGCTTCCTCGCATTGCAAGGCGTGCCCTGGTTTGGCGCCCGCCTTCCGGTCGGTTTTGAAGCAGCTCTGCTCTGGTCTTGGGCTACCGTACAGGCTGCTGTATGACTGAGCGCGTGCCGGTGTTTCATAGCAGGTTTACAGGCACCAGGCTTGAGCAGTTAGCGGACTGTACGGACATGGTGACATAATATGCTTTAATGCCGGATTGGTTATACGGTACAGCTGCGTGGGTGCTGCTGACAGTGCTGGTGCCACGAGCGCCCTTCCACACCGAGCGGCCAATTTCCCCCCGAGCATATGCGCTCGTGTAACTTCTAATCGAACTAATTGCAAGTAATAAAACATTTCTCCCAAGAACGACACGGTGTTAGGGTAATTTTCAACAATGTTTCCCGCGAGACAGGCCAGGTCTATTATGAGCCTCCTCCACCGGGTACCACCTGAACAGATATGCTTGGAAAATACGCAGCTGGGGGCTATTAAGGCACCACACACCAGCACTTGGCTCTCAGCACCCCACCGTCACAACAACCACAGCAGCAGCACTAACCGTCACAACGCCGTACGCACAGAAAAGCAAGAGAAGAGAGGGCACACATTGCTCCCTATGAGGAACGAACGTAGCGGTTCCGGACGTCGCCTTTTTCTTCGCGGGCAGATAACCCGCAGTACAGCTACAAAAACAGGTCACCGGACCCTAGCCGCCGCCCTCGGCTGGTGGGGCCAGCTAATCACAGCACAGCGCCCCAGACACGACCGTCGTCAGCAAACGCAGCTCGTAATCCTAGTTTACAAAACCCAGCAAACCAATGAGTGGGCAGCAACTCATCAAACCGTAGGTAGGTAGGCGTGGGGATACAGCCAAATTCATGCAAGTGATATGCAGTGTGTAATGTGGAACGTCCTTTTGTTCAACAGAATGTAACCGGTCAGCCACCACCAGGTGGGGCGCTGCATCGAAACTTGGACAAACCCCTAAGTCAATCAGTGGGTGCCGAGGGACCTCGGCAAAAGGCCACGACGACGGCAGACGCGGCTGAATGGGGCTGCGCCTCGTGCAGGTTAAGAATGCGACGGTTAAAATTTACGGCAGTCACACAGCAACATGCGTTGGTTGTAGCGCCAGTAGACAAGGGCCGGAAGCGTCCACCCATGCCTAATAGCCCCCTTAGCCACATGCACAACAGCACGAGCTCAAAACCACACAGGCGAACGACAACTCCGAACCGAACAACGCCCGGACGGCCCCTTAACGCTTGCAACGCACACAGCCCCTGCCCTGATGTGCCCTGATGCAGGGGGAAATGGGCAGGGGACCACAGACGCCCAAAGCGATAGATGCGCGGACAGAATGGCGGTACGAGGATGCGCGGCGACAGGTGCAGCGGAAGTGAGCTGAGCTTCCCAGCGCAACTCGGGCAGTATTACCTTGGGCATTGTTGCTGTCCTGAGTAGTGGCTGCGATGGCGGGGCATGGTGGCTACTGCTGTGCAGCTGCCCTTCCTCCCGCTTGCCACGGCACTGTTGTTGCGAACCAACCGACCAACTAATACAAATGCATAGCCATACAAACTCCAGAGCACACTTACCTCCAAACAACAGATTTGATACCACGACGGCAGCACGCGACACGCACACAAGCACCAGAGCGTATTCATACTTGCGTGGGTCGCTGCGGGTTGCGACACGCTGGGCACCGCAGGCGCAATCTTGCGACGCGCACGCGGTGGACAGTGCGGTATGCTACTTATGTTACTTACCCCAGCTTCACAAGTGACCAGTCCCTAGCCATGCCCCGCGGCCACTTCATGCGTAAGGCCCTCATGCGTTAACACCCGCTCGCAAAACCAGAACCCGGGGCGCCGCTGCTCCCTCTCCGCGCGCCGAACAGTGCAAAGAGAGCGGCTCTTCACACCCGTGGGAGACGAAACCATTCTCCACAGGCACACAACAACACTAGCTAGCACCTGGCGGCTAAGGCTGCCGTGCCTTGGGGAATAGGATTTCCTCCCTAAAAGCATGCTTCTTTCCAGGTAAATCATACATTGCTTGATCAATCCTCCCTGCGCCGCAAGTAAAGGAGCGAAGATCTTGCATGCGACGCCAGCCAATCAGCAGGGCCCAGCTGCGAGGCTCAAGCCACAGCCATGGCCTCCTGAGCAGCTGCTGGTGCAGCTGCTGCTGCCGGTACTCGTGCGGGCCCGCTGCCGCTGCCACCGGCGCTGCCGCTCCCGCTGCCGTCATCGTCCCCCCCGCCACTGCCACCCGCTGCCCCCTGCTCCTGCTCCCGTCGCCGCGCCTCCAACAACGCCATCATCTGCGCCATGGGCTCGGGCAGCGGCTTGAAGCCGGGCAGACCCTCCCGGACTGGATCGAAGTAAGGGTGCTGCACGCATTTAGAGATGATTTAGGGATGAAGGATTTAGATTCAGATTTAGGGATGAAGGAACATTAGCGACATGGCAAAGGGGCCACAAACCGTGCGTGTGGGTCTGTGCAGGTACGCGCAATCCTTGCCGGAAGTACAGACACTAGAGCCCTCATTCCTGTCGCCAAAGGATCTCATCAGCATTCTTCCCTTGGGTGGTATATATGGCGGCGAATTTTTACAGCCTGCTAGTACAATCTTGCTTCTAGACTAAGCGGAACTCAAGCACCAGTCCTGACTTCCCGCGCACGGAGGCCACAGGTACTGTACCTGAGCGCACGCATCACTCTTCTGTAACAAACGCTGGGGTTGCAAGCTTACAAGCCTTAAGCTTTGTCACCAGCTGCTACATTGTCATCTGCGGCCGTGTTTTACGGTCTTAATATAGCCCCCGGCCGCCCTCATGAAACAGCATGCGAACAGCCGTCGCATCCAGTTCTAAGGAAAGAGCTCCCCGGCACTAACACGTGAAGGTCACGGTCCTGCGCGGTCCTGCAGGCCGCCCCATGTAACAGAAAGACACGCAATCGTACGCCCTACTCGGGCATTGAGCACGTTACACCCACGCCATCCCACCTGCAATGCCTCCTCACACGTCACCCGCTCGTGGTGGTCGTACTTGAGCAGCTGATCCAACAAGTCGAAGGCCTCCGCGGAAACTAGATGGCTGTTGTCCGGGTTGACGAACTTCCGCCACGCCACACGCGCCCTGTAGCCGGAATCCCACGGCAGGCATACGAACAGAATGCCGAGGACGGAAAGGTAGATTCGGTCAGAGGGGAAGCCAACAGGTGACGGGAAGGCAACAAATGAATTTCTGGTCACGAGGGAAATGTGGCGCTGGTCACCCATGCATCATCCGCCCAGGCCACATTGCGGCATTGCAGACGCCACCAACCACTCCCTCCTCCTCTGCGCACTCAGACCAACCACGCCGCTACAAATGGAAATATTTTACCCTTGCAGCGCCGACCCAAATCAAAATAAACCAAGCCCAAATCACAGCACAGACAAGGCTGCCAGTGCAGCTTCGTTCTTGCCTCATCGCTTACGTTATGTCTCGGTCCCCTTACCAACACCGCCCCCATTTACCCCGCGCATCTCACACCTGTAGCCGCACATCTGCGCCAGCCGCGGATCGAGCTCCACTCCGTACTTGCTGCAGTACGTGTACAGCCCATCGGTTCCCAGCACGCGGACAACTTTAACCAGCTGGTCAAACTCGTCCTCGCCGCGAAAGAACACCGGCTTCTTAAACACCAGAGCCGCCATCATGCAGCCCACGCCCCACACGTCAAGCGAATACGTGTAGTCCTTGATGTCAACTAGGAGTTCCGGACCTTTGTAAAAACGTGTGGCCACGCGCACGGGGTACTCCTTGCCGGGCTGGTAAAAGTCGGCCAAGCCCCAGTCAATGAGCTTGAGCTCCCGTTTGGTGTGGTCAATAAGCACGTTACCGGGCTGTAGGTCAGGAAGGTCAACACAAGGTGGGGGGAGGAGTTGGTGGGCGGCTGTTAAGTTCGCAGTAGGGGAGAATTGGTTGGGGGTTGTGGTAGAACGTCGCTTACAGGGGATGGTAGGGAGGCACGGGAATACAAGTGCAGGAAGGAAATGTAAGGCCCATGGTGAAGAAGGCCTTGCCTTGTTCAGGATGCCCGGCGAAATTGGGAGCCAAGGTTGCGTAGCAAGGACATGGAATCAGGTTATTATAACGTGTTGGACTTGAGGGCAGGGACGCGCTTCCGTGGGCGTATGAGCAGTGAATGCGTGGGATGCAAGCTAATTAGTTAAGGCCACTAACCCGTATCGTCATGGAGGCACTCCTGCAAAAGGGGGCAGAGGTGCTGTCCATGACCGAAGGCAGCCCATGCATGGGGCATCCCCTTTGGAGCCATGCATGCAAGGTGTGCGGGCGCGGGCCCAGAACGCCCAGCCGGTTAAGGACGTCGTCATGAGGGGCTAGACTCAAGGACCGGCTGGTAAAACCCCTCATCCCGCCTTTAAGCCAGGTCCTGTTCGTTATCCTAGAGGCCGCACCCTGCAAGATGGTCCCCACGAGCTGCACTGGCGGCACCGTGTTGCGTTATGCGGTAATTTACCGTAACGGCCCCACCTTCACATCCCGGTGCATTATCCCGCGCGAGTGGCAGTAGTCCAGCGCGATAAGTAGCTGAAATATGTAATATCGCACGTCAAGGTCCGTCACCGCTCCTTGCAGCTCCTTAAAGGGCATTGCGTCCACGAAGTCGAACACGAAGCTGGGAGTCTTGGTCTCCGGGTCCCGCACAACGTCAAGCAATCGCACGATATTTGGTCCACCCGAAACATGCTGGAGAATTTTAACCTCTCGGCGCAGACGGTGCTCCTTGACTGGGCGCATAACTTTTATGACGCAAATGCGGTCCTTGTCCCTGGTCCCCAGTCGCATGTTGATGCCTTCGTAAACCTCTCCATACTTGCCCTTCCCAAGCTGTCTAGTGACTTCATACTGGTCCTGGTTGCCCCAGCTGACGTTGAGACTGTCGTCGTAATATGCCGCCGGCTTGCAAAGCAATGCCGTTGCATGCTCCCGGGCAACAAGCCTTAGTCCATCCTTGCGCCTGTTAGACTTCGGATAGCGCTTTGGGGGAGCCATTGTGTCCCAACGAGCGGCCGAAGATAGACGTCTGTATTCCTTATGTCATGAAGAAGCAAAGTAAAAAACGCAAGAATGTGAAAAAACAGGTAGATAGGCTGCGCATGCATCTCCTTTCAACGACTTCGCCGCGAGCTCCGGAGCCGCAAACTGCCGTACGATTAACTGCCATCGGCAACTATAGCCCCGCCGGCGCAAAAGTAAGGTTTAATCATGCGGTGCCACCATGCCAGCAAGACTGCATCGGACATCCCGCACCGCTCCAGCCCTGTTTGTGCGTTGCCCGTTCCATCGAAGAGAGGCACGACCCAGGTTCAAGAGCAGTGGTTCACACTGGTAAATCGCGCTCCCGAGCACAAATGTGACCCTGAGACCTGTACACACAGCCTGTGGCCATATCTTCTCATAGATGCTGGAGGTGCAGAGTTTCAGGAACTTCAGCCTGGCAACCCTCGTGTAAACACACGGTTATCGAAGGCGCAACTGATTACAGTCCAGCAGGAGGTGCATCAGGATATCATGGACACGTTCCCACGTGTCATGAGATGAGAGCAGGCAATAAATGGGTTACATGACACCATGTTGCTCACCAAGAGCTCCTCTGTCTGCGCTTTCCCGCCCGCTATGCACCGAACGATCGGGCAACGACCTCGACACCCAACGGACTCCAACCAGTATGCTGCTCAAACCATAACCTGCGTCTGATAAGTTAAGGCACGCAGGTACTCCCCATGAATGCTGCCCATGATCACGACTGAGAATCGTGTCGAATATTTCTCAAGTAGCTTGTGCATCAAACCGGATAGACCAGAGGGTGTTAGTAGTGGCTTGAGAGAGCACCCGGGGCTGCGTGCCACAAGCGCTAAGTTAACATGTTTGGGAATGCTATTGATCACCAGATTTGCAACATAAAAGCATCGCCAAGTTGGCTCCTCCGTAGAAAACGCGATTAAAAGTGATGTCGGCGACTCCTCACGCACAAAGTACGATGCGGACCTGCAGTACAAGCATCCCTGTTTGGTCGTATTCCCGCCGCGGCTCCTCCTGCCACCACTTTTTCATCGTTCGCAAAGCAAATAACTCAGTCGCCACTGCACTGCTGCAGACCCGCGGCCCAAGAACGCAAGCAAGACACCCAGTGCGTCGCGTCATGTCTAGTATGGCAACCACCGGGAGGCACATGAGCACTGAAAACACATCGCGAGTTCCATGGCGGTGGTTATTGGCCCAACAGACGTTCTCATACGGGCTGTGTGCAACTGCTAGTGCGGATGCACGCCCCACGGAAGTTAAGAAGCCAGCCAACAGCAAGATCTCCACACATATACAGAAACGTCTCAGTTTTTGAGCCCTTCTTTCCGCTCCCAAGCTACATTGCACAAACGCACTTTCCCTTCCCTACTTCACTCCCTCGACCAAAGGCAGCAACATGCCGCGGCTTTGATCGTTCTCCCTCCACCTCAACTTCTTATCGCCCACGTACCAGACATGCACACACGTGAAGCAAACACACACGCGCGCACACATCCGCTTTTTACATGGATGCCCGTCCCTGGGCCGCCCTGAGCCGTTGCCGCCCCAGAGCATGCGCAGGTGACATAAAACTTGCAAGGGGTAACCCACACAGACACATATACGTACAGGCAATAGCACATGACCAGGGTGCAAACGGCCCTTCCGCTTCCGCCGCGGCCACACGACATAAAGCCTTCCAAGGAGCACAAGCGCGGCCACAGAGCTTGCAAGACGACGTGCGAAATTGACAAGCTGCTGGGCACCAAAGAAGCATAGAATCTAAAGCAATATCCGCCCTCGCGGCGGCATCGCGTGAAGCCAGGTTGGGTGAATGTCAGGTCTTAGGAAGCCGCTTGCCAATGCGCACTGCTGCTGGGGACTCTTGGAAAGAAATGTGCGTCAAGAGACGCCCCAAAGCCCGCCGACTCAGACCGCGCCACGCCATGCTGCAAACATCGGTCATCACGTCGACAAAGCATAGATGGCGGCCTAACAACAATACAGCCCTGCCCGGACCAAGCGCGCACTATATCCACACACACATACACATACACACGTGAACGCATGTACACACACACGCGACGGCAACAACATAGCGGCCGCCATGGCCCTAGGATTGGACAGCCCACGGCCGCCCTTTCGAACATGGTCAACTTTCCGTCCAGGAACAATCAAGAAATAGCCCATGTGGCGCAGTGGGGGCACCACACAGCGGATAAAGTAGACTGCCGGCCATCCGGCACTAGTGCGCACTTTGTCGTCGTCGTCCCGCAGGAACCCACGAGAAACCCAGTAACAGCGATTATTGAACCCCCCCCTCTTAAGCGTGCCGCATGGCTCACACATCGGCCTCCCCTCCATACGATCTCCCTACAGCTTCCCAAGCTTAACCCGCAGTATCCTCCATAAACGCAGCGGCACGAGGGCGCAGGCGGGCGGGCAGCTGTACAAAGCGGCTTGTTACAAGTGCAATATTGAATCCGTCACCGCCATCACCGGCATCTTCTTACGGGAACTTACGGCATATCACAAATTTAAACGACGGCAGGATGCTGCCTTAAGGAAAAAAACATTTCGTTACCTCACTCCGTCATCGTCACGCAGTACTATCCGCAAAACGTCCTCCGATTAGGGCAAAGTCACCCCGAAGCCCGCGCTGCCATACATTGCAATTTCCCAGGCGTGCCCTATGAAACATCCCTGCCACTCTTGCCTGGAACCAGACGCGTGGATGGAGCGTCGGCAGGAGTTGTTGGGTTCCGCACCACCGGCAGGGCCGCGGCTCCGCCTCCCACCAGCCCCGGCACTGCCATCATCTCCCCATGCAGCGAGCTCGTGGGCTTGCAGCCCTGGTGCCCGGTGCCCATGTTCACGCTGCTGCTGGACGTCTGCCGTAGCCCCGCCGCCGAGGACATCACCGAGCCGGCATCCGATGTGCGGGCGGGCTGGGCCGCCAGCTGCGAGCGGCGCCGGCTCGCAGGCGACACGACCACGGAGCCGTAGCCATTTGGCCCCAGGCCGCCTCCGCTTCCGCCAGCCGCCTCCGGAATCCGAACATTCAGGTGCGGCAGGCCGATGCGGGGGTTGCCAGCCAGCCCCACGCCGTTGCCAACGCCGTGTGTGACGGTTACGGAACGGCGCAGCGCGGCAGCGGCTGCGGTGCTGTGGTCATCTCCTGAGATTCCTGGCACAGACAAACTGCTGGTCACCTCCGCCGGCATCCTCTCCACGGGAGCGCCGGCAATGAAGTTGTGTGAGGAGGCGCGGGAGGGGATGAACGGGGACACGCCTCCGGAGCTCGCAGACGACTGCGAGTGCGCTGCACTGCAGGCGACGCCCAGAGAGCCGTGACTGGCCGCGGATGGCGCGCCAACAACAGAGTTGGCCAGCTGTAACCCAGACGCAGCCGGAGCCACTGATGCGGCGCCAGCTGTTGCCGTAGCCGCTGCTGTAGCGCCGGTCGATTGATGCTCGACGAGCGTGCCGGATTGTGAATTGTTAGAGCGGCGAGTGCTCAACGTCCGCAGCACAGACTTGAACATGCTGCTGGGGCCGTCTGTGAAGGTAGTGCGGCGGCTGGCCGGTGCAGCCGAGGCCACCGAAGCCGAAGCTCCGCCGGCACCGGCAGTCGGCGTGCTAGGCGAGACTGCTGCACTGCTGTCTGCGCTGTTGCTCTCCGCGGCCTCGTGTGGTCCCACCCTGCTGCTACTGTTGCTGCCGACCCCATGCGGTTCGACATTAATATACAAATTGGACACAGGGCGTGACATGAGACCCGCTGCAGCTGCCGATGTAGAGATGGATTGCGTGGTGAAGGAGCGCTGGCTGGCGGTAGGCGCGGCAGGTGTGGCAATGCCCACTACGGCATTTAGGCGTAGCGTGCCACCAGCCTCCGTCAGGGCATCGCGCTCTCGCTCCCGCTCGCGCTCTCGACCGGCAGCACCCACCCCAAATACGTTCAAGGACAAAGCCGAAACTGTGCCGTGCAACGGACCATGCGATGGGTGGTGCCCTGAATCCGATAGTAGCATGACAGTATTGGCAGCAGGCCCAGAGCTCAAGCCGGCGCTAATGGCGCTTGCGCCGTGATGGTAACTGAGCTGGTGGGTGCTGCGGCCCAGCGGACTAAGCATTTGGGGCGCCGAGGGGCCCCGTGGGTGGTCATGGCCGCCGCTTTCTGCAGCGGCCGCGGGAGCAGCGGCGGTGCCCCCGGCTATAGAGCCAGAAGAACCCGCTATAGCGCCGGAGGGTTGCTGCCCGCCAGGCTCGGTGACACTTGCGAGGCGCGAATGCCGCAGACGCGGGCTGGGGTGCAATCCGCTGCCGACGATCATACCCACAGCCGGCGTAGATCCCGCCGGGTTGTTGCCACCAAGGGCAGAGGCTCCCTGACTGCCGTTGAGCGACAGTCGCTCGCTGCTGCGATCCTCCTCGCTATCCTCGTCACGTTGCTGCTGTTCCTGTCCCTCGCACGTGTGGGATACACGCGTGAGGCGAGAACCCGTCGCTGTAGAGCGGCGGCGTCCCGCTGTCGCATTGTACGGCGTGGCACCGCTGAGGCCATTTGCAATGCTTGCAGCCGCGCCGGTTGAAAGGCTACCGGAAGGGGAGATGAGCGAGTGGTTGCTGCCCGCTGTGGTAGCCGTGGCGGCGTTCCCAGCGGCCGTTCCAGCCATAGCAGCCGCTGCCGCGCCGATGGGCGTCGCTGACGGCGATAACGCCGCCGAGGCATTCTCCATGGCCAACTGCGTAACGTCAATATTGGGGTTCACGAGGCTAACACGTGCCAGGCGCATATGCATGTCCGACTGGCCGCTCCCTGCCGCTCCAGGGCCTCGATGGTTGCCATACACGTTGATGCTGTGTTCCGAAGCCCTCTTGTTGTGCTGGGCAAGGGTGGAACCGGCCTTGCCCTGGGCCGCCTGCGCGGGTACCTGCGCAAACAGCAACCGCAAAACTTATTGCAAGGAGGTAACCGGGAAGACTCCCAGCAGTTGGGATTGCGTCGACGTGTAAAAACTTTGGCATCACATCTGATAAATGGCCTCCTCCTGACAAACGCCATGCCTCCCGCTAATACACACAGAGCAGATCCCGCGGGACGCACAAAACATGACCCCTGTCGCGTTGCGCCGGCTCCCCATATTCCCACCTGCGTCGCTCCCTCCGCGCTCATGCCTGTGTCGGTCATTGGTCGCGCGCCCATGGACACCGAAGACATAGGAATGGCAGCCATGGACGCGCGCATGTGGGCGAAGCTGCCCGGCAACCGAGAATCCCGTTGCTGTTGTTGTTGCTGTTGTTGCTGCTGCTGCTGCTGTTGTTGTTGTTGTTGTTGTTGCTGCTGCTTCAACGCCTCAGCGCTGCTCGCCTCATATGCGATCCCAGCAGCTGCAGCTACAGGCCTCCCCAGAGCCGCGTGGCCCACCTGCTCGCCACCCAGGCCTTGGCTAGGAGCCTGGCTCTGGCTAAAGGACGGCAGTGTCTGTGGTAGGAAGCGTACTTGGGTAGCCGGCCGCTGCGGCAACGCCGCATTGGGTTGCGCCGGCGCAACCGGCGGCGTGTCCAGTTCCATGTTCCCAGAGCCCGAACCGGATCCTACTTCCATATCTTGCTCCCCGTCCTTTGCAACGGACTCCGCCGCTGGCGTGTGCCGAGACGGCACCACCAATGCCGGGTGCACTGGCCCCTGCCTGGACGTCTGAACCCCCGGGGCCACTGCAGGCGTTGCGGCCGGCGCATGCGCAGCTGCTGCTGCGGCACCGGAATCTTCCGCCAAGCCGTTGGCAGGTAAGGGCATTGCAGTCGCAGCATGCACCGTCACAGCCGGTGCCGGGCGCTCAGGCTGCGGCTCAGCCTCCTTTGTCGTGCGCCGATTGCTGTCCGAACATGGTGTAACCACGCCAGGAGGCTGCTGCTGCGGCTGCGCGATAGCCTGCTGCTGTTGCTGCTGTGGCAGCAGGTGAGGAGCATCCCGGACGAGTTTGGAGCCTGTACTACCAGCGACTGCCGGCGCAGCGGCAGTACTGCCGTCCGCAGCCGCTGCTGTAGCTGCAGCCGCTGCAGCTACCGGCTGGATGATCGCGGCTGGATGCACAGGTCCCAGTGGTGCTGCCGCCACCGGCTGTGCTGCTACCGCCGACGCAGCCGTCGGCGGCAATGCCGTAGTAACAGTAATAGCGATCGTCGGCGGTCCATTCAGCGACGGTACCTTCTTCTGCCGGATTGGCTCAAAGTAAGGAGCCCGGAGCACCTCCTCCGCAGCGGCACGTTTCAGAGGGTCCGGGTTGAGGCAGGATAGCAACAACGTGACGGCGTTCTCGCCATATGGCGCAAACCTGCAACGCCCAGGCCCAGCCAGAGTCAGATGTAAGATTTTGCGTAAGCAGCTGATGACTGCTACGAATGGTATATGTCGCGCCCTCTTGCTATACGGCCCATACACAAAGCCAAGTACTAGATGGATTATGCAAGGCTGGACAAAGCTGGTCATAAAATGTGTCAACGGGAAACAACAAAACTGTCAACCAGGCCTCAGCAACGAATGGCTACCGGTAAACAGGTCTTACGCCCTTCCCTTCCACAGGCACTGAGGTCCTAGCGCGTCAGCAACACCAGGCTAAGGCCGCGTCCCAACCTTTTCCCCCTTAACGCTGCCACCAGCACTGCAACAGTCCTCCCGCGCCCGGGTCGACAGCGACGCTCACCGCTGCTGTAGCGCCACCGCCCAGTTGCGTGGATTGCTTGTACGTAGCTGCACGCCGACTAGCTGTGGGTTGGTCAGGGCCTTTGCCAACAGGCGGTTTGGCAGATGGCCGAAGCAGTTCACAATGAGTGCCAGCTGGTCCATGTTAGAGGAACCCGGGAAGAGCGGCTGGCCATTAAGCAGCTCGGCAAACAGACAACCTGTGGACAGCGGCCGGTGCCCGCAGGAGGAGACGTGAAGCGGGGAACGAGCTGAGGATCCCTACGTGCGAACAGTTCGTGGCCTGCACGCCCCGAAAGCTTCGCCATGCCCTGCGGGCTTGGAGTGTCAGGCCTAAACCAAAAAGCAACAGACAGGCAGCAAGCAGGGTCTAGCCAGGACTCTAGACCAGGCTCGTCAAGCTCGTACCTAATGCCCAGATGTCTACCGCCGCTCCATACTCGGCGCCGACGACCACCTCTGCGACGCCACACCACCGCAGGGCAGGCAGAAGGCCGGTGAGGAATCTCAAATTAGGGGATCTGGACTGTTTCAATTAAGAGAGCATTTTAGGCCTGTGCATTGTTTGCGTCAGGCAGGCATCCTGATATCCGGAGCCAAGGCGCCCATGCAAGATGCCTCATAACTTCATTGGAAAAGGATCGCTAGGGAAGTCAGTGCCTGGAAGGGGCTACCCTGTCACCATCCTAGCAGGGTGGGAGCCCAAATCAAGCTGCAAGAGAAAGTCCCAGCACGGTCACACTGCGGCGCTCACCGGGAGCACGATACCAACGAGTAGTGACGTAGCTGCTCATGTCCGCCTGCTGCCCAGCAGGGGGCAAGTCGCGCGCGAATCCGAAATCACACAGCTTCAGATCGCCAGCGGCTGTTAACAGGATGTTGGCCGGCTTGAGATCACGATGCACAATCTGCAAGGACGTAGGACGTTTGGTCGGGAGCTTGGTCTGAGAAGCCTGACACCGCTGTCAAAACATTAACACAGAATTCCCCACAAACCCCAAAGCCATAGGTAGCCACGCATTTACCAAATACATATGAGCAAAGACATAACCACCTAGATAACTGAACCTGCGTAATCCGGACCATAGCAGCTGGCCGCGCCGAGGACCGACCCACACAGACCGTCGGGCCCCTCATCAGTGCATGACCCGAAGGTGTTCTCCTACACTTCGCTTAGCTACCAAATTCGTCGTGTAGACCAAATGTTCCCCCCCAAGACGGCCCATTCCAGCCTTACGCACCTTCCTGCTATGTAGGTACTGCAGGGCCGACGCCAGCTGCCAGGTGATGCGCATCACATCCGCAGTCGGCAGACCAGTGCGATGCTTCTTCAGCTCCAGGTTTAAGCAGCTCTCCGCATATTCCATGACCTGCAAGCAGACCCCGCGATCTGCTGAGCGGAAGTACAAAGCTACGGCGCGAGCTCGAACAAAACGGCCGTGCCTCCGACTATCATACAGGTGAAAGCAACCAGAACGCGGTATACCCCGAAAGCCCCATGGGAGCTGCCCTGATGCGACATGCAAACACAAGGGGACGTGGCACAGGCCTTACCAAGTACACATTCCCACTGGATTGGCTCCGGAAGGCTTCAATGACGGAGACCACGTGCTCGTGAGATGTGGCCCGCAACAGTTTAATTTCCCGCATCGCCAAATGATAGGCCTGATGCGCAAAATGGAAACAAAACTTGGGCTTCGTTGCGATTATGACGCACGTTGGGACACTACCGCACGGGGCCTAACATCACAGGACGCAGAAGGGATCTGGTGCCCTCCTTGCGCCAGGGAGTTTACTATTGGTAATAAGCTTTCACATATGCACGACTTTCCAAAGCCGTGCAAGTGCTTCACGCGGCAGTAAATGCCGAAGCATGAAAAATGGATGCCGTTGGCCAATCTCAATGAGGAGGGACAACCCAGGTTGAACGAAGCCGCAATGACATCAAACCCCGGAAGCACGGAGGACTGGGCCCGGGCGCATCGCAGTGCGAGGCGAAGCTGCAAGGTTTATTTATGGAGGATGGGGGACCCCATGTGTATACCACAGCTGCCAGGCTGCTCGCAAGACATAGCACAACACGGTGGTGGTTCATTGGGTTCGCTGCAAGGTAGGAGCGGCTGCAGCACCCACTGTGGGTGGGTCATACATAACAGCCTATCTAATCGTTTGTACCCCACTCCAATGAAGCCCCATCGCCCGTCGTGCGGGGTTGGGTTACGGGTACGCAATAGTCGGTGAGCGGCCGTAACCAGGATGGGCTGCCTTTCTACCCAATATACCCATGATACGCATGGATGATGTGTGTCTGTGCCGAGTGACAAGGCAAGCCACGTTATCGGCAAGAGAGGTCGCTTCATCGCACCTGCGAGTCCTTGTTCGCATCCTTGAACTTCTTGATCGCCACCAGGCACTCCCGCTCTCGGTCGCGACACAACCAGACATGTCCGTAACTGTGTTCGGTAAACGTCCAAGTCGCAACTCGTAAGGTGCCTTACATTTCGTAATTTCGCAAAGCGTCAACCTTCAAGCCCAGCGCACCTTCCTTCACCAAGTGTCTTGATGTACTCGTATTTCTACAAAATGCAGCGCCGCCGCACCGTCAGTTACCGTGACCGGCGCGCAATGCTGCCCTGAGTTGCCAGCCAAGACAGACCATAGCACCCACAGCCAATCCTACCTTAGCAGCATCCATCCCTTACAAGCTTTAGCCCCTTGATGGCCGTCTCGCGGGCCAAAGCGTCCTCGGAATAGTTAGCGCTGCCGCGGACCAACCTGATTTCACAGAACCCCCTTGAGTTATTCAGAAACTGGGTTAGGGATAAGACTAAACCCTCCGCCCCACAAAGGCAAAGTGGATACCTCCATATTGAGCCGCGGTGTCACGCCGTCCGCCCGTCACAGATGCCGGCGAGCGGGAACAGGACGTTCTTAAACCTTCAGAAAAGCGTTAAACAACGCCGGGAGAAGGATGAAACAATATGGATTAATCAAGGCTCAAGAAACTGTACTGTTTCCGCGCAACCGATGCTTCGAGGTTTGTCACCGAAATAAATACACGACTAGTGCTACACACAGTGAGTTATTGACCCTGCCATGCAGCGAGGGGTTGCACCAAGTACGGAAAAGTTTTGACAGGAGCTCTCCACAGGGATAATCCACCGGGTAGTGCAGGATCAAGCAAGAAACATAAAGATAGCATATTGAACTGTTGTCCTTTATCGCGCCTGGGTTCCGACTTGTTCTGTAACGTCTGTACGGTCCTTGTGCGAAATGCTACTTCTAGCATCTGTCGTCGAGCTTACCGCGTGTTCTCCTCAACACCAAATCATGTGTGCTGGGCCAGGCTGCCATAAACATCCCGATGTTTCCTTGTCTATGCTGTTGCCTAGGCGGAATTGCTGTGCGCCTGCGCGTTGAGACTTGTTGGGCACATCTTGAATTCCTGAAGTCATACGGTCTCATATGACTGGGGTTCCTTATCATAATCGGCTGGGGTTGATTACGACGAACGAGGGCTACGAGGGCTAGGTAACCTTGTCCCAGGCTTCTTTAGGAAAAGCGCAGTATCCTGCTGTAGTAAGACGCAGTACACGTGTGATTGTGAATTAAAATTGAACCTGGAGACAATGGCAGCCTTGCTGGCATGCAGGTTGCACGTGCACTGCCCGGGTTGTTTACAGCAGGTGGGATGTAGCGTTTCGTCTGAGCATTCAGCGCCATGTTACCTATCTCGTTACATTACACAGTTGAGCGTAAGTGCCTTGCTTCGTAAGTGACATCCTGCTTTGGTGGACTTCGTCCACCGCCTACCAGGCGTCGAGTACCGGAAGCTTGGTACACGGTTCATTGGCAGGATGTAATCATTATAACCAATGCAGACAATAGATCATATCTAACAGCGAAACATGCAGTCCGCGGAGGGCAACCCTCCGCGGAAAGCTTTCAGTGACCAGTGATGTGCACCGAATCCGCACGGTAGCTAAACAGCTCCCAAACGAGAACTCCCACAACCCACCGCAAGGCCTCTAGCTTTCCATCCCATTGCGATCACAGAAGCTTTCCCTGCGCTAATGCGGGCCCAAGATGCTTCGACTTCTTGAAGCGAAGTATGAGTGTAGAGATAGGCAAGTTATTGCGAAGGAACTGCCGTGGTGCGTGGAAGCAGGGTGCATGCATGCATGTGCCGGACCACAGTACCGCAGGGGACGCCGAGCTCCTACCTGGGTCCCACAGTCGCATTAGTTCTTTAACTGCCCTTGTTTTGACTATTACCAAGAGGTGTGTCCCGCTGCTGGGACAGTGTCCTCTAGTTTCCCCTGACCCACCCACGGGTCAGTATCTTATTAACTGTCCTATATTGTTGGTCTAATCTTGGAGTACCCGTCTATGTTCGTTTTCTCGTCAATCGTCTGTGCCTCGTCGTACCCCCACCCACCCAGGGCAATCCCGGGGGTTGCCACAATGCAGCGGTCCCTGGTTTTGTCACTGCTGGCCCTCGGCGGGTCGCCCGTGTGGCTCATCAGCCCTTGTCGGGGCGCTTGAGGTCCTAGAATTCGTTAACGGTGCAACACAGGCAACTGTCATTACTATGGGCCACTAATGCAACTTTCACAATGGGTTGGTGTTGGGAGGGGGTTTCACAGGCGGTTTGTGTGTTTTGCTATTGAGTTGTGCTTGCGGTTGGCGGCTTAGCTACTGAAATGCAACACGGCAGGACTGAGCAGGTAGCGCGGACGTGTCTGTAGTTAACATACGGTGGGCGCCTACAAGGCCTACATGGGCCAGAATCCAACAAACATGGACAGTAGCAGCAGTGGAGGACAGTGGTCAATGCCGTTACGTCCGGGGTTATGATGGGATGGATGAAAATCGGTTTCAATGGTTTCAACAGCCAGGATTGCCATCCACACCCCACACTGTATAGGCTCGCGAGCGCGAAACTAGTTACCGAGTGAGAGACACGCCATTGTGGAATAAACCTAAGATACTCTTGCACCAGGAGGGCCTGGTGCTCAAGGAGAGATCGCTTGGGGGTCTCGTCGCCACAAGGCAACCGTACTAACCGTCAACCACCACCGCCGATCCAGCCCAGCCATCCGCTCCAGGAGCCTTAAAGCCGTGGACAGGATGCCTCATGCAAACGTCGCAATAATGGAAGCAATAAATGTGCCTCACCATCAAGAACTGCGGCAAGTTCAGCTGAAAATCATCGCAAGCTAAGTGTCCGTTATGTTCGATATGATCAGTTACGTACGGCATTCACGACATGTGCGCTACGACACTGCCTGCACGCTCTCCTATCCGGCACCACTTTGCGGCATCAGTGCGGAGCAGGGGGCTGTGCGGACATGGGGCCAATGAATAGGGTCATGATCGTGGCCCTGACACCCCATCGCTTGAGTTGCTCCAAAGCCAAGAGGGCAGTACAAACTGCTATGAAAAAGGCTGGAGATGCGGTTTCGTCTAGCCATGCTGTTGGACATAAGAGTCCTTCAGCGAACACATCACTCGCTCATATCGTTACACAAAGAGAGAAAGAATACGCACCCGATCCTGATCTGGTGTCGTACTGGGATCCAAATAACTAAACAAAACTACCAAAGTGTCAAGCCTGAGCGTCTCTTATAACGCTTTCCAACACATGCCAATACCTCTCCCCCAAGATATCGCCAGAAGCTCAAGGTGTTTAAGTGCTTCTGCGTCATGCTTAACATAGCAAATCAAGTGTCGCAGCCAAGCCTCTCATACCCCGGTTTTGCAGCCCTTGCTTTGTGGCCACATCATTTGGTTTTGCCATGAAGTTTTCCTAATTGTTTCGTTTTGGAGACAGCAAGCGATGTGGTGCCATACCGTTAACCGTATTGCTTGTGTGGTTCGAACCGCCTCTTGCACATCTTTTTCTTTTCACCCTGCACAAAAATGTCGGACTAGCAGCGGTCGGTACCACAGCAAAATGGTCAGTCTTCTCGCCAGGTGCCTTGGGGTCCCTTCGTGTCCATCGTAGTTGTTCCGCGTAAAAAACGATTTCCTTGCTTACTATTTGCAAACAAATGCAGTACACACCCGAACATATTAACGTAATATAAGTTTGCATGGACAATTTTGCGCAGCATAATTGATTAATGAGTTACAAAAGGTGGACGGAAGCCGTGTCTTTCCAGGTCAGCTTACAGTCCTCGGAGACGGGACTGCTACGCATGTACGGATGGAAGATGCCCAAAGGAAATTTAAGCGTGCACCCCTGCTGGGCCTATGGCGTGTTTACGTCACATGCGCCGTAGGGCCATGCACTATTGCCGTATCCAGCATACGGCCGTATGCTACCGCGGTAGAATGTGCCTCCGACACTCGGCTTGCATCGTACGTCGCATTATATTTCTGGAAGGAAGGCGACAAATCCCCGTTGATGTCGAGTCTGCAATGTTCCTGAATACGGTGTTTGAACTCGACACTTGTTTCTCTTTGCCGTAACGACTTCAATTGCTCTAAATCGTGTCATAATTCCGTGACAATTCTAAACACAGTTCCTTAAAATGGTACTCAGCCTTGGGCATCAACCGCTTTTAAGAAAGAATGGGGTCGGGTTGTTGCCTAGGCCCGGACTCTGCCACTCTAGGTTCTTCTCAACTGGCGTAGTGCACATTTCACGCTTACTCCACGGCGTGAATGGCAAAGTTCCGGTTCCATACAGGCGTTACGCTCCATGCCAGGTGAATTCGGCGGTTGGTTCCGAGGTAGCCTTTATCCAGCTGTCTTGCGGGTGTAAATGCGGGCTCAGCTTCGCCTGAACGTTTCTATGGTTATACCAGTCGACGCGTAGTTCGCACCAAGGACGGCCTGGGAGTACCACAGCTTCCAGGGACGATCCCTGACACGGAAGGGTTGACCCTAACAATTGGCGATTCATGCGCTCCCCAAACCTGGACAGTAATTCCCTCCCATCAGGAGGAAGCTTTTTGTGCTGCTCCAGTCTCGGCAACCATCCGAACTATCAACATGCTTTCTTGCATCGGTTGGTATCCGTGACAGGTCCTCGCTTTCAAGACGGAATCACAACTCGTAAAGCGGGAACCCGCTGCAACAACCGACTCGCTAGCTCACGTTTCCCGTGTAGTTCGCTACCGGTTCGTGGTGCCTCAGTATGTCACTGCCTTCGGTCAAACGCTGCGTGTGGTAGGATCGCTGCGCGAGCTTGGCTGTTGGAACCCACGTCAAGCGCCCATGATGAACTGGTGCGAAGGTCACCAGTGGGTCCTGGAATGCGTCCTCCCCCAGCAATCATTTGAATTCAAGGTGCGCCGCGCTCGCACAGCGGGACATATGCGTGTGCGTGTGCGTGATGCGATGCTTTTGCGCGCAAACTGCACACAGCTGACTACATGCATTATTGCAAATCAGCGGCGAAGGAGCCTTCCCTCCGCTTCACGCAGATCACGGTGTTCGACGGGCAGGACGTCCGGTGGGAGGGTGGCAGCAACCGTGTGGTTCATGCCGAGGACGAGGGGGAGGGCGGCATCCCGGTGGAGATTGTCGTATGGCTCACATGCCACTTTAATGCAACCTCCAGCACGCAGCTCCAGCTCGCGGTGCCACGCGCCAGCATCCAAGGTGACGTGGACGGGGACGGTCGTAAAGGACGCAGCGGGCCGCCTGAGGGGCAACGGTTGGGGAAGGCCGGCGGCTGCAGCTGGCAGTGCAGCCCTTGATGCGTGTGCCCCGTGGGGCCCTGGCTTGGAGAGCTAGTTTGACCCTGTGTGCTGTCTGGGTGCGACCGCTGGAACACGGAGCGGCCGTCTCTGTTGCAGGACTTTGGGCTGTGTCAGGGCTGGCTGGCTTGCGTTTGGCTGCTGACTGCGGTCTTTTTTCCACGTAATAAAACGACGGGCTAGCCCCTCTAAGCTTCAATCCCTACGCTGTCCTGTACCGTCCTCCCGTCCTCCTCGGCGCCTGCACATGGCCCGCAGACGCCTACGAGACCGGGATGGCCACCCTGGAGTTCCTCAAGCTCCGGCAGTTCAAGCTTGGGCAGGTACGGCAGGGGGAGTATTAAGGTCTTATTCCCGTGTGGCCCGGGGACCCCTGTAGTCCAGGGGCTATAGGTGGCGGGCGTGCACGACCTGGGCCAAGGCGTCCTTACCCCTCCCCCCTCCTCCCTCCGGCGCGTTGGCAGCTATAACCCAATGTTTCTTGCATCGCATAATTCCTCCGTCGTCCTTCGCCCTTCGTCCCTCAGGTCGCTAGTTCTGAGCAGCAGCGCCGCCGCCAGCACAGCGCCGAGCTGGCCCGGCTGTCTGGGGCGGTTGCGGAGCAGCGCACCTTGGTGCACCAACTGTCTGACCTGCTGAATCAGGAGAGCGGGACCAGCCGTGTACCGGAAGCCTGGGGCACCGGACGCGGTGGGCCCGCCAGCAGGTGAAGCTCTCGCAGGAAGAGGGGACTATCGTCCATTTGCCTGCATGCGTGTCTATATATCTGTCTATATGTGCAGTTAGTGTGTAGTAGCTGGGCGCTGAAAAGGCTTCTCGAGATGCTGGTAGAGCGCCTTAGCGCGTATTTGCAGTGCCATACGAAGTACCAGCTACAACGTAAGGTCTTGGTCGGCCTGGGAGTTGGCATGGCGGCGGGTTGCCAGGTTTAGTGTGCTGGATGGGGGGCCGGCAATTAGAAGATTGAGAATCAGGAATGGGGTGATTATTTTGCGGTTTTCAGAGGTTCAAAGTCGCGCGGTGCTAAATCCGTGGCTCTCCCCCTCCTGCTGCTTTCGCAGTGGCGGCGCTCCGAGCACCTCGCTGTATGCAGACGAGGACGACGAGGACAGGCTGCTGCTCCTGGCCATTGACTCGGTCCGAGTGCCCAAACCGCTGCGCCGGATCGCCTTCGTGCAGTCCTGGACCCCGGGTTGGTGCTCCGGGTTGGCGGTTGCATGGGCCCCTGCGGCACAGCTGTGTTTCGGTTCTGTTTTGCGTTGCTAGTGCGAGTGCGGGTATGGTGCGAGTGGCAGTTCACCAGCCTCCAGCCTCCAGAAAGTTCCACTTATATCCTATATGCCTTGGCCTTGAGCTAGACGCCTGGATTGCTTGCAGTTTTCCCGCCGACCCGCCCGACCCGGTCTGGTCTCCCTCGCTTCCAATCCGTTGTCTTGCGCTGCCCACCCTCTAGGACGCGCGGCATTGTTACCGCCGGCTGACGGTGCCGCGACCAACGGCCCTGGGGCGCCTCACCACGACCATCAACAACACCAACAACAACATGAGCAGCAGGCAGCTGCGGTGCCGACCCCGCCGGTTCCGGTTTACAATCCCTTCTTGCGCGGCGAGTTGGACAGCCAGATGGAAAATCTCACGAGCGCCGCAGAGGCCCTCCTGCAGGAGCTCAAGGTACACACACATCTTTAGAGCTGAAGGCCTGAACTTGGGCCTAACTAAGTAACTAACTAAATAACTATCGACCAGTGTTCGTTGTGACCGTGAGGGCCTTAGGGCGGTGTAGGGAGGGATCTGGGGAGGGGCCAGCAGTGGCGCGACATGGGACAGGAGGCAGCGCGCTGTCGAGTTGTATGGGTAAACACCCCTACCTTGCCAAACAGGCAAGGTAGGGGTGCAGGGAGCCGTTACAGCGCGTTCGCTCTTGCTTCTTCGGCGTGTGTGGTGTTGGCGCGGCCATCATGCTGCCCAGTATATCCCCCTTCCCGCGCGCGTTGGTGACGTTGGCGTTGCTTGCTTGCTTCGGGTCGTCCCTGTCCTCGGCTTGGGCGCTCGGCTTGGGCACATTCCTTGCAGGCGCTTCCCCAGGATGCGGCGGTGATGGAGTGGGCGAGCTTGGCGCAGGAGGCAGGACAGGTCGCAGCGGCGCTGCAGGCACTGGCCGGCGGTGACGACAAAGCTGACGGCGAGTTTGTGGTCCGTGGCGATGCCGCGACCTCAGCCCTTTCCACGCAGCTGCAGATGCAAGAGGTTGTGCCGGTCAGCAGTGCCGTCGGGGGGGACGACACTGGCACCTGCAGTGGTAGCGGTAGCGGTAGTGCCCTGGCGGTATTCGTAGGAGGTGCAGAGACAGGGGTTCCAGTCGCTGCCGGTCGGCTGGTAGGGTGCCCATGCAGTTGTGGGGATGTGGCCATGCAGTTGGATGGGCAGGTGGGGAGCTCCCCGTCGTGGGATTTGCGGGAGAGAGCGGCGGCGGGAGGGGCTGGGATTGGGACTGGGCTAGCGGGGGAGGGGGAGGGGGAGATGGAGCGCGCTGCTGCTGCCGTGGAGGTGCGGACAGGCGGCAGAGGCACCGGGGCGGAGGAGGATCGGAGCTTGTCGTCAGCAACGCCGTTGGCAGCGATGGTGACGGTGACAGTGACAGACGGAGTGGGCGTTGTCGAAGGTGGTGCCAGCGCCATGGGTGTCGTGCTGTCAGAGGCCCTCGTACTGCAGGACGCAGAACGCGAAACTCTCACAGCCAGAGCAGCGGCGCTACCACCCCCAGCGGCGGTGACGTCGGCTGCTCCGAAGGCAGGGCCCCTACAACACCTGGCATCCTCCCTTCAAGGCCAGCTTAGGGAGTTTGGGGCGCTGGCTGTAGCCATGCTGGCCGCCATGAAGGGTGCAGTGGGTCTGCGGTAGGCGGGCTGCGGACCTTGAGTGGTGTATGGAAACACGGCCATGACCCCATGTATGTATGTATGTATGTATGTATGTATGTATGTGGCGGTAGTGGGTCGGTCGGTGTGGTCATCAGCGGCCTCCATAGAGTCCTCCGGGATGCAGCTTCCAGGCGGCGGTGCAGCTGCCAGCTGGTGCCCGGGAGGGTGACATGTCTGGCACCGTGCTGCTTATTGGATTGCATGATTGGAAAGGCAGTGACGTCCTTTTCGGGATGTATGTTAGACAGTTATGTTAAAAAAGCTTATTTGCTGGACAAACAGAGTCTCAGTGAGCAGGGAGGCGGCCTCGGGGCCCAGTTAAGAGTTCGCGGTGTTGGTGTTGTCGTTGTTTATTATTCAAGCCAACTGGCCAACCGGCGCGTGATGCGCGGGGACAGGAGACGGTGCGGGGCGCCACTGAAGCTAAGGTCCATTCCCGTCAGTGTTGTTTCCCTCGGCGTGAAATGTTATGCAGTTGGTAGTTTGAGTGAGTTTGTCTGTTGTGTATGTATGTATGTATGTATGTATGTGTTAAAAGTATGCGGTTTCATGGAACTGATGAGCCACCCGGCAATGGGTGTGCATATGCATATGATGCTGCCGTGCTACCTTTCGTTTATTACTTTGACGGCCCCAAAGAGCTGTCTATCTATCTAAGGGTTTCTTTCTCTGCGCAGTGCTCCTGATATGGAGGCAGAGCAAACATTCCACTCGAACTGCGTGTAGTGGGGATGGCGCCGTAGTGGCGATGATGGTCATCTGCTGGGTTTTCTTGTACAGGCGCTGCCCGGGGCGATCCTCCTTGGGAAGCAGGGACCAAGCTGTAACCCGGCCGGGGGTGAACCCGCCTCGGTGCTCACAGACTTGATTAGCTACGTAGGTACGACAGGTCAGTTGTAGCATGCATGCTACATACATGCATGCCCATATGGGCTAGGGTTAGGCCGCACTCCTTGGGTGCTTCAATGCTACATGGCAGACTTCAACGACAGTCATAAACACAGCTGTGAATTACGGTCTTATGGTGTAAAACTCTACTATTTTCTTACTTCGTCGTTTGCTCACAGATAAGCTGTTTGGCCTGGGCTCGGTCTCTGAACCTTGTTACACTTAGAGAGGGTAATGTGCATGGCTTTTTTGCGATGTACGGAGCTTCAGGTTGTGCAATCTTCGTTGGTTTAGTTGATTTTTTTGTCAGTTTGGAGGGTTTTGAGAGTAGGTCGGGTACCTGATGTTGATAGCTGGATGTGAGGTGTTCGTGTCGAAGCTGATCGTTGGGAACGGTTTTGGACATGTCTTGTTCGTTGGGGAGGCTCCGGTGTACAGAGTGAGGGCCGCTGTAGGCCACGAGGTAAGATAGAGCCTGGGTTGGGAGAGGACTTCATGCCGTCACGGTGGTTCCTGTCCCGCGGCAGGTCCCTTCAGTGGTCTCCATACCGCATTTACATGCCGTGCGGTGCTGGAAGGGGTGCGCTGCACGTGTGCGTGCGTGTGTGTGTGTGTGAGTGTAAGAGTGTGAATGAGAGGGTTAGAGTTAGCGATGTGGTCTTCCCGTGTTGAGAGGCCACCACCCGGCCTCAGCTGGCTGGACAGCTTGTTAATGGGATTGCTGTTTCCCAGCGGAGTGTTCGGTCCCTGCGGAGGAGTCCACCTCTGCTGTAAGAAACGGACAATGGTGAGAAATGGAGGTCTGACCTGACCTGACCACACCTTTGGGACGGCGCTAGCTCGGCAAATGAGATGGCTGTGCAAGCTACTGCTCCTGCTGCTGTTGATTGTGGTTGTGTGCTAACGTTATCCCCTTGACAGGACGCGGCGTTTCTGCACATGCGCATTCATGCATGGCCAGTCATGGACCACCACGTCCCTCCGCTTATTGTCTCTCCCGACTGACCGCCCATTCCACTCTTCCTGGATTGTGTTGGCTTGCGTTGTGACTGTAAAGTGGGCAGTGCGGTACATGCAAGGTCTGTTGGCATTTTATGTCTATGCTGGCAGCGCCCTGGGTAGGTGGAGTGGAAAGATATGATGGTGGCATATGATTGGAGCGACTGAAGGCATTGACGCGATTGCCATTTCACTTGAGATGGTGGAGGCCGCCATGCGGGAGGGCACGTATGCGTGGGTGTGTATGTGTTCTCACTTAGGAACGAGCCCCGCGCGCTCCTGCCGAGCTGCCAGCACCAGTCAAATCATGCAGATGGCTGCTGTTGTGCTGGGGCCCCGTCTCTGTGCATGTCTCTTGTACGTGTATGTATATCTATGTAATGGAAGGAAATGTAAGAATATAACGGGTATAACCGAAAAATCCGGTATGCTCAGTATGCTGCCATCGATTGGCACTCCCGGCATACGGCTACTGATGCTTTCTGGACCAGGTTGTGAAGTGTGATGGGCGGGGTGACGTACCGGCAGGTTCGGCACCCAACCTCAGCTTTTTGGCAAAGAGAAGATCGTTTCCTCCTCATGTTGATGGGCAATGTGCCAGCAAGCTTAGGCGACCTTATCAGTCAATCCTTTCAATTGGCCTATGCGTCTTGTCACTGGTTACGAAGTTGCGGGAGATCTGCAGATGGTAAGAACAGGAGGGGAGGACCGGTACTAGTTAAACCTACCAGACATGCATCTATTGAGAGGCCAGGAGCCTGCTGCAGGCAGGCCCAGAACGGTGACTCGACTCACAGAGGGTAGAGGCGAGGTGGTATGAGCCACGGAAGCAGAGAGGGGCGGTTATAGAGTCGGTGGAGAGCAGGAGAGAGGCGCCCCAACTAGGGTCTGGTGATTAGGGACCTGCGAGTAAAAGGTGTAAAAATGAGCCGAGGCCAGGTGGGCAGTTACACGAGGGAGATGCCAGGCCTGGGTGTCCACACCATCTGGGCGGACGGAGGGTGGCAACCCCCGACCGGGTGCAGGCGGGGACCCACACAGGGGGGAAGAGGGGAACGGGAAAGAAGAGAGGTGTGTAGGGGGCCAGCGCACCCGGTGCTGGAGTGGCAGGCAGGGTGGTAGCCCCGTGGGCAGGGAAGCAGGCTTATGGGAGCCAAAAGGAGGACGGAGGTTCACAAGGGGCTGTAGTGTGCACCGATGCAAACACCCTGCTTGTCCTTGCCGGCCCCTGGTAAGGTGTGTGCCACTGGTTAGTTCAAGCGCAGCACTAGCAAATTATAGGTCGCGGGGTCCGCCTCAGGGCCCCACTGCCAGAGGCAATGCGACTGCCCTTGAATAACACACTGAACACCTGGTACACCCCGCCCGACCCCCTGACCTCCACCACGCACAAACTGCTTGAATCACGAACACGCTCTGGCTGGCCATGTGTTCGGCCCGTGCTTCGAACTGATGGTGAATGGCTCCACCAGGTGACGGCTGACCTGCCGGCCGTCCTTGACCCGTGGTTGATAGCAGCCTGTTGGAAATGGCCGACACTCATATACCAGTGGATGGTAACAGCAGTGATAGGACCCACGAGGGGTCCGGCGCTTTGCTGGTCTTAACACAGCCACCAGCTGGGTATTGCCACAGCAGTTGAGGACGCGGCGGCCTGCCAGTCACGGCGCCCAAAACTCGAGGGTGCGGAGGATGGCGGACAGCTCAAGCCAGCCAATCGATATGCACAGCCTGCACTCGGCCGGACCCACACAGCCTGGGTCATACTGCTCCGTGACACCGCTCCGCAGCAGGGCATCAAAGTGCATCTCCTATTTTCCCCACGTGAGGATGCAGTGATGGGTACTTTCAGAGGTGCTGGCAGTGCGCTGGGGCTGTATGAAACTGCCAAACCGCCACGTTACGTGTGGCCGGGGTATTGATGTCGTACTTGAGCCACGTGGCAGTGACGAGCTTACTTCCTAGTGACCCAACCCAGGGTCAGTCGGGGGCCGGCGGCGGCAACTTCAGCACACCGCATACCCCTGCAGCCGCCACCAGCACTGCCGCCTGCTCTAGGAAGCTCCTCCTTCTCCCGCTCTATTTCCTCCTTCTCCCACTCCATTTCCTCCTTCTCCCGCTCCATTTCCTCCTTCACCCGCTCCATTTCCTCCTCCCGCTCCATTTCCTCCCTCTCCTGCTCCATTTCCTCCCTCTCCTGCTCCAGTTCCTCCTTCTCCCGCTCCAGTTACTCCTCCTCCCGCTTCACCTCTTGCTCCAGGTCCTTCACCTCACACTCCAGGTCCTTCACCTTCTGAAGTGTAGCCAGGTCCGTGAGAACAGGTTTCTCCCACTTGTCTGCCAGAGTTTTAAGTGTCTCGCCGCCCAGCTTTGCCCGATCAGCAACCTGGGTGATGTCTTCACCAGGGTATAGCACGTTGTGGAGGTGGGCGAAAATCTGCAGGACCAAGGGATGTTTGGACAGCATTATCTACATGTGAAAGTGTAGTAGCAGGCTGCCGATAAGGTGTTTCAAGATGCTAGAAGTATATTTCAGCATGCAGGAATGTACAACTCATGGACTAGCAATGCTAATAAACAATCACCTCAAAACATTTACTTGATCGACGCAACCAATTTAGTGCCAAGTCCGTTAGACATACAAATGGACTGGATTGGCTCCTTGGCATCTCCTTGAGTACTCTTAGTCTGGTGGTACATTGACTGTCTAGGAGGAAGGAAAATCTCAGATCGAACCCTGGATTGAACACAACGCACGCCACGCATAATACAGCATTTCCCTTGCTTGATGGTGGATGCTCGGGAGGGTGATAAATAGATCAGCTGAGTAAAATTAAAAGCCTCAGTCTTGGATAGGATGGACAAAGTCAAAATAATCTTATGCGATACACCTGGGGGTGCCTGAGGACGTTTGCTTGAGTTGGGAAGGAATGTGGGAAGGGAACAACTCCCTTGGCATCTCCCTGATTACCCTTTGCCTGGTGTCAGGACATGTTCATGAATTGCAGCTCCTGCCCTCATGATTTGTGCCTCCTAAAGCCCCTAGGAGGACATCCTGAACACTCAACATCCACCCACTCACATTACGCAGCCAAGGCCCCTATCTGCAAGAGAACCGCCCTCCAAAGTGGCCTTACCTCAGGCACCAATCCTGAAGAAGCTATAAAGGATGTTTCCAGGAAGTGACAGTAGAAGCACACCCAATCGAAGAGGCGGAACTGGTAACCACATGCCTGGAACTGGTAGCCGCATGTCTGGAGCTTGCCCACAGGGGTACACAGTTAAAATCGGACATAAAGGATTTATCCACGATTGACCTTGCACAGCCCAAAGTGCAAAAAGCTGGTACGGCAGAGTGACCGAGCGATAGAGTGAACACGATTACTACAATGGACCCCGAACACAACGCTCCTGGGAACGCCTCCCGCACAACACTGTGGGCCTTATCCAAAAAGAACTCGGCCAGGCCGTACTAACTTCACTGGACACAAATCCTCAGCTAGTACACTCAGACACAAAAGATCAGGTGCAGACATGACCCCTCAGACCTCCTCATTGTATTCCGGTAAACAGGAAAATCCCACTCCAGGAGGACCTGGAGTGGGATAATAAGGACCTGAGGTGGGAGAATAGGGAAATGGAGCGGGAGAAGGAGAAAATGGAGCGAGAGAAGGAGGAAATGGAGCGAGAGAAGGAGGAAATGGAGTGGGAGAAGAAGGAAATGGAGTGGGAGAAGGAGGAAATGGAGCGGGAGAAGGAGGAAATGGAACGGGAGAAGGAGGAAATGGAGCGGGTGAAGGAGGAAATGGAGCGGGACAAGGAGAAAATGGAACGGGAGAAGGAGGAAATGGAGCGGGCGATGGAGAAAATGGAGCGGGAGAAGGAGGAAATTGTGCAGATGGAGCGGGAGATTGAGGCCCTCAAAAGGCAGTTGCAGCAGCAGCAGCAGCAAGGCAAGTAATGGTGATGTGGTGTATGAAAGCCACCTTCCAGTGATTACTCCAATAGGCAAGGCACTGTTGTGCTTCCATGTGTCTGTGTGCCTTATCTTGTAGTGGTAGTTGGTGGGGCAGCCCTGCCCAAGAAAACATGTTTGCAGCAGTACTCCAATAAACAGACATGGAATGTTGAATAATGGGCTTGTTGCTCTGATTTTATCCAAATGACCTGCAGGAAAAGATAGGCAAACTGTAGTATCCTGGTATCATGGGATCTGTCATCTGCCGATCGGTTCTTTTCTGCAAAAAGACGTGATACAAACAAACCTGCTCACTGTAGGTGTACGTATGTGTGTGTGCATGTGTGTTGTTACACTCGTATGTCGGTTGCAGTGCGTCTGTTGAAGCGAGAGAATATTCCTGCATCACTGAGACTGCATAAAGTCGCCAAGCACGATCCTAAAAATGCTTTTCCCGCAAGGTTTCTCGCCAAAATAGCGGAGCTACAGGAGTACGCAGCGGATGGGAGTCTGGAGCTTCGGGGACTTGTCGCTTGCGCAATAACGGATAACGGCGACGAAGTGGTGGGGGCCCTTACAGCGCCATGGGAGGAGGACCACAAGTGCGTGTTGTTAACGCTGGTTGTCCGCAGTGACTACCGATGAAGGGGTGTCGTGAAATTAATGCTAGACGAGCTGCTGCGTGTGTCGTGCGTCGCCGGTGCGCCAGCAACTATCGTCACCAGGGTGCGACAGTCCGATCGGGTCCCGACAGGAATGGCACTTGTGCTGAAAATCCTGACAGGCTTTGAAAAATGCTTTCGGGCGGACCCGACGAAAAAGGGGGAAAATGCCAAATGGCCATCGGGAGCCCCCGACGGGGCCCGGAGGGCTCCCGTCGGGGGACCCGACAGGGTTAGGGGTGCTAGGATCGCCCGATCGGGTGCCGTGGGTCGTCGGTGGGCCCTTCGGCGACGGACAGCTACAGTGATACATAATGGCATTCATACAAATATAACTGGATGGAAATATGTAATGTATTCGTTCACTTCGTTGCCTCTTCTTCTTTATGAGGGGGACGAAGAGGAGGATGAGGAGATGCTCCTCTCCAGTCCTACGGTGTCTAAGGGTCTCCTTGAAGAGCTCGGGTTGTGATGCTCACAGGCAGACGTGCAGGCGTGCATGTGTTGCTGTGTGTGTGTGTGTGTGTGTGTGTGTGTGTGTGTGTTCGTGCATATCAGAACTGTGAACTGCAAACTGAGAACTGGAAACTGCGCATATAAAATACGAATAAATGTAATTTCAAGCGGCACACAGCGAAATTTCGTTCTTGCGTCACCCGACAGGTTTTGGGATGGGCTATCGGGGCACCCGACAGAAATTGAAAGATATGCAAAAACGCTATCGGGTGGGCCCGACAGGCATGGGAAGGGGAAAACCGGCAACCCGACCATTTCAGGAAGGTCCTGTCCAACCCTGATCGTCACCAACGTTGCCACGGCTAACTCCTCTCCGCGCTGAGGTTCTTAAAAAGGAATGGAGTTAAGCAACTTGGGCGGACTAACGGTCGCAGCGTCAAGCTGGAGCTGAAGGCTTGTGCGGTCAGGGAGGCAGGTACACCACCTCTGACAGCTGGTGCGCCAACGTGCTCACATCGACAGCCGATCCAGCCCAATCATATGCTTCGCAGCGTCTCAGCTTTGAAGCCTACCTTCCGACCTTGGTGCGGCCAGTGGGTGGCGTATTTTGTGTATTTTGTGCGAAGGATGAAGTACCATACGACGCGGTACGAAAGAAACTATCTGTGTGATGGAATGGTGTTCCTACATACGCTGCTTACGTGGATGTTACTATCACCGCAACTTTCTTCACCTTGCGCTAGTTTTATTTAACTTAATTGATCATTGCGTTAAGTACCTTCATCTACCTTCGGGATTGTCTAGAGTTTGTAAACTTCGTCTGTGAAGTAATTTCTCTTGTGATGTCACTCGCGGCATCGCGTCAGCAGCTTGGAGCAAGCTGCAGCGGCGCAGCATATGCCTCACAAGCCAGTTGCATTATCCGGCCTGCTCTTCGACACCGGCGAATCGGCCGCGCGCATGACGTTATTGTATGTGCATCTTCTGGATCATCTGGATCAACGGAGTCCTTTGCACGCGACGCAAAAGAAGCTGCTTCTCGTGCTTTCAAGAAGGCCAAGGGGAGATGGGACGCTTTTGCAAAGGAGCAGCGCTTGGAGCAACGAGCAAATGAAGCCTTTAATAAAGCTAGCGAATCTGCTCGGGAAGCCACGGATAAAGCGAAGGAGAAAGCTCGGCGGGTCTTTGTGGAACTGGACTCTGAGTATGAGCTGACCTCAAAGAGCGCTCGAGCTGTCCGCAGGTGCGATTTTACACCCCTTTATGAAATCACGAATCATATGCGATTTTTCTTTTTGGCGGGCTGTATGTGGGTGAGCTAGGGTGCGGCCGCGTAGCTTGTCGTGCCTTCGAGAGCAAGACTTGGTTTCATCATCAAACCGGCAGCACTTTCCTTTGGTGCAAGTACGCCGTTGTATTTTCGATCCCCTCCGGCACCTGGCTTTCAGCTTGCGCCGGAACCTCGGTCTTGAAAGCGGCGCGCAATCCGCGCATGCCGCACATCCCACAGCCACTTCACAATGTCATCATGCCATCGCTGTCTCCCTGGTTTCAAACACCATGCAGGGCGGAGGAGATGGCACGTGACATAGACCAAACGTACGGCGTACGGCGGCGGATCCGTGCCGCTAGCGACTACATTGCACGGTCATGGCCCACGTGGCAGAGACAGCTGGACGAGTTTTCCTCCACGTGGTACGGCAAGACAACCGTCTTCGTCGCTCTCTGCTTGCTGCTCAGCACCCCCCTGTTCTGGGCTGTGCTGAATGTGCTGCTGCTGCTCTGGTGGCTGTGCGTCCCAGTCGCTGTCCTGCTGCTAAACTATGCAAGGGAGCAGCAGGCGCAGCGCCTGCAGCAGCAGCGGGAAGCGGAGGAGGAGGCGGCGCGGCGTGCCGCCAACCCTTTTGCGGACCTATTTGGGGGTACTAGCACCCGCCGCCGCAGGGGCGCGACGTACGGGCGACGTAACTCGTACACTCAGCAGTCGGGACCTGTTATTGACGCAGAGTGGACGACGATTAACGAGGCCGAGGAGCCCGACAGGAAGAGCAGAGGGCGCAGGATGTAGCTGGCGGGCTTGTAACCGAGTATAGTATAATGTCTTAGAGAGACGTGTATGGGTGTATGGGTGCTGATATGGATGTGCTTTAGGGATATGCGTGAATGTTTTGAAAGCCTGGCAGAGCGGCTGATTGGAATAGCGGCTGCGCGCTCTTTGCCGTCCGTTTGTACAGCGATAATGTAATGGAATGGCACTGTTGCAATATCGATCCTGCTCGCGACTGGGGTCGGTGCGGCTAACGGCGGAGTGCGACAGCTTCTCCACGCGGGAGTTGAGGTGGAGGAACTGATGGTGCGGCTGTGGCAGCGCAGTGCAACGGTTATCCAGTAATGGCCGGGACCCTTGTGACGGGCTATGTTTGATTATAGCGGGATGGACAGATTGCAGAATGTGTGCGATCTGTGACAGATTGCAGAACGTGCTGCTTAGACGAGGGCCAAGGTGTAACAGTCGAGTGATTGTGTGCAACATCTACACCGCAGCCCCAAGGGCTACAGCCCAAATGCACTACCAATCAGCGTGTGCACACCAGCAACTGAAACGCCAGTCTTGACGACGCGAAACATCACGTATCAATCCGCGTTCTTGCCGCGTCCGTCCACCGTTAAAAAAAGAACAGTCATAGTCGCAGGCGTGTTGGTCATGGGAGTTAGTCACGGGAACCAAACCCCGAGTGCGCAAAATTGGGGAACCGATTCCTGAAGCTAACATTGCAGTAGAGGGTGCCAACCACTGCAGAGGGTTAAATAAAACCTTAACCCTAAACCCCTAAACCCCCCAAACCTTCGCCCTGTTTAGGGGCTCCTAGCTGTTGCCTTAGCCATATCTTACACCTTGCGACTGCAGCCTGACGCCTCTCTTTCTTTCTTACCTACCTGGAGTATCCTTTCCACACGAGATGGTTGTATGGAGGGCACCACTCCACCCCGCCTTCCGTTCCGCACGTGCACATAATACACTGCAAGATATCAACATCCATGTGAATACCAACATCCCTGCTCCGCAGAGCAAGCAGCTCTTGCGCGCCTGGTCTTCCAAACCCCCATGGCTGGATGTGTGCCTCACTTCCGCCGCGACTCGCACGGTGCAAAAGAGGACAAGGCACAGGCCCCTGTACTTGCCAAGAGCTACAAGACCGGTTCCTCCTCAGTCGGTGTAAGGCGCTTAAGCCTCCATCACCCTCCCGTTCCCCCTCTCCCCTAGCGCCAATCCACAGGTGCCGCTACCGCGACTACTACTGGCTGCTCTGCGGGCCCAGAAGGGACAGCATCCCCACCGCACTTGCAACTGCCGCCACGGCCAGGCTCGCCAACACAGTGCCGCTGCACGACAGCCCCGAAACCAGCGACCCGGAGGACGCGGTGCCGCCGCCAGTGCTAGCCTTAGTCTTGGCCTTGCCGGCTTGCAGCTCCTCGCCTGGTACGGCATTGGGCCGCCAGGGCCCTGATGCCGCCGCCGCCGCCACCGTTGCCGGCTGCTCGTACTCGAGCACCTGCACCACCAGGGGGACCAGCAGGCGAGCTCTTACGCATCCGTGGCGCCACGGACTGACCGCCAGAGACGCCGCCGCGTCGTCTTGTCGGTGCCGCTGACCACGTGAGCGCACATTAGCACGTCCGGATGGGGAGTACGCGTCGTACGTGATGAGACAGAGTGTCGCGTGTTCAGGACAGGACTCCGTGTACCCAAAACCCTTCTATCAGTGCCGCCTCCTTCGCCCTGATTTCATCATGCTCCTTTCCCTGCCCCTCACCCCCCCTGCCCTGCCGTCTCTTCCCAGAGACGCTGGCCTTCGTTCGGGGCCCCCGTCACACACCTGGGGGCTATCCCGCAGCGCCAGCAGCTCCGCCGCCCTCTCTGCAGCCGCCTCCGCCAGCTCCCCCTCCAGCAAGTAATCACACAGCGCCAGAGCACCGCCCTACATAGCCCAGAGCAACAGAGGAATATAAACACGATCAGAAACTACATAACCACACGATCACCAACCTAACGCAATGCCAAATGCCCGAATGCAACAGCATCGCAGCATAGCAGTAAGGGAAGCCAGCTAAGGCCACTTACTGCGGGCACTATACCCTTTTCCCTTCGCAGCAGGCGCCAAGGAGCCCTTAGATACATCCTCTTCCCCCCCCACACACACTTGCCAGCCAGGGTAGTATCACTCGCCGCGGCAAGGGCACCCAGCAGCCACCAGTACCCGCCAGCTGCGCCGCGGAGCTTAGCAGTGGGTGCTGCGCCAGCGGCCCTACAGACGCGGACCCCCTCCCCCCGTCCTTGTGGTGCTGCTGCTCGTGTTGCAGCTGCTCCGAAACCCGCGTTGCCTCTTCCAAGAGGAGCTCCAACCGGGCGCTGAGACTTGAGAGCAGGTCCGCCTAGGGGGCTCGGGCGGGCGGGCGGGCGGTGTGGCGGGAGAGCCACCACATTTGCTTTCCAGGCACATGAATACATGTGTATGCGTGTATATATGTATCATACATACATACATACATAACGGTTTGTTAGGCCACGCATGTGGCGCAGCTCATATCTCATGTCGTACATGCAAATGCATGCCGATTCCTCCAAACGTCCCACGGGACCCCACCGCCCGACAGTACGACACCCAACATGGTCGTCTTCGTCGTCTCTTCTCCCACCGCGAGAATGCCCCATCCCGAGGTTCGTCCCGCTCTCGCCCGCCTCTCCACAACCCCGCCACCACACCGCAATCGCTAACCCCCCTTACCCCTTACCTTTAGTTCCGCCACCGCCCTACCCACCAGCTCCCTCCGATTGACCAGCGCCAGCCCCTGAATGCAGCCGCGCAGTCTCGCCTGACCCACCACCGCCACCGCACCACCACTACCACCACTACCACAGTCTGGACTGCCCACACCCGCACCCGCATCAGCTGAATCCTGCTGCTCTTCTCCTTGATGTTGTGGTTGTTGCTCCGTCCGTTGGTGGTAATGGTGGTGGTGGTGGTAGTGGTGTTGCGGTACGGGGTCGAGCTGCTGGCAAAGCGGGGGCGCCAGGAAGGTCAGGTCGAAGGTAGGAACGCGGAGGACGACGGCAACAGGGCCGGAACCAGATACAGATCCAGAGTTATATCCGGAAGCCGACAACGCCTCCCCAACGGGTGCGGAGTCGGGCGGAAGGGTGTCTCCGTCTCCTGCGACGAAGACGCCCCGCCTGTAAGGGGGTGAGGGAGGCAGGGCGACGGAAGAAGGACAACCACCTCACCTAGCGCCTCCTAACTGACAAGCGGACAACAAACTGATTACCAACCAACAGCGTTCCAATAATAATAATTGTTATCCCGGGTTAACCCCCCGTGTCCGAACGAGAAAGCAGGCGCACATGGCTTCAGCCTTTACAAAGGCATTTAGAAGGCTGATGGACAACCGAACCAACCTAATGCGCTCTGCTTCCCCCGCCACCAGCGCCGCCAGCTGCCGCCGCATCTCTACACCCCCGCCTCCGCCTCCTCCTCTTCCTCCTGTTGCGGCTGCTGCTGCCAAGCTCCCCCCGCCGCCAACCCCACCGCCTCCGGCAGCTGCTGATGCCGCCGCCACAGGCAGCGCCAAGTCCACTCCGTGCCAGCAGCGCAACAGCACCAAACTGCCCAGTACGGGGGCAAACCGCATATCCACAGGCCGCAGCGTTTGCGCCGACACCGCAGCGCTAGCGGCGGAGACAGCCAATGCGCGCAGTGCCTGTCGCCTAGAAGACGCGTCGATATGGAGGAGCAGCAGGTGCTGCTGCTCGTCGCCGCCGCTAGCGGTGGTGTGGGTGGCTGCGGCTGGCGCCACCGGATGTCTGGATGGCAGGCAGAAGGACGCGAGGCCGGCGAGTAGACCGCAGAGCTGCGTCGCGGCGGCGGTGTAGGCGGCGTCGGGGCAGAAGACGTAGAGGCCCAGGACGGACAGGCCTTTGCGAGGGGACACTATTAACACGTATCACAAGAAAGAGAAGTAGACGCACACAGAAGAACCCGAAAAGACGAAAAGAGGGTGGGCGAAGTCTCAACCCCCCTCCCCGCCATCCTGTCAAAATATGCTATGCGTCCCATGCGTCCTAGCGTGACCGTATCCACCTGATCAGGGCGCAGGGCCCCGCAGGGCCCCTGCCCTCCCTTCCGCCCCAGGCACCCGCCCGAGGCACTGGGTGATGTGATGACTTCAAAGTTTTGGGGGAGTGGAGATGTGGAGTGTGGAGCGAGGTGGGTTAATCATAGGGCCCCCGGGCGTTGCTTACCTCCCGGCAGCATCCGGGCGACCTGGCGGGCGTGTTCCGTAATCCATTCCACCTCCAGGCTCACGGCCGCGCCACCTGATGGGGCGCCACTGCCACCAGTCCGGCCGCTGGCCTTCTTGCTGGCCTTGCTGCTGGCGCCGGCGCCGCTGCTGCCATCGGAGACGCCAGATATCGCAATTGGGTCAAATCCATCCTGTATGTGTTTTTGTGGGGAGTTGAGGATGATGAGGAAACGGGATGAGTTTGGGGGCGGTTGACTTGGACTGGGGAAGGCGGGCGCGGGGTTGACACGGGAGAGCGAGCCTGGTGATACTGGCTCTAAAGTAGGAAGCAGTCAGGGATGAGTTGAAGCAGAAGCTGGTTAATTGGGAGCAAGGGGAAGAGAAGGATTGGGCCCGGTTTAAAGTGCAAGCGAGGACTAATGTTTGGGGTAGCGGGTACCGGTTGTTCGATGACGCCCTGCAACGTGCTTGTCAGCTTCAATGCACCTGGATAGGTGTCCGAATTGTTCCATAGAGCAGGGACTTGGCACCAGTTGCATGCTTGCCCACAAGCAACCCAACCTGATGAAGAAATTGAGATAATGACTGTTATATTGAATGGTTAAAACATTCTTGTCTCTGAATCTAACCTCAGGGCCCGCCTGGTGCTTCAGCAAGGTCTCGAATTGTTTTTCCAAGGCATCATCAGCTTGACAAGTTCGAGCCATAATAATAGATGTGAATAGGCTTTATGAACAGGCTGTGTGCAACAAAGCATATTACTGCAGCTCCGCATCTTAGGAAAGGCTCCGAGACCCTGAAAGAGTTGCGATAGTACGAGGCGCATACAAGGACAAAATAATACCATTAACCAGATTATGTTTTAGGCACAGTAGAGGCGTGCGTGCTTGCTCGTCCAGACGCCTTTCCAGAAGGCGCGGTCGGCGCGGTCGGCGTGGTTCCGGCAAAAACATTTGCCCGTGTGTAGCTCGCTGATTTAATTGCTCTCCTTGTCAGAGCAGATTACAGTATTACCATCTATTCCTAAATACCCGGCAGTGCCGGTGGGTTGTCCGTCCATCATCCATCACCTAGATCAGTAGAGCTGCAACTCGTATGGCAGAGGCCATGGCCTTCTGGTCTGTAATTTTGCCCCCAAAGGGCAAGCCAGTCCAGCAAGAGGTTGAGAGCACTCCAACTGTTCTCTCGAGCATTCATGTGACGGGCCTGTCTCTTGGCGTCGCACCCAAAGACGGCCCGCATGTAGTCACGCTTGAGTACAACGGCACAAACACGGTGCTTGCGACTTTGGAAGCTCCCCATACGCGTCAATGGCGGCTTGACATCGCCATCGACCAGGTGCGGCGACCATCCAGAATCGTGACCTCTACCAATACCCTGCCTCCCGCTGGCCTACTTAACCGATAGGCAGCAGTCGTGACCTTCACACCGCACTACTGGACAATCTTTCTGGCTGGACGCGCATTCGACTGCTTGAACTCGCAGCCATCGCAAGGCTGCCAGACGTTTCGCTTTGTACACCCATTTTCGAGCGGCACGTACGCAACCTTGTCAGCCTCCCATTCTGTAATAACAACAACATTATGCACCACAGACTATCCAAATGTGCAACATGGGCAACTCGGAAGTGCACGTGTACGGCTATCAAGTATCTACTCCCGTACGATTGGACGATTCTGACGAGGACGATAGCGACGAGGACGAGGAGGACTACGAGCTCGAGGGGGACGAGGGAGATGAGGAGGTGCACGCCGAGGCTGTGGCAAAGGCCAAGGGGGCGATGAAGAAGGCCGCACTTCCTGCCAAGGTACGCCTTCGATTTTTTATCTCTGTCACATCCACCGCTCCTCGCAGCTCCATGACTACATCTCCCCTCGCTCTTCCGCCTCTCGCTTTGAATACTCCTTCGGCAGATAGAAATCGACAGTTGACAGTTTCTTTGATTCCTGTATCATACAATTCCCCACTCCCAGCAGCGTGTATAACATGTCTAGCTTCCCTACTCTCTGAGGGCATCGACAGTTCGTAATGCCGCCCGTACCCGTTCATTCATTCATTCACTGCGCTAAGCAGTACATTACAAAGAACAAAATACGACATGGTATGTAGTACCCCGGAAGAGAACCGCCGCACACCTCCTCCTCCTCCGCGCACTATTTCCCCCACTTCCACGCGCAGGGCCGCCCAGCTAAGGCAGCAGCTGTGTCCAACCATGACGCCATGGACACGGACGGTGGGCAGGGCAAACGGCGGTCGGGGGCTGTTGTGTATGTGCGTATGTACGTCTGTATGTGCGGGTCAGGGGGTCGCCTTCCACTGCCATGGCACCGGGCAGGACACAGGAGGTCCTAGGGGGTCTGTTGTTGAGCAGGTGGGGAGTCTATGTGAGGCTGGGGCTTGGAATGATGAGCTCTGACCCTCTGACCTGCAGACGGGAGTCAGGTCGTGGAGCACTACACGAACGTGCCTTGTGCTTGATGATAAGGTGGCCGCCTGCCCCTGCTATTGCCTTTGTTATTCCTACCTTGCCGTGCCTGCAAACTCACCACCACGCACTGTTAGCTGCGCTTACCCAACTAGTTGTTGTCCGTGTTGCTATTGGGTGGGGCTGAATGAATGTGCAGGTGATGAGGAGGACGAGGAGGATGAGGACGAGGACGAGGAGGAGGGTGAATCGGAGGAGGACGAAGATGAGGACGAGGAGGGGGATGGAATTCCCGACATGAAGGAGCTGGGCTCGGATGACCTCATCGGGGAAGCAGGTCCGTCCGTATGTCTATCTGTCTGTCCATTTGTCAGGTTTGCCTGCCTGCCTGCCCGCCTGGCAACTCGCCGTGTGAGCAGGTGTGCACGTCCGAACATGTGTTTATGAGTGCTCGCACATGCATGTGCTCTACATGTATGTATGTCATGTTGTTAGTGTGGGGCGGGTTCCAGAGGGGATTTAGCGCTGGTGGGCAGAAATGTTTCCCTAGGCCCGTGGCCGCCGACGGTACCTGCCTGCCGCATCTCCTCGTGCGCCGCCTGGTTGCACCTCGCCCTACAGCGGACGAGGACGCGGAGGACGAGGACGAGGATGAGGACGAGAGTGACGGGGAGGAGGATGATGATGAGGCGGCCCCAGTGAAGGTATGTATGTGTGTATGTATGCATGTATGTGTTACCCTTGCCCTCACCCTTCCCTTCACTTGTTCGCGGTGGTTCATCTACCGCAACTCGCGCAGGTGGGCAACAAGCGCGGCCCTCAGACCCCGCAACCCGGTAAGCCCGCCAAGCAGCCCAAACAGGAGCCGCCGAAATCCGCACCGCCCAAGGCCTTGCAGCGGCAAAAGGCCGCCGCCGCAGTGGCGGCTGGTGGCGGCGCGAAGCAGATTCCCGTCAAGGCTGAGAGCGGCAAGCCACAGACGGTCAAGGTGACCAAGGACGGGGCTGCTGCTGCGGGGGCGCCGGGCGCCACCAAGGCCGGTAAGGCTGAGGCTGCTGCGGCGAAGGCCGGCACGGGGGACGCTTCCAAGGGCAAGGCGGATGTGAAAGGGGATCAGAAGCCTGAGCCAGAGAAGAAGAAGGCAGAGGTGAAGGATGCTGGCAAGACGGAGGGCAAGGGCAAGGATGGTAAGGAGAAGAAGGCGGACGTCAAGGACACTGGCAAGGCCGGGGACAAGGCAAAGCCGCAGGGCAAGCAGGCCGCGGCGGGTGCAGCTGCGTCACCTAAAGGTAGGAGCTTGTTGGGCTGAGTGGTGCGGAGCCCTAGGGGACCCGCGTTGTGAGTGTGAGAGGCGAGGGGAATGGGGGCTGCATGGGCAGCTGGCCTGGACGCCGCTGTCCTTTTCCAGTATGGTCCCCCTCCGCCCGCCATTTTTTTCCCGCACCCTCACTACCTCCATTTCTATTCCATAACTATCTGGGTTTTGGTGGGTTTATAATTTATTTTACTGATATTTTCTAATTTATTTTTACTGATACTGCTGTGGCTTTGAAGGACTACTACGTTTTTATTTAACCATGCGTCTTTTGTTTTTTGTTACATACATACACACATACATACACACATACATACACACATACATACACACATACATACACACATACATACACACATACATACACACATACATACACACATACATACACACACATACATACATACATACATACATACATACATACATACATACATACATACATACATACACACATACATACACTTCCCCTCGTCCCACTCCTCGCACTCTCTGTCACCAGCGGGCGTCAAGACACCGGGTAGCGAGGAGGAGTACCGCACCGCGCTGGTGGATTTCCTGGGCAGCCAGAAGGGCCCGGTGATGCTGAGTCAGATCGGTTCTGCGGTTAAGAAGCCCGCCGGGGTCGACAAGCTCGCCAACTTCCTCAAGAAGCACAGTGACACCTTCGCAGTGGAGGTGGATAAGGTGAAGCTGGTCAAGAAGTAAAAAACAAAGTGAAGTGAGGCTAAGCAATGCTGGGCTAGGATATCGTCACTGGAGCCGTAGACAGGATGGGTCGTCGTCGGGACTGGAGCTGTTTTAGGAGTGGGGAGGTGGTAAGGAGGAAGAGGAGGAGGAAATGGAGGAGGTGAAAATTTTGGCGTTGCAAGCGCTTTTGAAAAGGCAACGGACGTCTTTTTTCTTTCCTTGGTGCGAACCTGCGTCGATGAAGCTCTTTGCTCGGCGGTACGAAGCAAAGGGGGCGGAGATGTGTTCAGTTGCGGTGTGCGCTGGTCGGTCAGTCGGTGGCGACGAGTGGAGGGTTTGCGAAGGAGATATCGGCGGCGAAGTGCCGTTGGCAGTGGTAACAATGGCAGGAGTAGCAGTGGCAGGAACGAGCAGCAGGAGGAAGAGGAGGAGGAGGAGGGAGGAAAGAGGTAAGGGGTCAGGCAGGTAAAGCATTGGTAGGACCTGGAAGATTTCCTGTTGATTTTGGAACGCGAGGAGGAGGAGGTCGCACGTGTGGAGAGAGGGAGGAATTTGTGTTTAGCGTGTGTGAAGAAGTGTGAGAGGGATGAAATGCAGGTTGCGTCTTGGTGCGGGTGATGGGGGGAAAGAGGTCACATGCACACACACAGCGCAACGTGTGTGCGTGTGTGTGTATGCACACATGTTTCGCTTTGTATGGTTGAAGAGAGGCGGTGTCCTGATTGATGGGTGAACAGGGGATAGGGTAACATCCAAAGCCCGGTTCTCCTGGACTTTTGAGGGGACCGGGGCCTTGTCTCGGGAGGTGAGGTAAGAGAGGGAATGCGCACCTACCCGATCCGCGCGTCAACCTGATTGCGGACCGGAATCGTGATGCAGTTGGCTGCCCGTGCTGTGTGCGGCTGTGGTGTGTGTTAACCGTAACGGGCCGCTTGCCGTCCTGGGCCAAAGGCTTAGAGCTGTTTCTTCGCTGCGCGGTTACGTACGCGGGTAATACTTTGCAGGTTTCCATGCTAGTAGTTGGATTTGGACAAGACAGTGTAATTGTCTGTGATTGATTGTCTTGCTTCCTTTTGGCTGCGACGTTCAGGCTGTGGCAGTTCTTCTGGAGGTATTAGGACTCCTCTCTCGCCCAAATGCGAGCTGGCTGTCTGACTGGTGGCCAGTTAGCTTTTGCGATGCGGTGGCGCTTGGGAGCTTTGAAACGGCTGGACAGGTGAGGAGATGATGCGTCCGGCTGGATGCGCGTGTTGAGTGGGAAGGAAAGGTGTGCGGGCCATATCGGTAGGTGATAGGATTCTGCAAGGAACAGGGTTTTCGCAGTGGAGCATCCGAATGTCGTCATGATGCGTTGTAATGGACATGGTTAAGTTGGCGCTTGCCTTCTGATTGCAAGCGAACCACTTAAGATATCTGCGATATGGTGGAAGAAGCACCACAAGCACTAAAGCATGCAGCAAACCAGCAATTAACGTCGAACGTACACGGCATTTCACTGATCGCAGCTTCAGATCATTATGATAAAAGCACATGGTGTGAGTTAGCGCTTACCCTCATGGATCAAAAACGCCTAATCATGACACATAACTAAGCATTAGAAGACAAGTGACTTTGTTCAACCCTGCCACGGCGGGCTTTTCCTTTGTCCTTTGTTTGGATGTGGGAGCAGGAGGTGATCATGCATAGGCGAGGATTAGTGATGCACGTCCACATGTTCCGGGGCGGGGTAGGCGAGCGTAGCCGCGGCACAGGGAAGCTGTGATGGCATTAGAAACGTGGGAGCTTGCTTCTACTCCTTCCGGGACCCGCGGGGTTAGGTGCTCGTGCACAGGAACGACATGAATCCGTTTGGCTTTTTTTGGTCAAAGGTTTTGTCAGGTGGTTCTTTTCCTGGTAAGGCTGTGCCTTGCCATTTTTATACACCCATACTGGACTTTTATCGCCTGGTTCAGGCAACTTGTATACATGGGCCGACACAGGATATTTTGATTCACATGTCTGCTGAAGGCTTGAGCTACTAACGCTTGCATGGCTTGCCGAGTCCGTCACGATGAGGCCCCAGTGTGTGCTGTAAGATCTAGTACATGTCCTGTAAGGATTGCTTGCTGTGCTGGTGCTGCCAATAAGCCCAGCGGACGAATCTCCACGACCTGCAAATATCCGTTGCAAAAGCTTGGGGTTGATAAGGCTGCCCTGCAAAGGTCCTTATGCGAAGGGGCAAATCGAGCAGCATAATCAACTCCAATTTCCAATTTATAATATGTTTGCCACCACATCGCAAGCAAGATGGCTTTTGGAGGGTGTGGTATGGCCAAGGTTAACTGCTGCTATACGGTTACCGCACCTGAAAATGCATATTGCACGGCTGACTAATATCTAGGTCTCGGAGCTGACAGGTAACGGAGCTGGCCTCCACGGTAGGGTTTTTTCATACTACGTCAGGTATATGTCTTCAAATTTGTCTTTCCAAGGTTGAAAAGTCAACTATAAGCAAGGCAAGAGCGGACGCGACTGCGTGTAAGAATCATGAATATAGTTAGCTTTTAGTTCTCTCCCAGACTTGTCACAGCAATTAATATATTGTCACCCCTGTCACCATGACTATAGCAATTCTTCTGTCCTGGATCCTGCTGGGTGGCTTGAACTGGGTCAGGTGCGGTCAGGAATCAGTCAGAACCAGGACTGAACTACCGCTGGTAGGCTAGTACGCCGCAAACTTTGTTCAGATGCATGACATGTAGCATGAAGCTGGCGTTTAGTTGTCATCAAATGCTGTAACGTCAATCTTCGGCCAACACGCGACCCAGGGGGCAATCTTGGCCTTACGCCGACATCACGGTAGCTCCTCTACGCGAAAGCGCGTGTGTCTAATCTTGGTATCCAACTCACAACTACATGTTTGCATATGATGATCAGGTTCGCACCCAGAATTGATATTGTCCCTCCTCCTTCAAACTGCGCCAAACAGCGTGCATCTATCGGCTTGCCATCTCCTGCACGCCCGCCGTCCCCACGAGCACTCCACGACCTGCTCCATGTCGTACAAACACACACACACTGATACCTCTCCCCTCCCCTTCCCCCTCTCAGCAGAGCCCAGTCTCCCCCGACGGCGCCCACCCAGGACTGGCGGACCCAGGACCACTCCAGAGGCCGATGTGCCATGTACGGCACCTGTGGCCACCGCCGCGACGGCGACCCGCTGGCCTGTGCCGCCAACGCGCCCGCCGTACCGCCGTCGGAGGCGCTGGCGGCACGGTTACAGGCCGTATGTCCTAGCCTGTGGGCCGACAAGGGCGGGCCAGCGGGCAGGTACTGCTGTACGGCAGATCAGGTGGACCGAATCAGTACTGACGTAAGCAGGGCTTCTTGTTGGGGGTTAACGGCCACACAGTGTTGGCCCCTTTCCCCCCCCCGTGCCTTCACTCGTTCGTGGTTCGTCTTTCCCCCCGTGCCTTCACTCGTTCGTGGTTCGTCTTTCCCCCCGTGCCTTCCCGCGCTTATCTCCCCTGTTTCTCCACGTTTTCTACGGGCGTATTATCAGTTCGCAAACACATATACAGAGAGACACACAGACATGCGCTCGCGTTCTTCCCCCCGAACCTGTTTATGCTGAAAAAAACCCAAATCCCCTTCCCCCTTCCCCGCTCTCCAAATCCCCCGCAGACTCAGAAGGCGCTTCCCTTCATCGTCGGCTGCCCCGCCTGCCGTCACAACTTCGTACAGCTCTGGTGCTTGCTCATCTGCTCACCAGACCAGGCTGCATTCACAAACGTCACTGCCGTACAAGTCGCAGCAGATACGGGTGCGGTCAATGCGGTGGCGGAGGTGGACTATTGGCTGACGGCGGTGTACGGCAACCAGCTGTACGACTCGTGCAAGGTCCGTGGTGGGCCCCGTGCTCGGGGGGTTGGGGTCGGGGGGTTCACGCCGTTGAGTGGGGGTATGATGGATCCCTCTCCCCTCCCCCCTCTCCCCCTTCCTGCGGTAGTTTGGACAGGTCGACAGTTGATCTTCTCCTTCTTCTTCTCCTCCTTCTTACGTCATCATCATCTGGTTCCGCCATCTTCCCCTTCCAGACCTGACTGACCTCCCCCGCTCCCCCGCCCGCCCGCCCGGCCCACCACCCCAGGATGTGAAGTTCGGCGCAGCCAACGTGCCCGCCATGAGCTTCCTGGGTGGGGGGGCCCGTAGCGGCCAGGAGTGGCTGGACTTCCTGGGCACGGTGAAGGACAAGCGGATGCCGCCGCTGGGCTCACCCATACAGATCAACTTCAGGTGCGGCACCGGGGGAGGTGGGTGAGTGGGGGTATTTCCTGCTGCTGGGAGAAGAGAGGCGAGGTGTGCTTTCTGAGGGGTACTGTATGTATGTACGTAAGTATGTATGTATGTATGTATGCATGTGTCATTGTATGTCGTCGTCCTGCCCAATGCCAAGCCCTGAGAAAGCCTCGCGCATCCTCGGCCCCCAACTTCCCCCCGACTCCCGTCCTCTTAAAACACCCCCGCTCGTGGGGATGTGTTTTTCCGTACCAGGCCCGAGAACAGCACCCCCCCTGGACTCGCACCCATGGGGGAGAGGGTGGTGGCGTGTGGGGACAACGCCTTCCGATGCTCATGCTCGGACTGCCCCGTGGCGCCGGGCTGTGAGCAGGTGGGGTGGGGGCCCTCCCGTTCGCGTGTGTATGGGGGGGGGGAAGAGAGGGGAGAGGGAAGGATTGGGGTTTTTATGAAGGGCGGGGGGGGAGGGGGGATTCTATGCAAGGGACGGGTAGAAGAACAATTACTGGCGTTCGAATTGTGAGAGAGAGAGTGTGTGTGTGTGTCGGTGGTGAGGAAAAGATATCGTGGGTGCGTTAGGGGCTGTGCAGGGTTGACAATAATGCATAGAGATAGTCACGCAGACAGACAGACAGACAGACTGACTGACAGACAGACAGACACACAGACACACAGACACAGTCACACACGCTACCCTACCTCAAAACACCGGCTACTACTTGTATTCCTCGATTTCGTGTCCAGGAAGCATTGCCCCCGGGGGGGGGAAATCTGTGTGCTGGACGTAACGCACACAGTGCCGTACCCAGCCATCTGCGCCATACGCGCTTAGGCCAATTGCTTTGTGCACACACATACACACATACGTACAGACATACACATACAAGACCACTATCATCTATTCCCCCATCCTCCCTCCCTCCCTCATACTATTATCCCGCTCTCCTCCGGGTCTTCCTAAACCCTAAAACCCTAAACCCCTGCCCCCCCCTCGCGGGCATGTGCAACCCCTATACCCGCAGCCGGATCCCCGGCCCCCCGACCCCTCCCCCGCCACCTGCCGCCTGGGCACCCTCTCATGCCTCACGTTCGGGCTGATATGGCTGTACGGCATATTTGTGGCTGCCGTACTGGCGGCCGCTACGACGGGTCGTATCGGCGGCGGCGGCAATGGCCTTCATGGCGGAGGCGGTGGGGTGAGCTGGCGAGCGTTACGTCACTGCTCGGGGGCGAGGGACGGAGGCTCCGCCGCCGCCGCCGCCGCCGCCAAAGCCGTACCAGGCAGCGGCGGCGCCAGAAACCAAGGCGAGGCAGCGAATGCCCTTTTGGAGCCTCTACTGCCGGGTGGGTACGGCATTCTGTACGGCATGTTCCTATCTCAAGCACGTCCCACGCTCTAACCCCAGCACCCACCCAAATCGCAGGAGCACCACCCGGGCCAGCAGTAGCGGCAGTAGCAGTAGGAGCAGCTCGTAATGGTAATGGAGGTGTTGGTGGCAATTCCGGCGGTGGTGCTAGTGGCGGTGGCAGTGGTGATGTGCCCCCGGTGGAGAGGTTGCTGCAAGTCAGCTACTTTAGACTGGTGAGTGTCGGGGGGAGGGGAGGGGGAGGGGGAGGGGGGGGGAAGTGTGTATGTAGTGGGGGGAAGGTGATGGGGGGGTTTACGGAAAAGAGAGTAACCCACAGCACATTGCGGTCGGGATGGGTGGGTGCGGCTGTGTGTGTGTGTGTGTGTGTGTGTGTGTGTGTGTGTGTGTGTGTGTGTTTACAAGAGACACACGTGTGCGGCAATGGGGCAAAAGGCGTGTGGAAATCATTTTGAATTACTTGGCCGTACGGCACCCTTTGGCGCATCTGATGCATGCAGCCCAACCGCCTCTCCCCCCCTTCCCTTCCCCTCCCCCTTCCCCTCCTCCCGTTTTGCAGGGTATGTGGTTGGGCCGCCATCCTGTTCGTGTGGTGTTTGGCGGGTTGGCGGTGGCGGCGCTGTGCTGCCTGGGGCTGTTCAGGTTCCGAGTGGAGACGGACCCGCAGAGGCTGTGGGTGGGGCCCGCGAGCCAGGCGGCCAGGGAGAAGGTGCGGGCCGCTGACAGAGGGGTTGGGGGAGGGGCAACGAGGAGGGGGGGGAGTATGTGTGTGGATGCGTGTGTTTTGACGTGTGTTTTGACGTGTAGGGGTACGGGGTATGGCGGCGGTATGTACGATTCCATCTCCCTTTCTCCGTACCCCCTCCCCCTTTCCTTGGCATCAGCTTCGCTCGCTCGTGGTTCGTCTTTTACCCCCGGCCCCCTACCCCCGCCCCTCCTGGGCCCCAGGCCGCGTACGAGTCCTCCTTTGGCCCCTTCTACCGGGTGGAGCAGATGATCCTGGCCACACGGCCTGTGAAAGCGGGGGAGCCGACGACGGCCGCATCCGCCTCTGCTGCCGGAGGCGCTGCTACTGCTACTGCTACAGCTAGTGCTGCTGCTGCTGCTGCTACTGCTAGTGATGCTGCTGCTGCTGCTACTGCTCCCCCCATAGTCACTCCCGCGAACCTTCTGTTATTGTTTGAAATGCAACGGCTAGTGGACGAGCTGGAGGGTGAGGAGGGGAATCCAGGAGAGAATGGAGGGAGGAAGGAGGGTTTTACGTTGTACAACAACGTACGACAGGATCCACGGAGAATCCTGCCGGGTGACGCCAGTGCAAGAAGAGGGTAGAGAGGGAGGGAGTAAGGGCTAGGGAAAAGGGGCAAGGAAGACGTAAAACGCTACACCAGTGCCGTACCTGTACGGATTCTGAACGTGCCTCCAAAAATACACACATGTGTGGCCGTTTCCCCCTTTCCCGTCATTTGGCAGCCCCTCTGGAGGACCCCAGCTCCCCCACCATTCGTACTGTACGGCTGACTGACATCTGTTACAAGCCCTTCGGAGACGCCTGCGCTACCCAGAGTGTACTACAGTACTGGCGGCTAAATCGTACACTGTACGATTCTGAACAGGCGAAACCGGCGGGGGTGCCTGGCCGCATGACGCCGGAATACTGCTTCAACCATTGGTGCGGTGGGAGGGAGGAGGGGGAGGGGGAGAAGAGGTTAGGCAAGCCCGTGTGTATGTGTGTTTGTATGTATGCACTCCACACCTAAATGTTATGATAAAGTAAAACAGTATGTCTTACTTTACCCCCCCCCATCCCCCCAACCCCCCCAGGTACACGGAGTGCCGCTCCTCCTTCCAGGCGCCCATGGACCCGCACGTGGTGCTGGGGGGGTTCCCGGGGGGCCAGGATTTCACGTAAGCTCGTGTGTGTATGTATGTATGTATGTATGTAGGTGTGTAAGTCTGGAACTGTGTACAGTGGAAAGGGGTGGACAGGGATGGACTGCGCCCTCAGGGAGCCTCCCTCCCCTTCGCTTCCAGGCCTCGGCAGCTGGCTCCTCTGATGTGTACGGTATCGTGTGTGTATCATTTCCCCCCCCCTCCCCCCCCCGTCTCCCGCAGAGGTGTATTGTCTCCCCCCACCCCTCACCCCCCGCCTGCAGGAGCTATTCCTCCGGTGCCACGGCCTTCGTGACCACCTTCCCCGTCGCCTCCTCTCCCGCCCTCCTACCCGCGGCTCGCGCCTGGGAGGCGGCCTTCGTGACCCTGGCTCGATCCCGGCTGGGGGCGATGGCGGAGGCGGCTAACCTGACACTCTCCTTTTCAACGGAGCGGTAAGCAACGGAGGGGGGGGAAGGTGTTGGGTGCAACTTGGCATGATGAGGGTTGTTGTTGGGTGTGGGTGTGGGTGTGGGTGGAGGAGGAAGACCGCCGATAGGACCGGCCCCGTATTTCTCTCCCTCCCCCTCTCACCCCTCTTCCCCCTCTCCCCGTGGGAGGGGGCCGAGGAGGGATGTCTGCGGCAGTGAAAGATGCTTTGTTGTGTGTTGTAATCCCAGCCGGGGGTTTTGGAGTGCGGGTGTGGGGAGGGGCGAAGAGGAGGTAAAGCTGTTAAAGGGGGGTAGCAGGGCTCGACCTTTCAAGACCGCATCCACCGGGCTCCGAAACCCTGGAAGAAGAAAACCCCCGGGCATGTC